TTATATAGTGTAATGTGTATATTATGATATATATATAGTGTAATGTGTATATTATTATATATATAGTGTAATGTGTATATTATATATATATATAGTGTAATGTGTATAGTATATATATAGTGTTATTGTATATTATATATATATAGTGTAATGTGTATATTATATATAGTGTAATGTGTATATTATATATAGTGTAATGTGTATATTATATTATAGTGTTATTGTATATTATATATAGATATAGTGTAATGTGTATATTATATAATATTGTAGTGTTATTGTATATTATATATAGTGTAATGTGTATATTATATTATAGTGTTATTGTATATTATATATAGATATAGTGTAATGTGTATATTATATAATATTGTAGTGTTATTGTATATTATATATAGTGTAATGTGTATATTATATTATAGTGTTATTGTATATTATATATAGTGTAATGTGTATATTATATTATAGTGTTATTGTATGTTATATAATATTATTATATATTATAGTATAATGTGTATATTATATTATAGTGTTATTGTATATTATATATAGATATAGTATAATGTGTATATTATATTATAGTGTTATTGTATATTATATATAGATATAGTGTAATGTGTATATTATATATAGTGTAATGTGTATATTATTGTGAGCTGGCCCCATTCCCCCATGTTCTGCCATTGTGACCATAGACATGGCTGTGGTCTGGGGATGCTAATGGCGCCATCTTGTGGTTGGCACCAGTGAATGGCCGACGTGTGTCTCTGACGTCACTTTCGCACCGTCCTCCGATTGGCTGCGCGCTCGGCACTCTCTGGCAGTCCTGTTCGGTAGACCCGCTCAGTCGCTGGCCGATCAGTCGATCGATCCCCGGGAGCCGCAGCCATGAGCCTCGCGGAGAGCCGAGCCCCCCGGAAAACGGCGGGAAACCGCATGTCCGGCCTGCTCAGCGCGGAGGAAGAGGACGACTTCTACAAAACCACGTACGGCGGGTTCAACGAGGTGAGAGCGCCACTCCCATCACTCCCAGCCAGCCAGCTCCCTATCACTGCCAGCCAACCCCATCACTCCCAGCCAGCCAGGGTGTGCTGACTGTGATAGGAGATATGGAGTGACAGCGAGTCCAGCTTTAATTATTATCATTGTTATTATTATCATTATTATTATTACTGCCGCCATTTATAAAGAGCCCCCATGCAGAGAGTAGGCCCATGAGCTTACAATCTAAAGTAAACATGTCAAAGTCCAGCAAGGTCCAAATAAACAAGGTTTAACTTTACCTGCGCCGCAAAAGAAAAAACCCACGTACATTTTCCCTGCCTCTACTAATCCCCAGCCCCCGTCTACTAAATCGTAGTCCCCCATATCTACTGTATCCCTGCCTCTGTTTAAAAAAACAACAAAAAACTGCCAACAAGCCGTGTCCAGAGTCCTGCCGCTGGCATACCCCCAATGGCCCCATCCGCACCTTAAAAAAAGCGGATCCTCCCGTTATTTCTTGAAACCCACACAGTCACATCATACACCTATACAGACAGCCATACACACACACATACAGACAGCCATACACACACACCGACATCCATACACACACACATACAGACAGCCATACACACACACCGACATCCATACACACACACATACAGACAGCCATACACACACACCGACATCCATACACCTATACAGACAGCCATACACACACACATACAGACAGCCATTCACCTATACATACAGACAGCCATTCACCTATACATACAGACAGCCATACACACACACCGACATCCATACACCTATACAGACAGCCATTCACCTATACATACAGACAGCCATACACACACACCGACATCCATACACCTATACAGACAGCCATTCACCTATACATACAGACAGCCATACACACACACCGACATCCATACACCTATACAGACAGCCATTCACCTATACATACAAACAGCCATACACACACACCGACATCCATACACCTATACAGACAGCCATTCACCTATACATACAGACAGCCATACACACACACCGACATCCATACACCTATACAGACAGCCATTCACCTATACATACAGACAGCCATACACACACACCGACATCCATACACCTATACAGACAGCCATTCACCTATACATACAGACAGCCATACACACACACCGACATCCACACACCGACATCCATTCACCTATACATACAGACAGCCATACACACACCAACATCCACACACCTATACAGACAGCCATACACCTATACACACAGCTATACACACACACACATACTGGGTTGGTTTCTTATCTGGGGTCTAGTGGGGCTGCTGGACAGGCAGGGGGGCAGACAGGCAGTGAGGGAGCACTGAGTGTAATCTCCCCCTGCTCAGCTCCTTCGCGTGCCGCAGTGACGTCATATTCCGGCTCCCGACATCACTGCGGGGAGCTGAGCAGGGAGAGCTTACACTCAGCGCTCCCTCGCCGTGGGCTGCATAAATATTAGTTGTGGGCCGCAAGTTTGACATGGCTGGTCTAAAGGATATACAGCCCTTGGGGGGCCGCACGCAGTCCAATCTCCATGAGAAACCTGTGACGACTGATTGCCAACTTGAAGCGCATGCGCGTATGATCTGGGCGGACGAGGGAGTGGGGGAAGTGGACAGAGGGGAAATAAAGACTTCGAGCAGTGGAGGGATGTGGGAGATCTAGCTTACACTTGCAGGCGCTCTGCCTACAAAGAGAAGATTTTTATTGTGTCGGGAGCGTGCAGTGCGCGCTGATGACAGATGTTACATATGCACATAATTGACATTAGACAACCTGGAACGAAGGCTGACAATATCGTGTGCTGCAGGTGCAACTAGCCCCCAGCAAACAATCTTAAAATATCTCTGTATGTGCAGTGTTTCAAGCAGAAACACTGCACATATATATACCGTTACCACCTTGATCTCTTCAAATCACTGAAGTGGTCATGGTGGTTAGAGTAACCCTTTAATACATTGTGCTTAAAGGGGCTCTGTAGACACCCAGACCAATTTAGTTCATTTTTATAAACTGCAATAATTACCTTGCAGGGTTAAGTCCTCCTCTAGCGGCTGTTTTCTTGGCACTATAGTTTCCCTTTAAGGGGTATCTCATAGGGATCGGCTGATAATGATTTTTTAGAGCCGATACCGATAATCTGTTAACTTTCAGGCCGATAGCCGATAACTTGCTGATATTCTGTACATTTTGAAAAAATAAACTATTTCTAAAGGTAAATGCACAATATATAGATGCCAGATGTAGTGGATGCAGTGTGTATTTGTGTAGTGTGTGTATATAATTAATGTAGTGAGTGTGTAGTGTGTGTATAATGAATGCAGAGTGTGTGTGTGTGTGTTTATGTAGTGTGCGTAAAGTGAATGTAGTGTGTGTATATAATGCAGAGTGTGCGTAGTGAGTGTATATAAAAGGCAGTGTGTTTGTGTAGTGTGTGTATATAAAATGCAGTATGTTTGTGTAGTGTGTGTATATAATGCAGAGTGTGCGTAGTGAGTGTATATAAAATGCAGTGTGTTTGTGTAGTGTGTGTATATAAAATGCAGTGTGTTTGTGTGGTGTGTATATAATGCAGAGTGTGTGTATAATGCAGTGTTTGTGTAGTGTGTGTATATAATGCAGTGTTTGTGTAGTGTGTGCATCTGAAGGGATGCAATTTGTGTAAAATGGGGGGGCATTTTTTATTTTAATTTTTAATATTTGTTTTATTTTTAATAATTATATGTATTATTTTATTTATTTTTTGTCCCCCCTCCCTGCTTGTTATCTGGCCAGGGAGGGGGGCTATTGCAATCCCTGGTGGTCCAGTAATGTAAGTTTAACTTCTGACTTGCAACCTGCAGTGGATTATTGTTCCCAAGATGCTGAGCCAGCCATTTGTTCCTGCAGTGCTCAGTGGCTGAGCGTTGCTAGAATTTTAAGCCACTATAGCTGGACAGCAGGATGGGTGGCTGTCACTGGTCAATTAACATACTAAAATGACATCATGATAAAAATTAAATAAATTGCAATATTAGTGATTTTTTTTTCCATTATACTTACAATTATGTAGCAGCTTATCTTTATTTTATTATAGTTACTTTAGTTTGTTCTATAAAATTGCACAATATTCTGTAGTTTTTGTACTGAAGTGAAACAAATGGTTTATTCACTAAACAGTGACTTGCTTTGAATTGTAAAATGAGTACACTGTAATGTATATGTATTACTATTTATCATGCTAAACAAATTTGCGTTTATAATGTACAGTAACTAGGGGTTTTCTGTTTATTGTAAGATGTACTTATTGTGCAGAGAGGATTAGTCCTGATTGTGGCACTCGCTACCATGCTGCTGAGTAGTGTAATTCTGTGTGTCCTGTACTGGTGTCTGATAAGAGATTATGCTGGTACAGAACAACTAGACTGCTCACAGATCCTGTACATTGAGTGATTAACACTGACGTGGTGTGGACATTTTAATAGCTCCTTCTGCTCCCAGTGTAAATCTTGCGGTCTATGTGCCGCGCGGACGGCCACGGGACTCGCGAGATTTACACTGGGAGCAGAAGGAGCTGCTGGGGAGGTAAGTAACAGCTTGCTCTGTCCCCCCCCAGGACCGCCGGGCTTGTAATGGGCTCGGCGGTCCTGGGTGGTATTATCGGCAATATCGGTATCTATATTGGCCGATACCGATATTGCCGAAAATACAGAATATCGGCCGATAATATCGGTAAAACCGATAATCGGTCGTTCCCTAGTATCTCAGGCATCTATGGCTCTAAAAATGTAAGTTAGAAGACAGCTCCATTTCATAAAAGCACTTAGCACAGAGGTAAGGTATTCAGGAAGTGATAATTGACAAGTATTCAAAATAAATGACCAAATTTAGGCCAAAATGTTGAGTTGATGTCAGTTTGTGTATTTTGACCTCCAAGGGTCACTCCAGGCACCATGACTGTTTAAGTGATTTAAAGTGTTTGTGGTGCTTGGAATCTTAAGTACAGTGTTTCACATACAGAGATATCTAATGATGCTGCAAGAGGTATACCTTCACCCTTGGCAGTGTCATTAGTACATCATCAGCCAGTCCGAAACAAGAGTTGCTGGCTTGCCATTCATTAGTTGAAAGCACCCATCTGATTCTAACAGTCGATGAATGACCGGTGGGATTGGCATCTAGTTTCTGCAGAAACAAATGTGCATCACTGACTTTACTGGTGGTGCAATAGGGAAGCCAAGCCATTGCAAATTGGTTTGCCCCAGTATCGGGGAACAGCTCAAGGGTACTCATAGCATCATAGCCACTACTTTTTATGAATTAGAAAGGAGCATGATTCTGTCTTTTGTCCGCTGTTTGTTCAGTATCTTTCAATTGATGTAGATAGGTTCATGCTTTAAAGGAACACTCCCACAACTTAAAGGACCACTATAGTGCCCTGAGGGTGCCCCCACCCACAGGGTCCCCCTCCCACCGGGCTGGATGGAGAAGAAAGGGGTTAAACGTACCTTTTTTTTTCCAGCGCCAGGCGGGGAGCTCTCCACCTCTGATCCTCCTCTTCAGCTGAATGGTCCTCTTCAGCTGAATGCGCATGCGCGCGCATTCAGCCAGTCTCATAGGAAAGCATTCATAATGCTTTCCTATGGACGCTGGCGTCTTCTCACTGTGATTTTCACAGTGAGAAGCACGCAAACACCTCTAGTAGCTGTCAATGAGACAGGCTTTAGAGGCTGGATTAACCCATTTATAAACATAGCAGTTTCTCTGAAACTGCTATGTTTATTAAAAAAAAAAAAAGGGGGGGGGGTTAATCCTAGAGGGACCTGGCACCCAGACCACTTCATTAAGCTGAAGTGGTCTGGGTGCCTAGAGTGGTCCTTTAAGTTCATTCAAATTGTTATAGGGTTAGGAGTGTCTGGACACCTTATTACCTTCAGGAGTGTACTAGTTTTGTCAGTGTGCACCCACTTATAGGCTGCCAGCACCCCTACGTAACGATTTAAGGGGGTATATTAAGCTTGTGTTGTTATTGGGTTGCCTTTAACTGGATTCATGCGTGTAGACTTGTCGACCTGCTTTTTGAATATTTAATTGATTTGATACGGTCATGGTTCTTTGAGTCTGTATGTGCAGTGGTTTAGTTTGAAACCCTGCACACACTAATGTTCTCAGTAATGAATGACTGGTAGGATAGGCATCCGACTTCAGCTGAAACAAGATGATCTTTACCATCATTGCATACAACCTTTTGTATACCCCATTACTGGGAAACTGTATAAGCTGTAGTGGTTATGGCACTTTGAGTAACCCTTTAAAGGAACACTATAGGATCAGGAACACAAACATATATTCCTGACCTTAAAGTGTTAAAACCACCATCTAGCCCTGCTGGCCCCTCCTTGCCTCCCTAAATATAGTAAAATCTTACTTTTATTCAAGTCTGCAGCTGCTGCTTCTTCCCCTGATCTGCCTGCCTAGCTTACATTATCAGAAGTGATTCTCTGAGCCAATCACAGTGCTGTCCCATAGGTTTGGCTGGGACTGTCAAGGAGGCACATCAGGGGCAAAGCTAAACACAGCCCTGGCCAATCAGCATCTCCACATATAGATGAATTGGATCAATGCATCTCCATGAGGAAAGTTCAGTGTCTGCATGCAGAGGGTGGAGACACAGTATGCAGCACTGCCCCAGGAAGCACCTCTAGCAGCCAACTGGGGAGTGGCCAGTGAAGTTATACCTAGGCTGTAATGTAAACACTGCATTTTCTCTGTAAAGACAGTGTTTACTGCAAAAGGCCTGAAGGTAATGATTATACTCACCAGAACAAATACAATAAGCTGTAGTTGTTCTGGTGACTATAGTGTCCCTTTAAGGATGGAACAAGTGTGATAAAGTGAGATCCCAGGGATCAGGCCTTGTTGTGTGTTAGTGAGGACACTTGATCTTAAGTCTTTGTTGAAGGAGGGTCAGTAGACCATAATAAGTACAAATACTTCCCTAAGACTACTCAGATTGTTTTTTTTTTTTGTGTGTGTGTGACACATTTCCTTTACATACAGTGCTTACGCTGCAGCCAGGAATTCTGGGAAGAGACTCGCAAATAATTTTGTTGGTAAATCAGTCATCGGTGCATTGTTTATGTATGTGTGTGTGTGTATGTATATGTGTATGTATGTATGTATATATATATATATATATATACATATATATATATATATAATGGCTATTTATTAACTAAAACAGACACCCTCTAAAATGATCAATGTATGTTTTTCTGGTGACCAGGAATCAGGTGATGATGAATACAATGAAGATCGCTCTGCCAGTGAGGACGAGGTGGATTCAGATTTTGATATTGATGAAGGAGATGAACCGACCAGTGACCATGAAGAAGACGAGCCTAAGAGAAAGCGGAGAGTGGTGACTAAAGCTTACAAGGTGAGACCTCATCGACTGCGTTACCCTACTGGTTTATCCAGGATAAAGAAATAGCTGTTTTATTCATTTCACCACATCACATACTTTAAGATCTCCAGATTCTAAAGCGGGGTCTTAGAATTTTGTTAAAGTGACATGGCAGCTTTTATATGGTCACTGGATGGGAGGTACTCTTAAATGAACCTCCCTGTTGATAGATCTCAGCAGTAATTGGTTGATGTAGTATTGCATTATTTTTCTCCACACCAAGTCTTACTAACTTGACTATAATAAATCAGTGTCTTATACCCTTGAACAATGATCCTTGCTCTGTTATAGAAGGACTTCTGATTGTCAAGCACATGCCAAGATGTAATTTATGTTAAAGGATTAGGGCAGACGTATAAGTGCATTTGTAGGAGTGAGATTCTCCATTGGGGTAGATAATTAAAGCTTGGATAGGTAACTGCTAGAGAGCTGGCATGGGGAAGGCTAAACTCAATAACAAAGCTTCTCAGTTTTAGCCACCAATCCTCCAAGCGAGGTAACAAAAGGTATGTCTGGTTCAGCTGTGCACTGTGGCCTAAAAAATAGCCAGAATGTTCATTACTTTAGACAGGCTTATATCACCATCGCAGTTTCTATTTTTGAAGACTGTGATTAACCTAACATTAAAGGACCACTATAGTGCCAGGAAAACATACTCGTTTTCCTGGCACTATAGTGCCCTGAGGGTGCCCCCACCCTCAGGGACCCCCTCCCGCCCGGCTCTGGAAGGGGAAAGGGGTAAAAACTTACCTTTTTCCAGCGCTGGGCGGAGAGCTCTCCTCCTCCGATCCTCCTTCTCTCCTCCCCGTCGGCTGAATGCGCACGCGCGGCAAGAGCTGCGCGCATTCAGCCAGTCACATAGGAAAGCATTCATAATGCTTTCCTATGGACGCTGGCGTGCTCTCACTGTGAAAATCACAGTGAGAAGCACGCAAGCGCCTCTAGTGGCTGTCAATGAGACAGCCACTAGAGGATTAGGGGGAAAGCTTAACCCATTCATAATTATAGCAGTTTCTCTGAAACTGCTATAATTATGAAAAAATGGGTTAACCCTAGAAGGACCTGGCACCCAGACCACTTCATTAAGCTGAAGTGGTCTGGGTGCCTAGAGTGGTCCTTTAAGTATTGTTAACGGTTCTGGCTAAAAATAAATGGAGACCATCCATGTTAGTAATTGAACATTTTACTATTCATAGGTCTCAAGTTTTTCTCATCCCATCTGTGCAAACTAAATTTCTGAAAATGGCATTATAATTGCTGTGACTGTATATCCTAAATGTTAAGATCAGTGAGTCATTTAATCCTCCATAAGAATTTGGTCATGTTTGGAAATTACACTTATTTTATATGTATATTAACCATTTTTGGCTTTTTTTTTTTCTTTTTTTTTTACCCATAGGAACCAATTCAGCTCCTTAAACCAAAACCCAAGCCAAAAGCAGATGCATCTACCAGCAGCACACAGAAAAGCCGCCAGGAGAAGCCTGCCCCTCAGGAAGCCACAGAAGATGCCGTGGACAGTAAGTGTTAAAATATTGAATCGTCATTTGGAAAAGCCTGTATGAAGTGCAGTCAAATCAAATTATTAAATGTTAATTTCCCAGTCCTTTAACGGTTGAAGCGTACATCACAGTAGCAGGATCATATTCTGGGATTTTATGCACTGTCCTGATTCAGCAAATCTAAGAAGGACACAGTAGGGAACGGTGAAAGGAAACGTATATAACAGCGCTCATTTAATACGTTCTCCCTTACAGGTCGTAAGCAGATGCGCCAGTCCACAACAGAGCACACGCGGCAGACCTTTTTACGTGTCCAAGAACGGCAGGTGCAATCTCGCAAGAAAAAGGGGCCTCATCCTGACAGACCATTGACACAGGAAGAACTGCTCAAAGAGGCTAAAATCACAGAGGAAATCAACATACGCTCACTAGGTAAGCTAGTGATCATTAACAGAAAGGCCGGAATAACACGACTATATCTGGGGAATTGCCACCTTGGGAGTGGTAGAGGATAAATGCAACAGCCTTGAAGTGGCAAAGGCTAAAAATGATATAGAATAGGTAGTAGATGCCTGGAATAGCTTTTCACTTGGAGTAGTAAAGGCTAACAATTACATAGTGATATAGTTCAGCCTTTCACTTAGTTTCTGCTGTTTATCTAGACAAACGTGAAAACCCCCATTTGAAGTGATTTCCTGTTGTGCAACAAAGTAGGGAAAAAAGTTTGTCTCTTTGGGGAGCCTTCAATGTCTCCACGCACAGCATGGAGACTGAACATTGGCCCTGCAATCTTTGACAGAATATGCCCAGTAAGTCCAAGTGACAGCCTCTACAGGCATTAGGCAGCAATGTAACCACTGCCCGCTGTTAAGACTTTAGGGACATGCTGTTTTGCCCGTACCACTACATTGAGCTGTTGTAGTTCTGGTGCATATAGTGTTCTTTAAAAAGCATCCAGACATTGACAATCTGTAGATAATCTGATGAAGCTATCTATTTAAGCACACAATTCCACTGCTTCATTGCTCTTCCTCTAAGAAACCCTTTTTTTCTGCCATAGCAAAATCTTCACGTCAAAATGGGTGGTCTGTTGTTCATTGCACAGTCCTGTCAAGGAACAGGTTTTCAAAGAGTTTTGTACCGTCCATTTATATTTTTGTCCTGCTATTATATTCTCCTGTCTGTGTTTGGTTTAGTTGGCTTACCGTCACACGCTGCTTACTGTGTAAACTTTCAGAGGTGAAGAGGAATATCCTCTAAATCTAAACTATGTTTTGCAACAAATGTAGAATATTGCACAGCCACTTTATGATACTCTTGTTTATCACTAAATGTGGATAAACACCTTTGGATAGAGAATAGTGTGTTTGCTTATAAAGAGGTGGGGGCATCTTAATTTAAGCACATGGTTTTGTTTATCTATCCTTCCATTTGCATAATGTAGTGTTATCGTTTCATAATCCATGTTTGCACTGGTAATACATTAATTGACATATCTCCCCCTCCTTTTCTTCCTACATTCCCGGTGGTTTATCTCTCTGATCTGAATACTTTGTTCTCTCCCTATAGAGAATTATGAGCGACTGGAAGCTGACAAAAAGAAGCAGGTGTTTAAGAAAAGACGATGTGTTGGCCCAACCATCCGCTATCACTCCGTAGCAATGCCACTAATAACGGACATAACTGTGAAGGAGGAGAACGTGGATGTGGAAGGGTAATTACAGTGTGGTAGATTATTATAATATTATTGTGTCTATAACAGTCATTATTTACTTCTCATGGTGAGGTTGAAACGGGATGAGCATCTGGAATAGAAGAGAGTTTCTGTATTCCATGTAATTCCTCTATTATACCTGTTTAATTGCCTGTAGTTTGTCTTCAATAATGGCTTCAGCACCTTTGAACTTACTATATCAAGAGGGTTCTTCTGTCATTTACTATAACTGTTTCACTTGTCATTGGTTTATGTATTGTATTGAAAAACAATACTCCCTAGGGAGCATCCAGCATTTTAAGCCGGGTATGCCTGAATCAATTACTCTTGTTCACCTTTTGTATTGTGGACTGGTAAACACATAAAACACTAATTACTTACATTTTACTTTAATGGCTTGTACGGTTAGAAGTACATCAAACATACAATATAAAGGTATTTTCTCTGTTACTACAAGTCATTATATTTCTGGTTGGCAATTAATTTATCCCGCAGAGGACATATACAAACAGGCTCTCCTCCAGTCCAAATATAAAGCATATCTTTTGTCTTAGTCTTTTGTTTTGAATCATTTAAAGTATGTTTGACAAGGTGCCACATTTTAAGTAAAGGAGGTATATGATATGCACGGCCCTTAGTGGCCCCAGCGGGAGTTCTGCTCCGTGTCCGACATAAGTTTATTAAAATATCTTAGAAGGTGATGCGACGTAAATAGCATGTAGTAATTTTTATGTTGTTGTTTTGTTTAATACAAGATTGTGTATAATGACAGATCATTGCTCCTTCCACATTCATTAGACATAATGATATAGAAAACAAAAACCGTTCTTTATGCGATACATTGTGAAAGAATATTTTAAGACTTTTATAACATTTAGTCAAGTAACGGAGGACTGCTGCTGGCAGATAATTACTTGGGATATTTGATCAATACTAAATTGCACCCTTTGCAATTGTAACCAGGCAAACTACAGAACAATGATCTGTAATGGCCGATTGCTTCTCTTTACAGACTGAAAATTCACTATAAGATAATTACTGTCTAAACAAATATAGCAAAGCATGTGTTATCACTACAAAACTGACAAGCCACAGTAATTAGTGTAGAGTGGAATCTGGGAGCTAGATACTGGGGCTATTATGGAAGTCTTTAGGAGAAATTTGGTTTTGGAAGTGTAGGGGCTTTGCATGCTATATATAATTAAGAGTTGATCCATGGTTGAAACTTACAGATTGTGCAAAGGGTTTTACTAGGCAATTATGGAAAATCGATGACATTTTCTTTAAAATGTCATGAAAGAAATGAGACCTTAGAAATTCAGTACAGATAGCTGATTTTACACTGTGCTGTCTTTGCAGGCTGGATCAGGAACAGATGGGGGACTCCACCCATAAAACCACCACTTCTTCTAGCAAATGTTCCCGCACCTTCATCACTTTCACTGAAGATGAAACTTTCGACCGTTTCTTCCCCAAAATCAAGAACGCAAAGTTCCCGGTCAGAGAGATCTGTCCCGTCACCCACAAACCTGCCCAGTACAGGGATCCAATCACAGACATCCCTTACTACAATGCCCGTGCCTTCAAAATCATCCGGGAAGCTTACAAAAAATACATCACTGCCCACGGTCTCCCAAACTCTGCCATGGCAGCTGCTATGGGACCTTCAGCAGCATCGGCCGATCCTAACCAACGTAACACCAGGCAGAAAATTATCATCAAGCAAGGTGTACAGACAGCGTAATGGACTGCATCCCACCAGCTCTCTCTTGCAGTTTGCCTTACATTTACTCCTCATTTAGGAAAGAGGCTAAGCAGCAGGATGCAAGGCATTTGATATTTTTATATATATATATTTTTTTTTGTTTTCTAGTTTTGACTAGCTGATTTTATTTATTTGTCATCTTGGGAAGGTGGGGGACAACATTATTGTTCAGTGAAAGGATTCGGTGTTCAGTATCTCAGTGGACATCTGACTGTTGTGTCTTTATGGAACTTTAGCAGTTGCTCGGTCCATTTGAGTTTGATTCTTTGAAGACCCTTTTGGCTTTCTTTTCTCTCAACCAACCAATGGGTTGATATACTCTACCCAAGCTATGGACTTGCTCTAGAACATTTTCGATATGTGGCCTCTGTACATAAGCAACTCAACACATGGAACTACTCTAGGACCTTCTCAATCTGTGGAACCACTCCAGAACCTACTCAGTTTGTGGATTGATTCCTGCAAAAAGTATTTTCCCATGTAAACCAGCTCGAGATGTGCATCTCTTCCAGATTTATTCTGGTTAGACATCTCTTCCCTCTTCCAATAAACAAATACCATCTAAAATACATATTGAATCCAACCTAATTTCCTGGGGTTTATCATGGGGTAGCTAAATATTTGCTCAACTATTGGACTTTTGCAAATACATTTAATCTCCTACTCCTGCTACAATGGAACTACCCTGTTTATTCATGAGGAGGTCACATTTGGCACTCCTGTAATAAATATCTGCAGTTTAACTTAACATCCAGGGTATCTGGAAATATGAGCATTGGTCCGTTGCTTTGAGCCAAACAATAAAAGCAGTTTACTTCTGTCAAATGAAGTTCCTAATTCTGTCTTCTCTTGTCAGTCTGTTTACGTTTTGATCCATCACCCTGCTCTGCATTCTGCAAATCAGTCACAGGCAGGGGCCAGCTAAACAAACATTTCAGGAAGTTGTGGTGGATAGAAACAGGTGTGTTGACCTATTTTAGACTTAATGGATTCACCTCTCTGTCTGTGTTCAGGAAAAGCCTAAGGTTCTGTTGTGCTTGTTGACTCTGCAAAGTGTTTCAGTGCATATTCAATATAGAGAGAGACAGACCATTCTTAAGCTTAGAATCTATGGAATCGTATTCGATTGAACAGGTGTCATTCTAAGGAATGCCTATTCAGATGTTCACAGCAGCAATACTTTCTTTGCACATGTCCATCCACTGGGTGGGGGTTGGGTGGTGAAAGAGTCTAGGCTATGCATTCTATTAAAACAAGCAATTTGCCCCAGCAATCACTCTGCTGTTTATACTTTACGTTTTCACAATTTTTCTTTTAAAACCAGGCTCAAGGAAATATTATAAATTACACGTCTTTTAAAGGGAAAGATCAGAGCAACCACTGTATTAATTTGGAAAAATCTAAACAAGTTAATATTTTTAAATGAAACTTGCTTGGCATACAAAATGATTTCCTAAAAAAGTTTTTCAGGCTAAACTGCAGTGGGTCACCCATTCTACAGACAATTCAATTGTATTTTACATGAGCTCTACACAACTTCTAACATGTTAAAAATATTTGAAAATTAACACACAAACGTGAACAGCATGCCGGGAATTATGACATTTCATACGAAAGGCACAGAAATGCAAGGAATATAAATAAGATTGTCAGTAAAATATTGTTGAAATAACTGAATCCATTTAAAAAGCAAAAAGCTGCAACTGCTTGTAGACTTTTTATGGGCACGCAGATTCATGCAATGAGTTTTGCCTTTCCGTCACGGTCAATGGGCCAGCTTTATGAATAAGCCGATTCTTGTTTTGGGACTAAGTTGCCCTTTCTGCATTTTTACAAGTTGGCCAGTAGGTGGCTGCCACTGAGTTGATCTGAGTACCAGCTGCAGCCAAATGACAGGCTGAGTCACACCCCTTCTCAGAGTTATCCCCCTTCCCAGCTTTGACAGACCCTCACATAGCCTGCAGGAAAGTCACAAGGTAAGCGTGTATCCTTCCTATGGATCTGTGTAAAGTGCTGTTAAATCTCCCTGGTACATAGTGTACAGTCAGATTGTGTACCAGAGCAAAAAGTTCCTTCTTAATTTCATTATATTTTGTGTGCTTACAGCGTTCTATAAATCTACGAATAAAGTTATGATCTATAATTAAATCATTAATTTGCAAGGCTTGGCTTTAGAAAACCGTTTTAAATAAATCACGCTCCGTTCATAAAATAAACAGGTTTTTACTTGCAGTCATCGAACTGAAGTGAAAAAACATGATATTGAAAGGGTTAACTATTTTGTGCTAGGTATGGACCCGTGATATATGTGGTGTTTTTGATTTCGTTTTTTGTAACTGGTTTTGGAAAAATAGTTTTTATTTATTTATTTATTTTCTGTTTGGTTTTTGTTTTTTTCAAAAACAGAATTATGTGAAAATCGGGTTTGTTCTGCATACAGGTGGTCGGTTATATGCCGGTAATGACCCACTCAGTCACTCCACAAGTAAATGACTTCCATATCGGTTTCGAGGGCTGTGTGTATGTGCCTAGACTGCTTAGTCCGGCAGGATTTTGGGGATCGAATTCCTTTTTAGTATGCTGGACGGCAGTGGCTGCTAACATTAACCCTTTATGAACAAGTGACATGCCTGGCATGTCATAACATTTAGGGGTTCACTCTAACCTGTGATCCATAACAGTTTAAACCAGGAACAGAAACTGAATGTCAGAAATATAGGAGATATATATGTACTGAAGAGCTAACATTATAAAGAACACATTAACATTATAACTGTTATCATTTCTGTTATCTTTGTTCATGATTTTTTTTTAATGCCCTGTTTGGTAGTGGTGTACATGCTAGTATCTACCACACCCCAATAATATGTAATATGAACTGTATACACATGAATCATATTTTTTAATCTGGGCTTTTGATCCATGTTGACGCTAAAAGGTTGTGATCTAATTATTTCCATGCTTGCAATGGGTTCTCTATGCCCTTTAAACGATTCGAAAACTACATTACTGCTTTCTGTTCCTTTACTTACGGAAGACTTTAATATCTTAACCGGTAACCCTTTCCAAAGCTGCCGTCTTTTGCCTTAAACACCAGCTGCTCTGTGTGTTTGTTAGCGGGTGTAAATCCTGATCTGCTGAACTGGGCATTAAACGATCCCCCAGGGATTGGAATCGCCACGCATGCGCCATTTGTTGTTCGTGATATTTTGTTAATGCAGCACATGTGTTTAGGGGTCCTATGGCAGTATAGACATTAAATGTCACACTATACAATTATTATTCTTATTGTATTTGTTTTTTCCTTCTATGGGGCCAATATCTCAAATTACAAAAGACTGGGGGAGTTTGTGTGTTCTGTGGTGGGAAATGCAACGTTACTCACTGGTGTGTAGGTTTCTAGTGCAAATAGGCTCCAGTTTTGAAGAATTTGTTTTTGTCTTCCTGGTCAAGTTACAGCTGTCATGTCATTTTGCTATTTCTGTCCTCCCTGGTGAGATGAGAAATAAAAATCTCTGCAGATTTTTTATTGGAATACTGTAAAACCTTGTGTCAGTAGCTTTTAGTAATCTGAAAGCTGGTTCATTTGGGAAGGGCACAGGATTCCTGATTGTTGTCTGGGTGCCATGGAATACCCAACAATTTACACAGTACAAGGACATGCTTCATTACAATACGGTTTATACACTATACAGTGACTTGGAAGCCGGATTGCAGAATTTAGGACATAATCAGCAATTTGGAAAAACGCTTGAATTGGGAATTTTCTCCTCTGCAGCTATTGTAGCCTCAATTTTGCCGTTTAGTTTTTTTGTTTACGCCATTTATATTTTAGTGAATAAACCTTCAGCCTGTTGGCTTCTAAAAAGAATAATCTCATAAAGGTATGTTTCGTATCAGTTTAAAATATATTGTTGTGCTCATTTTGCTACGGGCATTCCGAACAGATTATCTTCCAAGCTTATGTTCTGCACCCATTTTCTAATACGGTTAGAAGTATCGGTAGCCTATATGGGGCCGGACAGGTTTTCTGCTGGAACAGGTAAAATAAACTTAAAGTGAATAAATCAATTAGACGCTGTATAAACTAATCCATTATCAATGCTATATTGGCGTTACTTTTTTCTTTTATGTCATTTTAGGCGTCACATACATGTTAAAACTATTTTCTGATGTAAAACATTTGGTTTTTAATTGACCATGGGAGGTTTTTTTTTTTTTTTTGTACTATGGTAAATTAAAAGAGAAAAACCCAGTACAACATGGTGACATTGGTTGGAACAAATCTTCAATGTTTTCTCACAAAATTTGGCCAACTTGGTTCCCTGTTTAATAAACCACATTACTCCCCCCACCCTTGCATTATATAAAAGATGGTTCCTTATTGAACCAAGGAGAACTTTTCCTCTTTGTATGGATTTTAAATATAGGTAAAATCTAGTTAATTTTAATGCACCTTATACTCGGACTGATAGCGCTTCCCATGAATTGAATAGCTGTGAGCTATGAATTACTTACTCTTTTAAGCCCCTGCCGATGAGGAGTTCATGGGATATGCCCATCACACAGAACCACTCGGAAAGCTAGGATTGACCGAAGGAAGCTGACCCCTGCAATTTTCACCGCAGGCAGCTGGCAATCTGGTGGGCTTGACAAACTTGCTCTGAATTTCGGTGCCAGCTTAAAAAAAGGTTAGGAGCCAGGACATTTTTGTTTTAAACTAACAAAGCTTTATTTTCACCAACACAAATAACAGATCTTAAAGGGACACTATTGTCACCAGAACCACTACAGCCTAATTAAGTGGTTCTAGTGTCTTTAGCCTGTCCCTGCAGGGTTTACATTGCTACCTAGCAACACCTCTAGGGACAGTCACTCAAACGGCCACCAGAGTTGGTTCCTAGTTGAGTGTTGCACAATGTGCAGCACCTACGTTCAGCGTCTCCACTCATGCAGGCACAGAATGTTCCCTATAGAGATGCATGAGACCAGAGTGGCATGGGAAAAAGGTGAGTAAACACACATTTCCTATGCAATTGGAGGGGTCACCTAAATAGTTAGTTTTACACATTTGTTTTTGTTGTGGCCATGAAAATGACTTGTATCTTACTGCTCTTCTGCTCCCTCACGTGCCGTGTAGTGATGTTGAAGTGACGTCATAGCAAGGCGAGCATAGACATTACAGTTTCCTCGCCACCACCCGCCTTATGGGGACCCTAAGGTAGCCAGTGTCGAACACAAGGCATTAGGACAAAATTCCTAGTTAACCTGGTGCCTGGGATTTGTCAAGCCCTGCTTTACCTTGGCTAATCTTGAAAATTTGGATTTTGAATGGGAAGCATTTGAGACAAAATGTCAAATGTGTTGGTCTGTCATTATAACAAATCTTGAAATAAAGCTGCAATAAAGACGTTTACTGTTGTTAAAACCATAAATCATGCTCTCGGGGTCTGCCCATTTGAGCCATACAATAATAAGACATTTTTGTTACTTTTGAGAGAGAAACATGGTTAATGTCCGTGTTCCCTTTTGACCTGTGATCAGCTCATGCTTGTATTTGTGGTTTTGTTTATTTTTAGATCTTGCTTGCAGATAGGGCTCTGTGGGCCCACCGTATCGCACGCACAGCATGTTTGCATTGTCACAGATCCGTGAGGTTTCAATAAAGATATTCTACTTTAAAACCCGGTGCTGTATACCAAATATGCCCAGTGCCCATTATTCTTCAAAAGGATTTAAGCCGTAAGAGATACACATAGCAAGGCTTAGCACCAGCCATCAAGCCCATGTCTCTTCTGACATCGGATGACAATTACAGACCTGGTTTTATGGATCTTCTAACTTGATGAAGCCATTAACCTTCTGTACTCAAGGACTGAAAAGTATTTTATAGAGGCTGTAGTGAAATCCATCTGTATTATGGAGTATGTAGAGAACTCGGAGCCTCCGAATTAATGGGACCATCAATTAAAAACATAAACCCGAGGGGATCTTTCTGTATTTATTTTTATACAAACTCCATTACTTGCTAATTGCCAGCTCTCCTGAGAATGTACTTTTTGATACTGCAATATATTCTGAATTGCGGCGTATAATAGAATAACCACTCAGCTGCCAACGTAGGCCTCATTTTAATTCTTTTGTATAAGCCTTTCAAATTATCACAATCTGTTAGAAAAAAAAAAAAACATTTCGAATGATTTATCCACAGAAGTCACCATTTAGGTCTGTGGGGATTTTTGTAGAATAATCATTTGAAAGGTTTTTCTAACAGATTGTGGTTATTTGGAAATATTATCCAAAATAATTAAAATGAGGCCTCCGTTGGTATTGCCGATTGGTTTGTTGAAATATGTGTCCTGTTTATTAATGGGCTTATTTTCTAAACTACGAGCTATGAGGCCAGAATAGCTAAGGTGGAGACTTTTTTTGGGGGGGGTTCATAGAGCGAAAGGTGGTCATCGCAATTCAGTGCCACCCGTGTACGTTATCTTGGAACTATAGGGCGATGTTGGTGTTTACTTTTTTTAAATTCACAAGCGTTGGCTTTGCGTTGCCCTGTAATGGTCCGACTTTACAAAGTCGAGAGGGTTAAATAGGTCAGAGGATTTCAGAATCCAGCGGTGCGGAGTTAAGGGGATAATCTCTAACTCTCTCGCTGGCACGTCCAGCTGGGCTTGATTGTGTTTCAAGAGATGATAGTTAATCATTCTCATGTGTATGAATTTACACCGTTCCTTACTGACTTACTTTTTTCTCTTTGGAATTTTAACTCATCCATTCGAATTTTTGTTATTTTGTTTTTGTTTTTTGTATTTTTAACTGCTGGATACTGTGACTTTTGCTGTTCATGGAGAAGGCATGTTATTTAAAAAAAAATCAAAAAAAAAATCTGTTAAAGCAGCACTGTCATGCCGAACTTACCTTTCCTCAATCTCTTCCTCTTCTCTCCCTCTCTCAGGATCTGTTCTTCTTTTCTTCCTGTCTTCTTTAGTTTTATTTAAAATCATAAGACAAAGTAGGGACTTTTTGCCTTATGGAGGTGCAAAGAGTGCTTCATTTCCGCTGGTCAGAGCAATTTTCCCATAATTCTTACCTTTCACTGTGATCTCGCGATGCTTCCTGTCATTTTAGACGAAACTGCCGAATTGCGTTCTAACTGAATGAGAACAGTATGTTCGTTTTTTTAGAACGCAATTCGGCACTTTGTTCATATCGGGGGTGGGTGGGGGCCCTAAATAAGGATAGGGGGGGTGACTACTGTCCTCCCCCCGGTCCCCACCCCTGAGCGGTGGGTGGGGGCCCTGAATAAGAATGGTGGGGGGACCTAATGTCCTCCCCTCTGGCCCCAACCTCTGAGCGGTGGGACCTACTGTCCTCCCCCAGGCCCCACTACTGAGCGGCGGGTGGGGGTCCCCCCCTTATTGTTTTTTTAGGGCCCCCACCCACCGCTCAAGGGTGGGAGCCGGGGGGGGGAAGGACAGTAGGCCCCCCCTTATTGTTTTTTAGGGCCCCCACCCATTGCTCAGGGGAGGAGGACAGTAGGTCCCCCCCACCATTCTTATATAGGGCCACCGCTCAGGGGTGGGGGCCAGGGGGAGGACAGTAGGTCCCCCCCACCATTCTAATATAGGGCCCCCACCCGCCGCGCAGGTGTGGGGGCTGGGGGGGGAATGAGGACAGTAGCCCCCCCCCCCTTTATTGTTATTTAGGCGGGTGGGGGCCGGATAGTATAGTGAGTAGGGGCATTTGGGAGATTTTAATCTCCAGTATGTTATTATGGGGGTCATATTGACCCGAATAGAGTGAGGCAGGACATTGGGGGCTTAGGAAGTGACGGGGAACACAGCTCCCTGCCGCTTCTATCTTTACATATTACAAGGTGGGAGATGCGTGCCGGTAGATCTCTCCTTGTAATAAACAGAACGAACACTGATACACAGTGTTAGTTTGTTCATCTGACAATGCTATTCATTCATTCGGCTTTCTGACGAATGAATGAATAGATGAAATTCCCGTTCGCATGTCGAAGTGTTTAACTGGGCATGTGCGGGAATCTCAGTCTGTCTAGTGTGGGCAGATGACGTGTCCCACGGAGACTTCCTCTACCCACACAAAGATGGCAGCGCCCTGAATACAGATCGGGGCAGAAAATAAAGAATAAAAAATAAGTAATATGGAGGGGGTTAGGGGCATTTGGGGGTGACTAGGGGGTCAGTTAGATGTAGTGGAGGCGGGGGGGGGGAGATAAAAAAAAAAATGGGATTTGGCCATGACAGTGCAGCTTTAATAACAAATTTTTGTAAAATAGAAAACAGCTTTACTATAATTTACTGGCACTTCATGTTTCTCTGAAAAAGTAATATCAAATATCAAGCAAAGAAAATTACACTTTGCATAATGTTTTTGTTTGACATGCTCACACTACAATACAAATCTTCCACTAACACTCCAGGGATACTTGAAGCATAGCTGTGGTTATGCCTCAATACAGTGGAGGGGAAAAAAGCACATACTACTGGAGAGATTAAAAAATATATATATATTGTCCCGCCTCCATAGCTGAGATGAATGATTTATGATCTCAGCTAAGTCAATGCTTTTCCATAGGAAAGCATTGGGAGGATATTACACATATTGATATGGTGTGTTGAGCAGTCATCCGACACCCGTGCGAGGGTTATTTCTCTTGTTTGGGTTCAGTCCATTTGGGGGGCAAGTGCTGTATCATGGAGGTGAGACACCCCTCCAGCCCTGGCGCTGTGTAAGAGCTTGTACCTTCTTGCTACGAGCCTGGGATCCAAGGTCTTCCCTGTCGGGATGATGCAGTGGGTCCTGCGGTTGTTCGCTGTGTGTCGTTGCTTATGTCTTGTGGACCTCCGCATGTGTGGCCGGTGCCTGTGGGTTGTGTCCCTTGTTGCTCTCAGCCCGCGTGGGCATCTTTTGTGGATGGCTGAGGTGGAGGACCGCGTTGCATCCTTTAGAGGTGCACTTGGTCCCATTCGGTCGGTATTGGGGCAGTCATAGCTTGCTTAATATGGGTCAGCAGCTTGGCCCAGAAGCGGTCAAAAATATCAAGTGTGTCTCTTACTTTGTTGCTTGGGCCTGGCAGGTCATGCTGCTGTATCAGCGTGCCACGTGGAACTGGGCCTGATGCGTCCTTCATTTTGTGTCGTCTTCAGGGTCCTCCGAGAGGTATGGGGTGTGGGTTGCTCAGTCTGGCGGGGACCGGGATATCTCCCACCGGTCCACAGCGGGGGGGAAGTGTTTCTTGCTCGCTTGTGGCAGCGGGAGGAAACCGGCTGCCTTTTTTTCCCTCCACCATCTTCAGTAGGCCTCAAACTGCTGCTGCGGTTCCCGGTCGTTCCATGAGTCTGGTGTCTACAGGTGCATGCAGGCTTCCCCAATTGGTATTGCTCTGTTATGAGAGGTTTCCAGCACTGCAGCCCAAGATATCGTCGTGGGTATAGCCCATGCAGCAGGAGCTCATCCGAGGCATGACTTGTCAGCTCACTGGCCTGGCTTTGCCCTCCTTACACAGCCTGTTTAATTATAATTTATCTCCTGCCAGTGGCTACTGTGATTAAAGTGCAATTAACAGAGCAAGAGATCAAAACATCTAGAGTAAAAACTCTGTTCTCAGACCTGATTGAAAATGAAACCATTTTGTTTTCATGCAGGCTGTGTCAGTCACAGGCAGGGGAGGTGTGACTAGAGCTGCATAAACAGAAACAAAAGTGATCTAACTTCTAAATGGCAGAGAATTTAGCATTGAGACTGAATGGGGCATGATCTATACACCAAAACTGCTTCATTAAGCTAAAGTCATTTTAGTGCGTATTTAGTGAGTATCCTTTTTATAATAGCAAAAATGCTCAAAGTGTTTTTTATTCAAAATGGAAATAAGTGGGATTCTTCTGCTGACTTTACTGGTTCCCATGATGATTGTTGTTTCCACTTCATTTTTCTAACTCTCCCGCACTTCACCGCCTGTGCTAATGCAGGAATATATCTCGGGATGGTTTTATTTAATTGTGTATCAGATCGTAGAATACCGATATATTTATCAGGTCCTGTGAGAGGTGGCCGAAAAAGGTGACCCTTTATCATTTCTCTGTGTTTAACATATTGACTGAGAATATAAAACTAATTGAGATTTTCTGGTAATATAATCGAACACATGCGGAGGCCGTTGTTCTGTTTTATTTTACAGAAATTACTGTGGTTTTCCACGTGGCTGGCTGCTGGTTTCTACAATTTGTCTTCACCTACATGCAGCTAAGTACTTTCTCCATGATTGCGTTCCCAAATGTATATTCAGGAACAAACTGCTGTTCATTAAACTATATTAGCCAGTAATATGGCAGTTGTGCCTAAACCGAAGCCGAACGAGGGCTGTGGTGTACACCTGTCTGCATTTTTTTTGTTCATTAGATCAGTAATTGTGTTGGGTCAACGAGAGATATGCAAATCGTAGACCAAAATAGCTGATTTGGCAGAATTTTATTGTTATAAAACTAAGTTCCTCTGTCCTAAACATTAACAGGTTAGTGAATTAAAGGAGCACTGTAGGTTCAGGAACACATACATGTATTCCTGACACTATACTGTTAAAACCATCATCTGACCCCCTCTTGCATCCCTAAATATAATATAATCTTACTTGTATTCAAGTCTGTAGCTGCTGCCACTGAAACTGCTCCTGCTGACATCATCAGAAGTGGTCTGAGCCACTCACAGTGCTTCCCCATAGGATTGGCTGAGACTGACAAGGAGGCAGGTCAGAGGCAGATCAAGCATGATTCAAACACAGCCCTGGCCAATCAGCATCTCCTCATAGAGATGAATTGAATCAATGCATCTCTATGAGAAAAGTTCAGTGTCTACATGCAGAGGATGGAGACACTGAATGGCAGTCGCACTGTGCAGCACTGCCCCCAGGAAGCACTTCTAGCAGCCATCTAAGGAGTGGCCAGTGAAGTTATCACTAGGCTGTATTGTAAACACTGCATTTTCTCTGAAAAGACCGTGTTTACAAGAAAAAGCCTGCAGGGACTGATTATACTCACCAGAACAAAGTCAATAAGCTGTTCTGGTGACTATAGTGTCCCACCCGTTGTAAGTAGTTAAATTGTTTTTAGAAGGCTTGACTTCTTACGTAGGGCCATCGGGTGTAGGTCTGTGTCTCCTCTAATTGTGACAGCAAGCTGAAAAATCCTAAGCAGGAGCTTTCATTAGCTCTCCTGACCTAAGCCCTACGCTCATCGGCCTCAGAGAGAGAGAGAGCCTCAGCTAATTGTTCTCAGCCAGTGAGCAAAGTCCTGCACTGCTCTCTGTCGGAAGTAGAGGAGGCAGGGAGCGGAGCCCAGTGGGTGCCAGTTAAGAAGTGAGACCATCCTAAAAATTTTGACTACTTAAATTATGGGGTGTGCTGGGCAAATGCGGGCACTATATCCACTACAGCAAGTTTTTGTGTTTAAAGTGTTACTTTAAATCTCTTTATATGTTCTTGCATGCAGGACGCACCACCAGTAATATGACAACACAATAGGTTAATTCCCAGTGCACTGACATCTCCATACATACATTCCATGATAATGTGTGCAAAATGACAAAAAGGAATAATCACAGCAACTACAGCTCATGTGCTTCAGTTGCCATAAAAGAGGTCTCCAGCTCTCCCCTCACTCAATCTTTGACATGTACCCTATGCTTTTTGCATTGCCCTGTATGCTGAGAAATGGGTACCATAATAGGGGGAGAATTGTTTTTCTATTTGTTTCTGTTTAGTCTATGTCTTTGCTAGCACATTGTATAGATAAGTTTTGCAGCAGCATCCCGGATACCCTACTACAGAGGTAGGTAACCTTCGGAACACCACATGTTCAGAACTACATCTCCCCTGATGCTTTGCCAGTATTATGACTATAAGAGCCATAATGATGGGAGATGTAGTCTACAAGAGCCGAATGTTACCTGCCCCTTCTTTCGATTGTAAACCTAAAATTCTGTATCTACGGAACCTTAACAGTTAAGAAATGCAACGTGCTTCATGTGAAGGGTCTGCAGTTGATACCAGTTTTGCAAGCACAATATACAGATCACACGGATACCTTCCCGAAGGTGTGTTAGTACGTATATTAATCGCAGGTAAAAATAAAATCTTTATATTAAATGCTGAATTCTTCGGGCACTTCCTTGCATCTAATGCAAATCTGTTGAATTTTCGCACATTCTCACATTGATTGTCGGGATAAAAGCATTGGAGTCATCCTGCTGAGCGATAAATGGTAGATTTGATATTAATGACCATTAGTTCTGCTCTGATATGTCTAATTGTTTGTTGCACTGTAACTTAGCTCACACTTGGAGTAAAGCCACGTCCCTACAGCTCTCCTCCAGAGTGGGAATTATTACAGAGCTGTAGGACTTTGCTCAGCCTGGCCTTTCTCCCCCCTACCCCTGTTTGATTGACAGATGCTGCTGTTCCACCTGACACCTTATACTTTTGCTCTCTCTGCGCTCCTGCACAGCTCTCCCCTCCTCCCCAGAACAGTGCCATAAATCCATACAGTCCAATGTATACCCAGAGAGGTGAATATGGGGACATTCCCCAAAATAACTGCTACTAGGGCTGCCTGCTCGTAGCTTCATTCTAATTTAGGATCAGGATCTTGGAGGAAGGAAGGGCACTGTTTAAAACACCAATATCCTACTGCTCAGGAGCCAATGTTATGGTTACAAATTAATATTCCCCTTGCTCTTAAAGTGACACTCCACTGTACTAATACAAATCACTGTTTAGTAAATATACCCCAAAATGAAAGCATTCATGCATCATGCCTTTAATTATGCATTTTTTCATTGATGATTTAGTTCAAAACAGCTTGATAAAGCTGCAGACTACTTGTCTGCAGCCTTTGCAAACCTTCCCCTTCTAACCCCACCCAGACTTTCTGTGGCTGTCCAATCACAGACTTCCTAATGCAGCTCAATGGGAGGTCTTTGTAAGACAGATACTCTGGGTAATTGTTGCCTCTTGAGTATAGTACCATTAAGCTAAACAAACCAGGAAGTTGTCTGACAGGAGGTGGGGTGGGTGGGGAGGTGGGGGGAAGCTTAAGGTTGTTTTATAAAAGTGTCAGTTTCTATTAAAATATCCTCTTATTGTAAAATGAAATGGCACTCTTTACACATAAAGCATTTCAGCAAGCTGATGTGCTTGAGGTGTCTGGAGTATCCCTTCAAAACCTTAAACACATTACCTATAAAGTTACAGGTCCAGGTTTCTTACAGAAATTGGGTAGATAACGTGTATTTATATTAAAAGGGTGTGGTAAACTTCAGAAACGCACCAGATTATTGCAGTGGTTATGGTGCAATGAGTCAAGCCATTGTCTCATGTTGAGACCATTTAAAAAGGTTTAATTTCATTCTACCACTTTACACATTGACTCTACTCTCCACCTGGCCTAAAATTAGCAAATTGTTGCCATCCTCGACATACCATGAGATGCATTTAAAGACCCTCCATCAAGCCTACTTACCTCCGGACAAACAATTTAGTATTAAAATTACACTGCCTTTGCTCTGTCTCCTGAGTTGTTGGTGCTAGGTTTTGCCCTGATGCTCCACTTAAATTTACCAAAATACCAGTGGCAAGAAAGGCTATTTTAATAAAATTGGATCCATCCTGATCCCTCAACCTTGCCATATAAATTCTAGATTTTCCTTCTGATGTTTGGTGGGACAGTGTATTGTATTTAAGTTGTCAATAGACTTTAAGAGGTTTTTAACTTGTTAATTTGTATTATTAGTATTGTAATTCCTGTACTCCACTGAATGCCTCTTACGTTGTCTACCTTTGTCTAATATAATGTTTCCCGTCTTGCCTATTTGCATTGACTTTGTCACTACGGTGGCTGTGGCTCGTGTGTCTTCTGAGAAGAGATATGCTTTGTCCAATTTGTGTGTCATGTAACTGGGACTGAGCATCCAACTGTCTGATTGACAACTCTGATGGGCTGGATTAAACTTTTGTGATTTTTACATATCTCTGCATGTTTAAGCCATTCTCAGATCTGAGTAGACTCAGGCTTGTCTGTGCACCAACCGTGTTGCAGTCATATAAATTGTTATGATTTGTAGAGTGATCATTTAATGGCTCTCTACCACCTAAATTATTCTTACTAATCAGAATGCTGATACTTTATTCCTAATAGATACGTTTTATGACTATGTTCACGCCAACGTACGCAAAACTATAGATAAAAATAAATTAAAAAGATCAAGCTTTTAAATATTTCTAATATTTTGGCTAAAAATGAATCTGTTATGACCCGCCTCATCTTCGATCCAGCACTTCTATAACACCCACCTCCTGTCTGCCTACACTCTCAAGTCAGTGCTAGCAGCATCAGCTAGGGAGTTTCCATAGCAACCACAGCGCTTGCACATGTCCATCAATTCTTTCAGCACAGTCTATGCTCTGGAGAAATACTTATATTTAAATAGTTTGTTTTTGGTTTTACCCCTCAATCTATATATTTTGCTAGCACAATGTATAGACAGAATTTTATAATCCTTTAAAATCAGCATTGTTTCCAAATGTTACATGTGCCTTTTAAAAGAAACTATGACTGTTTTGTTGTAAAGATGGCCCTCTTAAACTTTTACGAACATTTTAAAAATAAAGGGAAAAAACCTACTGAGGGCATTTAATAACAGCAACCAAAGTCTGTGAATCCCCATATTTGTGTGTTCTTTTGATACCCTATGGCCTGTGTGTAAGTCTTATTTTTACTTTTTGTATGAGAAAAATATTGAAAATAGGTAAAAGCTTGAAGTATTGCAGTGGTAATGATTAAAACACAGAATTGGCTTTATAGCACTTCCATATAAAGGACTTCATCAGTCCTCGTGTCTGGGCATCAACAGAGATATGTGGTCCAAGCACATTTCAGACATACTGTGCATGTACCAATGGCGGTGCCTAGGTTAAATAATTGACATGACATTCCAGCTATACTATGTAGGATTGACAAACCGTTTTGAAAAATTCATTTGCTTACTGTCTTACATAAATCTTTTGTTCCTTTTTGAATTTCAGTGGTTATATAATATAGAAACTTTTACAAAGATTCTATCCTCGTAAAGACTGGCAAGTGATATTGCTGGTTTAACCAGAGATTCAGTTCAAAAGATGTCACAGGGAAGAGAGATTTCTTCCCATGTCTTTATGGACCGACGGCATCAGATGCTGACCGTTTTTTGGATCTTCCACAAATTTACTTCAGGCTTCCACTATAAAGAGACCACATAATATTTGTTGTGGTTCTGTAAATTCTTTATTTGTAATATTAATATAAGTATAGAGGTTGCATAAAAAATAAACAATTTTAATTTTCATAATTTACCACTTTGTGGGATATTATAGGCACCAAAACAACAGTTTTGCAGTCTTACTAATGAAAACAGAACAGTTTCTGAGAAACATCACTGTGACGGTCACCCAGAGTGAGGAGTGGTATCTACCGCAGAGATGTCCTTTTCCCCTAGTCTGAGTACCGCTGCAATGTTCTCCAGTTGATATCCCAGCAGACCAAGAATCCAATATAGCTGTAGATCTCTTATAAGAGTTAGTGGTTATAGCAGTATAGCAGTTCCCTACAATCATGAGACGAGGCTGCGTGTTGAGGGTTAAGTGAACTGGTTTAATGGTAGCCACACTGGCCTTTTATGCAAGTTCCCTTGCAAGGGGCACACCCACATGGACCTTGTTGGGGACTGTGACACAAACTTACAAACCAATAATGACAGTTACAATGTAAGGCACTCCCACACATGGCATACGATCCCTCCCCTCTGCCTGGGAGATAATTGAGTCAATTACTGTATCAACTCAATTATCTCCAGACGAAAAAGAACATAATTTATAGACATTCTGAAAATACCCTAAAACCACACATGAACCCCATAAAAAGTATATCCTCCGGATAGCCCCGATCTGGGTAAGCAATATATCCAAAAATCACCGAGATTGGTTCAGGGGTTTGGGATTCGTATGGAAGTCTTATTTTTTTGACCGACCGCACACAAGGCGAATAGTTCCATAGATGTGCGGCCGGTCTCTTTCGTGGGTTTCAAATATGCCGAAATGTCTCAAATAACTGTTTGTGGGAAAGCTAGCCGTGTGCCCCTTTGTTCGGGAGTTGGTTTTCACCGAACGCTGCCTCTTTCAGATGATTTGGAAGGAAACTAGGTGATCCTGAAAGTCTCAGCGGTGTTTGGGCCGTTGAGTGTCTGAAAATAGTTCCATACACTCGATGACCAAACACCGCTGGATGTGTTTGACAAAACAAGATGGCCGCCGCTACGTGTTCGTGCATATGAATCGACAGCTACCCAATGAACCACTTAGAACGTTCAGAGTTGTGGTTAGAACAAGTGTCAGTAAGGTCAATTGGCGGCACACGACTGCTTTGGGTGGTCCAAGGGTTTGGTATATTGTTCGGTATTCAAACCAGCTGGGGCAAATCTGTTCATTTGGGTTCGTATACCGATCCAGGCAAAAATAAAAGTAATATCCAGGAACAGGGCATCTGTTACAATCACTGTTTACATTTTGGAATTTCCACACCTTCTAGTGGCTGTCAGACATCCAGCTTATAGAAGCTTTAGACACAAATATATTCAGTAATTGAAGCAATTCTGTGCCTGACCTCAGCATGCACAGTATACGGTGTGCGTCCAAGGATTATATATGGATTGGTGGATCGTCAATTTCTGAGAATGTCGTGCCTTAAATACTTCTGTAAGAAGCTTCTGATTGGACAAAAGTAATCAGGATTGATGACTTCACCCAAGAAGGATCTGCTGCAGAAAGGAGCCTCTCCTGGGCTGAATTACAGGTAAGTTTAATTGCAAACTTAATTTTTTTCTTTAATTTAAAAACAGGGAAGGGCCAATAATCTAAGTTAAGAGGGTCAACTCAAATATTAGAAAGCTACACACCATAACCACGGATGCTTACTGTAGTGAATATGGCGCAAGGAATCTTTGCGTGCAGTCCCTTAGGACAGAGATGGTTCGCTGAGATCGTTGGGCAAAGCCGCCCACCGTGCTCAAAACCAATCATTGCTATCTAAGTTTGGACTAAATGCATGGAAAGAGGAGATTGTACACTGGATTATTTCTTTCTTTTTTTTTATTTTTTTTTTTTTATAACTTTACCCTTTTTACACAGTGGTCTATGTCATCTTTACATCAAAATACAAAAAAACACAGTATCACAATTCGTATTCTGTAATATCTTATTCATTCTCATGTCCGTACAGTGTTGTTGGATGTGTGTGTGTTACTGTTGCCAGTGGAGTATAATACCATGAAATTGATTCTAGACCCACAATACTATAAATATAGCCGCAGCAGGTATATAGAAGTTCACTCCAGCTGATAACTTGAAGCATTGCCCCTCATTTGCATATTTTTCTGGAACATATAAAATATGTGTTGGTCTGTTTAGATAATTCCTGCCGTTGCATGCAGACTTTTTCCTCCCATTCTCTCACAGTTTAGATAGTGATCTGTCCCAATTTCAAACTGTTTGAGCTGAGTCAGCGTGTTGTCTAAAACACGCTATCTCTTATTTCGGTGGCAGTGTGAGCTGACCACAAGCTGGTGAGATGCAGCAGTGATAGACCCCGGCCACAGCATCTCCACTTCGATCCACAAAGCACACTGTGAGTTTTTGCCACACACCCTGCAGAATGCTAACTGCATAGAATGCAACTGAAATTAAGGGGTTAATACATAAGAGAAGGGAGTCACTCTATAACAGAAATTTACAAGGTTATTTACTTAAGTGATAATTAAAAGTAATTTTTAAGTTTTTTGCCATAAAATTTTTAATTCTCACTTTGTAAATAAGCCTGCTAATCTAAAGGGATGGACCTACGTGATCAGTCTAGCTGGTGAACAGGAACCTTTAATATCAAGGGGTTTACTTAGAAAATCTACTTGTGGTGGGTTAGTGGCAGGAAAGACGTTTAAAACAGAACCCGAGAAAGTAACAGTAATGATAAAGGGTGTCATCTTTGCTCAGAAATGCTTTAGTACTCCCAAAAGCTTGTCATTACAAAATTCTGTTAGTCCAATAAAAATGGTATTACAAGATACAAATTCCATCTGTTATTTTACATCTATATAGTGTGGGTGTATATATAAACAATTGGCACCAGTTATCCTTGAAAGGTAAGATGGTATTAGATGGCGTGATAGATACAGAGTACCAAAAGACAAAATTTGTCACTTATAGCTGCTAGTAATAGCATTGTGCTTCGTACTGCTTGCACCAGGCTGTACATTGCTGCGTTATATGCTAGAGACATACTCCTCAAGATAACTGGTAATATCTTGTCAGAATATATACACCCTTAATGACAAGGCGAATCCTCTTCTATCACAACATACCTGAACGTTGGTTATTGAGGGCTGAAGTAGTTTGTGAATATATACATACATATATAAAACACATCATGTATATTTGCTTTCTTATTTAAATGACAGGTTAATGGATAAAAAAGCATGGCCTGGCATTGCAGTGGTTAAAGACCCAGCGTCCATTATAAGAAGGTTTTTTGTTGGGGCAATGTGTGGCAGTTGCTGTGTGGGCCTGTTTATGGGTCGCCGGTCTCGTTGGCAGTGAAGGGGTGAGGGGTTGTTTATAAATGGTGACTGGGAGCCGCCGGCTGCTGCTGTCAGTTACAACGTGTGCGAATGCTTGATAAGACCAGTCGGCCACTGAGCTCTGCTCAAGGTGGAAACTTTCTCATCCTTATTACCAATACATAGTCCCAGGATGTGAGCAGACTTTGTACATGGATTGTGTATAAATTGTATGATGTGTTTCAGCCTGTTACTGAGTGATCTTATCAGCAGTTTTTTTTCTGGGGGGAGATATTGTTTAAAATCACCTAGATATTATCATCTAGTGGTATAATGGGGCACCCTGGCCTCAGGAGCTTACCATCTAGTGGTATACTGGATGAGCCTGTCTCCAGGGGTTCACTATTCTTACTATACTGGACGACTCTGACTTTAGGAACCTTACCTTCTTTTGGTTTACTTGGAGACCCTGTACCTAGGAGCTTGCCATCTAGTGGTGTACTGGGACACACTGGACCTTTCCAGTCAATGAATGCAATCCAAATATGGATGGAATTTATATTTCTAATGCAGAAGTATGCAAAGCAGAACTGAGAGACAGCATCAGAGGCAAGATGGACCTAGGAGCTTGTCATCTAGTGGTGTACTGGGACGCACTGGACCTATGAGCTTGCCATCTTGTGGTCTACTGGGAGACCCTGGACCTAGGAGCTTGCCATCTAATGGTGTACTGGGAGAGCCTGGAACTAGGAGCTTGCCATCTAGTGGTGTACTGGGAGAGCCTGGAACTAGGAGCTTGCCATCTAGTGGTGTACTGAGAAAGCCTGGACCTAGGAGCTTGCCATCTAGTGGTGTACTGAGAGAGCCTGGACCTAGGAGATTACCATTTAGTGGTGTACTGGGACACACTGGACCTAGGAGATTACCATCTAGTGGTGTACTGGGACACATTGGACCTAGGAGATTACCATCTAGTGGTGTACTGGGACACACTGGACCTAGGAGATTACCATCTAGTGGTGTACTGGGACACACTGGACCTAGGAGATTACCATCTAGTGGTGTACTGGGACACACTGGACCTAGGAGCTTGCCATCTAGTGGTGTACTGGGACACACCGGACCTAGGAGCTTGCCATCTAGTGGTGTACTGAGAGACCCCAGACGTAGGAGCTTGCCATCTAGTGGTGTACTGGGACACACTGGACCTAAGAGCTTGCCATCTAGTAGTGCACTGGGAGACCCTGGATTTAGGAGCTTGCCACTTTGTGGTGTACTGGGAGAGATTGATTATAGGAATTTACCACCTAGTAGTATACCAGGAGACCATGACCCCAGGAGCTTACCACTTAAAGGTGGAATAAAAAGCTTGATTTAAGGAGCGCCCCTAGTGTGCCCATAGCATATCCCTTCACTTAGCATATTGCTATATGTAGTAGCAATATCAATTCTATACAGGAGTGGTTAACACTCACTGGCAAAGTGCATCCACTGACATTTCCAGTCAATGAATGCTATCCAAATATGGATGGAATTTATATTTCTAATGCAGAAGTATGCAAAGCAGAACTGAGAGACAGCACCAGAGGCAAGATCTCCGCTGGGGACTTTGGATGACCAGAACTGAGTTATAGGGATACTCTATGCACCAAAACAATTTTCAATGAACAATTAAGCCGTTTTGGTATATAGATCATACCCCTGCAGTGAATTCTCTGCCATTTAGGAGTTAATTCACTTTTGTTTCTGTTTATACACCCCCGGCCCCACCTCTCCAACTGTGATTCACACAGCCTTCATGAAAAAACTATTTACTTTTAAGATGTGACAGCATAGTATGTTTACTTTAGAAGTTTTTATCTCTTGCTATGTTTCATTGCACTTTAATCACTCACAGGAGCCTCCTGCAGGCCATTAACAGAGCAATCGATACAACATTTTAAATTAAACAGACTGCAATAAAGGAAGTTTAAACATTGTATCTCTCTTAACAGGAAATGTGTAGAGAGACTGTGTAGGTCACATGCAGGGAGGTGTGGCTAGGACTACATACCAAAGTTATTTAAAGGATCACTATATCACTACAATACAAACCTTTTTCCTAACAGTATGGTGTCCCTGTCCCTAACTGTAGATACCCCACCGTCTGATGATAAAAGATTAGTCCCCCCCCCCCCTTTTTTTAACGTTTCCTTTTGAGAGCGCCTAGGCTCCCTCGTTGATGACTAGGTCTCCTCCTCCTGTGACATTACAGTGATGGGTGGACCTAATGTGCCAAAACTGCAGTGTTTTACGTTGCAGGGTTAAACAGACAGGAACACTGCAATGAAGTGGCCTGGGTGCTTTTAGTCTCTCTTTAACTCCCAAATTAATGAGAATTGAGTACTTAGGTTTGAGGGGCATAATCTATACACCAAAACTGCTTCATTAAGCTAAAGTTGTTCTTGTGCTTATAACGTCCCGTTAAGCCTCGAAATAAAAAAATATTTCAAATTAAAGATTTCATAAAAACCAGGACATGGCATTGCCTAGTAATGGACAGTTCTAGAATGGAAGGATCATGAAATTCTGTAATGGACCACTCATTCAAGTTAATATTCATCTTCTGATGAAAATAAATAAACAAAAAGGAAAGGAGTAAGAGGGGTCTTTAAATGGCACGAAACCTTAACTTATTCTCTGATCTCTGTGTAAAGCTTATACAAAATTCAAATAGACCTCTTACACATAATACCAAGACAGAGACCAAAATAAATGTAGATCATGTTTAACACTACAAATAGCATCTTCGTATATGTCTGGTGTATTTCAATCTCATGCCATGCGTTACACATAGGTCACATTTGTGTTATTTCCAAAGGTTTTCCTTCTAGAAGACGTTTAGATAGTTACCTAGTAACTGAGGATATTTATTTATAAAATATTTTACCAGGAAAGATACATTGAGATTTCTCTCGTTTTCAAGTATGTCCTGGGTCCACAAAACATTGCATTGATACATTAGGGTACAATAAAATACAAAAACAATATTAATACACAATATATACAAAATTTAACATAGAACAGGTACGAAATATATAATCAAACATGACAGGGATCTCTTAAAGGATTTTAGGCCTGTGGAAGATTTTACAGTGTGCAGGCGGTCGTTCCATAATTACGGTGCTCTGTAGGAAAAGGAGGATCGGGCCGATTTCTTTTTATTTTAAGGTAGACTAAATAAAATACTGGTACTGGATCGGAGGTTATTGGAGGTGGGAACAGCCGAGGAGAGCATTCTGCTCAGGTAGGGTGGGAGCTTCCCAGAAAAGCTCTTAGACACAAGGATGGAAAGATAAAGGGTGCATCTGGATTCCAGCGACAGCCAGTTTAGTTATTTTAGCATGTCACAATGGTGGGTCCTGTAATTACATTGTAGCACAAGTCGGCAGAACGAGTTATACAATGTATTGAGTTTAATAAGGGGGATTTGCGGTGCAGGTGCATATACTATATCCCCATAATCAATGATTGGCATCAGCATTTGCTGTACAATCTTTTCCTTTACTGTAGGGCTTAGGCAGGATTTGTTTCTGTACAGGGCACCTAGTTTTAGATAAAGTTTAGATGCAAGTTTTTCTATGTGGAGACCAAAAGATAGATTGGGGTCTAACAACATACCCAAGTATTTGAAAGAGTGGACTGCGGTCAGTGTGCTATTTGAATTTGTTTTGATGGATAGGTGGGAATTGTGTAATTTAGGTACTGTTCCAAAGATCATTGTGACAGTTTTGTCACTGTTCAGGAAGAGTTTGTTTTTTGCGAACCACTTTTCTACATCTATAAACTGGTCTTGGAGCACAGCCTCAAGCTGCGGTAGATCAGATTTTCTCGCATAGATTACTGTGTCGTCTGCGTACATGTGTACATCTAAGGATTTGCAGACATTAGGCAGATCATTTATAAATAATGTAAATAGTAGGGGGCCGAGAATGGAACCCTGGGGAACACCACATGTGACTGGGAGAGGGAGGGAATCGCTGTCAGAAATGGACACATATTGCGAGCGATCCGATACATACGATCGAAACCAGGTTAGCGAACGATCACCAATACCTGAGTTTTTGAGTTTGTGCAGTAGAATGTCGTGGTCTACTGTGTCAAAGGCCTTTGCAAAATCAAGGAAAATAGCTCCAGTTAGGTCTCCTTGTTCCATGCCAGTTAGGAGGGCAGTTGTAGTGGAGTGATTCGGGCGAAAAACCCGATTGATTGGGGGTCAGATAGTTAGATTGTTGGTAATACTCACATAGTTGCGTATGCACACGTGTTTGACAATACCCTTCTTACTCCTGTTCTCAACCTTCTATATTGCTTATTGTCTCAAACAATTCCAAAGCCGTCCTTATTTACAGCTATGCATAATTCCATTCCATTTAAGGTGTAGAATGCTTGTTTGTTTCTCATCCCAAAATGCATAACCTTATATTTTTGTGTGTATTTGTGTCTTGACTAGCACTTGATGCCAGTTATAGGACCAGTTAGAAACAGATTAAAGAGAAGTGGACCCAAGACAGGGCTCTGATGAACTTGCCACATTTTATTTTTTACCAACATGGACATTATACACAACTACGCTGTGCACTCTTTATTTAAGCTAATATTCACACCAAAAACAAAAGTTTTCATCTAAAAATGTGCTTTAAAAAAAAATAAAAAATACAGCTAAAACGTACCTGAGGTCCAGAACCAGGGCCACATACAGATTGCAGGCACCATGGACACGTCAAATCAACAAAGTGGTCGTGGTGCCTGCATTAACCCTTTAAGCTCACTGATCTGTTCTTTCCAGGGTAAGATTTAGATTGAATTTATTTTTTAACCCCTTAAGGACACAACTTCTGAAATAAAAGGGAATATTTCCGTCATGTGTCCTTAAGGGGTTAAATATGGGTAACACATGTGAATTTCTTCAATACATTGGTACAATCCCTGAAAGAAAGGTCACCTGGAATTTCTGAAGTCAGACACTTTTAGAATATCTACTTATTGTTTTGTATATGAAAAATTAACTACAAGAATACACGAGCGTTGACGTCACTTATTTAAGATATAGGTATTTAACAGTAAAGAATAATTATGCACTACTTAGTTGTTAAGATGACTGCTCCTAATGGCAGTAGGTTTTTAATACATATTGATTAGTTGATTGTTTTTTTAAATGGTGAGAAACTGTGTTTGTTGTACAAAACTGCAAGGTAAATGATTTGAGAATAAGACAGATGCTCTGTTAGCCAGATTTAGAATTCTGGTTAAGATTTTTTGGGGGTTGCTAATCAGTGGAACTGATTTGTTGCGTACCTCCTCAATAAAGACTTATGAATAACTTGTTGGCACGGCATCTGTTATAGTGACTTGTTGAATCCATTACTGACCATATATTTTGCTGTTTGAGGTCAAAGTCATTAATTAGTTGCATTCTGTGTTTAATCTTCTCCACCAGCGGCTCCAAACAGCTCCCACCACCATGTCTTCTTACCAGAAGGAGCTGGAGAAGTACCGAGACATAGATGAAGATGCGATCATGCGGGGCATGTCAGCAGAAGAGTTGGCCCAACTGGATTTGGAGCTGCAAGAAATGGACCCAGAGGTACAGTGAGTCCTACTTGCCATGCAAACCCGGTTTCTTGAAGTAAGGTTGGATCTGTAAAAACCATATGAAATATAGGGATCAGCTAACGAACTAATCATAGGGCAAGCTTTTATGTCCGTTATATATGTTTTCATGCATTCAATGTTATATTCTATGTTTGGCTCATTTGCATTCTGGTAGAGGGTTACTCCAACCAAAAACAAGTGTTTTCATAAAACATGCTTTGGTTAGAGTAACCTTTGCTGTGCTGATACTCCCCCCACCCCCAAACTTGAAGAAAAAAAAGAGAAAACTTGCCTCCGTTTCAGCACCAAGTCCAAGTGTTCCCTGCAGCCTGATCTTTCTTTTCAGGTGTCATTTCCCACTCGCCTGAAGGGAACGTACACCACAATGGGTGGGCTGAGGGAAGGACATGGGTCCTTGCCGTCTTTGGCTGTCTAGTGTCCGCATTCTCTGTTGGAGTCAGATGACAAATTTGCACAGAAATCACATTAGCCAGCCTGGCACTCTTGTTTTGGGCTGGCTAATGATGCCCCGATGATGTGGCCAGGGGTGGAGTTACATCTTCTGTCCTGGGGTGGTTAAACTTTGTATGTGCAGCATTTCTTAGCGAAACACTGCACGTACAGACTCCAAGGACTATGACCACTTAAAATTACTGAAGTGATCATTGTTCTTGGAGTAACCAAACCTGTATTCCTAAGGTTATAGTGCCCCTGTACATAAAATAAATGGAAAAGGGTTTATTAATTACCTTTTCCTAGTACAGCGAATTCTTCAGTGCGGCTGGCCTCTATGCCTCACGTAACGTCATCAATGAGGTATGGTTTCCTTCAGCGATAGACCAAGCCACAGGCGCACGCACATCCACTGCTTCACATAGGAAAGCATTGAATTAATTGTTTTACTATGTGTTGCTAAAACGCCCCTAGTGGCTGTCCGTATGACAGCCAATGCAAGGGTTAAACAGCCACTTCAAGATAAATGTTGCCCTTTCTGAAAAACAGCTATGTTCTACCTTGAAAGGTTAAACATACAGGACCAATGGACCCAGACCACGTTGTTCAGATAAAGTGTTGTGGTGACTTTAGTGGTCCTAAGTCTAACGGTAACCCAGACATAGACTATGGACTCACTGTGTCCAGTGTCAGCCTCACCTCCATGATAAGGCTTATAAGAAGCCAAAACAGTAATCTGGAGATGCTGTATCTCTCACTCAGAGGGAGCTGTCTAGCAGTTCATTACAGGACCAACCTTGTAGATGGTATCAGTCTGATTTACTAATAGAGCAGGTTCTATAAGTAATGGAGTTTAAACATGCTTGATACCTGCTCATTGGGAACGAACGAAAGCTATTGCCAATTACCTCACTTTTGATATAAACAGTGGTTACCCAAAAAGCATGTTCTGTGTGCTGATCTCCATTATTGTAGTTTGAGTGTATGTAGGCAATTGCAGCATCACCACTATTTAGAAATACATGTTCTGGGTTTGCTTCCAATATCCCTATTGTTGTCTTCACATAATCCGACTGACCTGATGATCTTATTTGTGTTTCATCGCAGAACATTCTCCTCCCAGCCGGCATGCGTCAGAGAGACCAAACCAAAAAAACACCCACAGGCCCTCTAGACCGGGACGCCCTCATGCAACACCTGGAGAAGGAGGCACTGGAGGCCAAGGAAAGGGAAGACCTCATACCTTTTACTGGAGAGAAGAAAGGTGATCAGAGCTTTTAATTTTATAGGGTTCATTAAAACGTTCATCATATGGACATTCATTAACATCTGGAAAGTTTGTGACCGAGGCCTTTTTGCCATGCGTTCATTCTACCATAATGTCACATTTTCTGTTTACGTACACCCATACATATTATATATCGTTTTTAAAGGAGAACCATGGCTTTCTTTCGATAACCTATTTAAGGAGTAGCCAACCTTTAGGGCTCCAAATGTTGTGGACTATATCTCTAGTCTTTTATACAGAGACCCCTAGCATGGGTTCTTCAACAAAAGGATAGCTAATCCCACCCTGGCTTCTTTGTGTCTGTGGAGAGGGCTGCAACCTCTTTCTCTTGATCTAATTATCCAGGCACAGAGAAGCCCAACATAAAATATCCCCCCAAATCACAATATAACATCCCCGAAGCCCCCATACATTATACATTTCTGGACAGACTTTGTTGGAGTGCTCAACCTGTGGAATGTGCACTGTGATGTGGTCAGCTAACAGGAGCTCCTGTGGGCTGGCAAATGTGGGCTTCCCCTTGCTCTCATGTAGCGATTGTACAGAGATGTCCCCTGTACCTCCTTTACAAATCGAGCTCTTCTGCCTTTCTGGTAAGGGATTGAAAACAGCAGGTAAACTTGATCAGAACGCAGTGGTGATTGCGGCTGAGTCGGAGTTCCATAGATTTATGACCAAGTTCCCGTCGTTGGCAATGCAGTAACTCGGGCCTGCAGACATTCCCGGACAAGAGGGAGAAGGGCGCTCTACTGAGCTAAAAGGAGGGGAAGCTAGGGAGAGCCAAGGGAAGTGAAGTAGCCTTTTGGTGAGGTTTTTAGATGAACTTAGTGGTACACAGCCACAATAAATATCACAACATAAAGAAGAAAAACACTTTCCCCCACAGATTTGCACTTAAAGGGACACTATAGTCACCTGAACAACTTAAGCTTAATGAAGCAGTTTTGGTGTATAGAACATGCCCCTGCAGCCTCACTGCTCAATTCTCTGCAATTTAGGAGTTAAATCCCTTTGTTTATGAACCCTAGTCACACCTCCCTGCATGTGACTTGCACAGCCTTCCATAAACACTTCCTGTAAAGAGAACCCTATTTAGGCTTTCTTTATTGCAAGTTCTGTTTAATTAAGATTTTCTTATCCCCTGCTATGTTAATAGCTTGCTAGACCCTGCAAGAGCCTCCTGTATGTGATTAAAGTTCAATTTAGAGATCAAGATACAATTATTTAAGGTAAATTACATCTGTTTGAAAGTGAAACCAGTTTTTTTTTTTTCATACAGGCTCTGTCAATCATAGCCAGGGGAGGTGTGGCTAGGGCTGCATAAACAGAAACAAAGTGATTTAACTCCTAAATGACAGTGAATTGAGCAGTGAAATTGCAGGGGAATGATCTATACACTAAAACTGCTTCATTTAGCTAAAGTAATTTAGGTGACCATAGTGTTCCTTTAATTATTTCTACATGGCTTTCTTTTGATACATTATATGTATACAGCATTAAGTACGAAAAAAATATTAAAAAAAAGGAAAACGAAAAACTAAAGGATTTTTCTCAATTCTGCTCATTATAATCACTCCACACATGTACAACTAACTAACATAGATTTATTTATTAGTCCTGGTTGCTAGCAAGGAGTGAATCAAACTTTTTTTTTTTTTTGCGGAGACTACAACTTTAAAGGAACACTATAGTGGCAGTATTATGGTATTCCTGTCCAGAGGCGGCTCTCTAATTAGGCGATTTAGGCGGCCATCTAAATCGCCATAGGACTGAAGTGTCCGGTCCTCGGTCTTTATGCCGCCAGGTGTGAGTCCCCTCTGTCCAGTCTGCCCAAGAGAGTGTTCAGTACAGTCTTCAGTCTGCAGCTCTGCCGGGTGCACAGCTTCAGTCTGTCATCCTCCCTCCACAGTCTGTCACCCCCTCCACAGTACACCCCCTCCACAGTATATCCACAGTCTGTTACCCCCCTCCACAGTCTGTTACCCAGTCTGTTAACACACACTGTCACCCCCCCACACACACACACTGTCACCCCCTTCACATTCTGTCACCTCTGCACTCTTTCCTCCTCCACACTCTGTCATCCCCCCCACACACACTCTCACCCCCTCTACACACAGTCACTCACCCTCCACACACACCGTTTCACCCCCGTCACACATACTCTCATCCCCTCCATACACTGTCACCACCCTCCGCACACCCTGCCACACTTACATTAACTCCTCCTGATCCTGTGACACTACCATCTCCAACCATCCCGCACTCGCCTCCCCTCACTCTGCCACACTCATCCTATCACATTAACACTCTAATTCTGTCACACTCACCTTTTCTTGTCCTGTCACATTCACTTCACCAACTGTGCCACATTTACCCCCAACCCTGTCACATTAACGCCTCTAATCCTGTCACACTCGCCCTCCTCACTCTGTCACACTCACCTGGTCAATTAACCCACCTTAATTCTGTCACATTCACCTTTCCTTGCCCTGTCACACTTACCTCTCCTCACCCAGTAACACTCCCTCCGCCAACCATTTCACTCTTAACCCCCAACCCTGTCTCATTCACTCCCTCGCCATGTCACACTCTCCCTGCCAAAGTTACCCCTTTACTCACTCTGTTACAGTCATCATACATACACAGTTATGAAACATAGTTTCGCCATAAACACAGTGCACAAAGGCCACAGGCAGCCCCCCCATATACACAAAACACCGCAAGCAGCTACCACACACACACATATGGTCCCAGACACAAACCTACACATGCTCACAGAAACATACATTCACATACTAGGACACTTACTGTCAGACACACACTTTCGGGCATATACTCAGGTAGACAATGCCCAACACACTCAGCAATACACAAAGCCAGATAAATACATGTTGTGACTGTATGTCTATATTAGTCAGTATTTCTGTTTCTGTGCATGTGTGTGCATGCATGTGCATGTATCGGTGTGTATATGTATTTGTGTATTAGTGTTTATATGTGTGCAAGTATTAGTGTGTGTCTGTCTGCAATGTGAAGGTGGTATGATATGGGCAATGCAAAGATAAAGTTGCAAGCAACATACATATATTATATACAATACATGGGAAAACACATATATGATAATATACATGTAAAGGATTATAGAATATGTGGGGGAAATGTCTATGAAACCGTTTTCTTATCTGTAACTTTATTATTTGGGAAATGATTTTTTAAAGCCCAACCAAAATTTTCATTTTTGTTTTAAATAACCAGTTCACACAGGCACTTAAGTGTACACGATGCAAACATACCTCGCAATCGTGTATAAACGATTAGCATAATTGCAAATTGCATTTGTTTATTGCAAATTATGCCATAACTACAGTCAGAGAGCTCACAACATAGTGGCACAGGGAGCCGCTACACTGCAAGCCTAGCTCTCTGTATCCAGCACTGCAAGCACGCCATTTAATATAACTACAGCACCTTATACACACAATGCAACCCCTATACATTTTCTTCACTAATGGTATTCGTAGCGGCCCCATGTTTGAGTTTCGCCTCAGGCCTTGCAAAGTCTAGAGCCGCCACTGTTCCTGTCACTAAAGTTATGAAAATAAAGTTTAGGTTTTAGTGAAACTTTATTTACTCACATTTCTTGTCAGGGCTAGGCCCGCCCACGCTTCGCCCCATTGGCTGAGATCGTCAAACTTTATGATCTCAACCAATCCAAAGCTTTCTAATAAGAAAGCATTGGGAGGCTATTGCATGTGTAGCAAAACTCTGCACTGCACCAATCAGCATCTCCTCATAAATCAGTGCATATCTATGAATAATGTTCAGCGCCTCAATGCAGCACTGACCCAGGAAGCACCTCTAGTGGCTATCTGAGTTTTCTCTGAAAAGGCAGTGTTTACATGGAAAAGCCTACAGGGACAAGCTATGGACACCATAACAACTAAGTTAAGCTGTAGTGACTATAGTGTCCCTTTAAAGGTAGTCACAGAATACAAAACAACAAAAGTATATATTCATAGAAAGTAGGTGCTCTGGGGTATTTAACTAACATAATTTTAACACTTTTCCTTTAACTATTTTATCATCAACATCGGTCAATTCTGCTGGTTATATTTAAAGGGACACTATAGGCATCAAAACAACTTTCACTAATTATTAGGGTATAGGATAATATATTTCTCTTGGGATTAAAGCATAGGACAGTGTGCGTGTCAATGATTAGTGTATAGGACATTATATTTCTCTTGGGATTAAAGTATAGGACAGTGTGCGTGTCAATGATTAGTGTATAGGACATTAGATTTCTCTTGGGATTAAACTATAGGGCAGGGTGTGACACCAAGGATTAAGTTAAATGGCCCTGTATACTGTCAGGGATACTGTACAACTGATGTTTAGAGTATGAGGTGGGATAGTGAAGCAGGCTGTGAATATTATGCTAAAACCGGTGGTGATTATGTAATCTTGTCTCAACACAGGAAAGCCCTTCATCCCGAAGCAGGCAAAACGTGAGATCCCAAAAGAAGAACAGATTACGCTAGAGCCAGAGCTGGAGGAAGCGCTCGCAAATGCCACGGATGCGGAAATGTGCGACATTGCAGGTACTAGATTACTGTGAATAAACATTTACAGTGTGCGTAGTAAACCATGTACACAGCAACTTAAAGGAACATCCTAAGCTTAAAAATAAAAATATTAATTGCCCCTTGCTTTGTTTCGATTATTGTGGCTCTCCCATGATTTAAAACTTGCATGTAATGCAGCACTATCACAGTCTCCGCAGTATAGTCACTTCACCTCCCATGAACTTATCAGCTGATGACTTTTATCTAATCTTTCTCTTAGAGAAGCATGGAAGACATAGGGCACCTTTACTGCTATTGACGCTGTATGCCAATCCAATGCTTTTTACAGATAAGCTCTGAATCCTGTGTTTGTCTATGAGAAGTATTGGATGTGTTTGACATCGAAAATCGAAATGTTTACAATGAGGATGGGGCCATCAGTCAGCATAGCTTAGGAAGAATGTAAACATTGCCATTACTCAGAAACATCAACGTATTACATTGCCAGACAAAACAGCCGCTATGGATCAAAACCACTTAATTGAGATAAAGTGGTTTTGGTACTTAGAGTGTCCCTTTAAAGTGTCTTATATGTATTATCCACATCACCTCAGAGTATGTGTTTTGCAGCTGTTCACGAGGCCTGGCACCTCTTTCTTCATCCTGTACTGTATCACCTCTCTCTTTATCCCGTACTGTATAGTGACCGGGCCTAGCACCTCTCTCTTTATCCCGTACTGTATAGTGTCCGAGCCTAGCACCTCTCTCTTTATCCTGTACTGTATCGTGACCGGGCCTAGCACCTCTCTCTTTATCCTGTACTGTATAGTGACCGAACCTAGTACCTCTCTCTTTATCATGTACTGTATCGTGACCGGGCCTAGCACCTCTCTTTAGCCTGTACTGTATAGTGACCGAGCCTAGTAGCTCTCTCTTTATCCCGTACTGTATAGTGACCGGGCCTAGCACCTCTCTCTTCATCCCGTACTGTATAGTGACCGGGCCTAGCACCTCTCTCTTTATCCCGTACTGTATAGTGACCGAGCCTAGCACCTCTCTCTTCATCCCGTACTGTATAGTGACCGGGCCTAGCACCTCTCTCTTTATCCCGTACTGTATCGTGACCGGGCCTAGCACCTCTCTCTTTATCCTGTACTGTATAGTGACCGAGCCTAGCACCTCTCTCTTTATCCCGTACTGTATCGTGACCGGGCCTTGCACCTCTCTCTTTATCCTGTACTGTATAGTGACCAAGCCTAGTACCTCTCTCTTTATCCTGGACTGTATAGTGACTGGGCCTAGCACCTCTCTTTATCCCATACTGTATAGTGACCGAGCCTAGCACCTCTCTCTTTATCCCGTACTGTATAATGACCGGGCCTAGCACCTCTCTTTATCCTGTACTGTATAGTGACCGGGCCTAGCACCTCTCTCTTTATCCTGTACTGGATAGTGACTGGGCCTAGCACCTCTCTTTATCCTGTACTGTATAGTGACCGGGCCTAGCACCTCTCTCTTTTTTTTGTCAATCAAATTTTTATTGAGATATATCAAAGTGTTACATGCATAGACATAGTACAATATTTAAAGAAAGTATTGTGCATTAAGGCAGTTTCATTGTACACATTAAAACGTAGCTTGTTGATACTTGTTCAGGTTAATCTTTTTAGCTACGTCTCATCTCTTATACTAGGTGGTATAGTGAGTAGTATATGTTTTCCATGCCTAAGTAAATCATCGGTTAGATCGGGTGTCAAGTGTGTTTTCCCGATGAGAGTAGGAACCCCTGCGAAAAAATTGGAGTTGTGAGCCTCTGGGATTGGTGAGACCTGGATGCCCCTGTGTGTTGGGATGACAGGGCATCCGATTTAAGGTTAATGTATGTAACTGTGTGCTACCCAACTTTCCTCTCCTCTCCCCTCCCCCCAACACCCTCCTCTACAGTCGTTATTGTCAAAGCCGTACTGAAGGAATTGTACGATTGAGTAACTATGTGCGGTGGGCTTTTCGTCTCTGTCTTCCGTTGCCTCGTGGGTTCTACGCTGTAATTGTAGAGTGGGTTAAAGCCTCTGTGGTTAACCGTGGAGCGGGTTGTGCGTGTTTGAGAGCCCACCATTTCTACATCTAGGCCCCCACTGTGAGTATCCCTCCCTTGTCTGTTTGGTATCCTGTGGGACCCCGTAGGATGGCGTGTGAGTCTTTCATGGGCTGTGTGTACTCCTTCGTTGGCCCTGGCCCCGTTTCCCACCACCCTTTGGCTTAGTACCCATTGTGTTGTAGCTCCTTGCGGTGCGAATGACGGAGGTTGTACAGTCACTGGTTCCCCGTCTCAGTGCTAGGCGTTGGAGTTTGTTGTGCCAGTGGTGTCAGGTGTTGTGTAGGGCTGGGGTGGTCCCTGGTTTGTGTGCAACACTTTGTTTCTGGGCAGGGGAGACCTGAGTTTCTCTGAGTTAACACCCTGGGTCTTATGCCTTGTCCGTCTGTAGTCCTGAGAGGGAGTTCCGCTTTCTTGGTTTAAGGTGTGTCAGTGTTATGTCCGTCAGCGGTCTAGGTGGGTGGGGTCAGGGATTATTGTGTGTGCAGGGAATTGTCCTCTTGTGCATGTGTATCCAGTCTGTGTTAGACCTCCGCCCCTGTCCGCCCCAGGGCACATGCAGCCCCTCCACCCCCGCGCGGGCCCACCGCCGCAGCTCTCTTGGCCACATAGTCCGCCCATGGGTACCAGGTCAGCGCACACTTTTCCGCGCGTCCCTGCAAGGAGGCCGTCATCTTTTCCATGTTGTAGATATCTTCCACCCTAGCGATCCATTGCTCTAGAGAGGGTACTATTGTGGTTTTCCTGGTGTACTAGTGTGTGGGGATAAGTGTCTTAGCCGCCGTGAGCAGGTGTATGGTGAGCCCTTTTTTGTATGCTTTAAATGGTGTGTGCGTATGATTGAGCAGCATCGTCAGGGGTTGTAGCGGGAGTTCGGTGCCTGTGATTTCCTCTATTGTGCGGTTCATCGTTCGCCAGTATGGGACTATAAGAGGGCATGTCCACCAGATGTGATAGGCTGTACCTCTTTCGGTTCCGCATCTCCAGCAGTCACCAGGAATCTCGTCATGGATATGTCGTAAGATGTCCGGGGTCCTATACCAGTGCGTCAGGATTTTATAATTGCATTCCTGGTATTTTGAGCTTATAGTTCCCTTGTGCGTCAGTTGGAAGATTTTATTCCAATCTGTGTCCGTGAGCTCAGTCCCCGTTTCCCTTTCCCACCGCCTCGTGAAGCCCAAAGTGTCCTTATCTCCACTATTCGTTAGTGCGGTATACATAGTTGATATACGCCGTGTGAGAGGTGTTGCCTGGTCGTGCATAATTGTTCCATGTACAGGAGGAGGCGGTGGACGTGATCCTTCCCCTTGATAGCGTTGTAGTAAGTTTTGAGCTGGTGGTAGTGGAATTCATCCAGTCTGGTTGGTCTGCGATCCTGCATCAGGTCTGTCAAGGGTTTAAGGTTCCGGCCGCTGCACCACTGGTGTAGGTAAACCCAATCAGTCGCCTGGAAGTTTTTTAGAGCAGCTGGATTTAGTCCGCCGGCTAGCTTAGGGTTGTTGGGTATGGGTGTGAGCGGGTTGGGAGCCGTGGTGATCTGCTTGGCTTATCTTATCCCGCACCAGACCCTAAGGGTGGCGTCTATCATTGGATTGCCTGTGCTTATTTCTCTGAGCGTAGCCTCTCCCAGCCACAGCAGGGCGGGGATCTTCCCTTGTGCTTGTTGAAGCTCCATGTCCACCCATTGCTTATTGTTAGGATTGGCGTGCCAGTCTACCAGTCGATGTAAATGGGTCGCCTGGTAGTACATGAGTGCGGACGGAAGTCCCATACCTCCGTCACTCTTTGGTCGCTCCAAGATCGTTCTCCGGACCTGGGTAGGCCTTTTGTTCCATACAAACTGTCTAACATTGGTCGTTAGCGTCTGGAAGAAGACTTGGGGGATAGTGGAAGGCAGCGTCTGAAGTAAGTATAGAATGCGCGGCATAATACTCATTTTTATAGCGCTTATGCGGCAAAACCACGATATGTACTTGCGTTTTAAGTCCTGTTGTAGCGTTACAAGGAGAGGAGCGAAATTCAGTTGGTAGATTGGCGAGAGATCTTTCAGCAACCAAACGCCGAGGTATCGGAGCTTTGTTGTGCAGATTTTGAACGTGAAGTGTGCTTCGAAGTGCCGTGTTAGGACCGTGTCCTGTGCCACCGGCATCGCCTCCGACATCTCTAAGTTAAGTTTCAAGTTAGAGACTTTGCTATATTGTTTAAACGCCGCTAGCAGGTTCAGGGTCAAAATTCTGGGCTGTTGCAGGAAGAAGAGCATGTCGTCCGCGTATGCCGCAACTTGATGTTCCGCCCCGCCCAGGCGGGTGCCATTGTGGATGCTGAATGGTTTTGTCAAAGCTCCGTTGACCCGTATGCGTGCCGTTGGTGTCGTGTACAGTGCGGCCACCCATGTTCGCATGTGGGTACCGAAACCCATGTGGCGCAGCGTCTCCGAGAGGAAGGCCCAGGCCACCCGGTCAAACGCTTTTTTGGCGTCTGTCGACAGGAGCACCACCTCCCGTTTACCGGTCTTGGCCGAGTGTATTACATTGAGGGCTCTGATGGTGTTGTCCCTCTCCTCCCTCCCAGGTATGAAACCGACTTGGTCAGGGTGTACCAGGTCGGGTAGAGCTTGGGTGAGCCGTAGCGCCATTGCCTTAATGAATATCTTCAGGTCCGCATTCAGTAATGAAATTGGGGGGTAGCTGGCACAATTCTTTACCCTCTTTTGGGAGGACAGTGATTATGGCCGTCAAGGTGTCCATAGGGAAGTGGCCCCCCGTTTGGATTGAGTTGAGGCCCGTGAAGAGTCTCGGTAAAAGGATGTCCTTGAATGTGCGGTGGTATGATAGCGGTAGCCCATCCGGGCCTGGTGCCCGATGTGGCTTTGAGACTTTCATGGCACCGGCCAGTTCTTCGATCGTCAGAGGTTGGTCAAGTTCCGCTGCCTGTTCCAGGGTGAGTTTTCTGGCCACATGGCTTTCAAGGTATGTCCGGACTCGGTCCCTGTGGCGCTGCTCCGCAGGACCCTCCCGAGCTCATGCCTGCGCATAAAGTGCCGCGTAGTATTCTTGGAAGGCCTCGAAGATGCCCTCAGGTAGGCGTGTGACTTCTCCCTCCCGTGCGTGTATTTTGTGGATGTGTTGTGAGCACCTCTCTCTTTACCCTGTACTGTATAGTAACCGGGCCTTGCACCTCTCTCTTCATCCTTTACTGTATAGTGACCTGGCCTAGCACATCTCTCTTCATCCTGTACTGTATAGTGACCTGGCCTAGCACCTCTCTTTTTATCCTGTACTGTATAGTACAGGAGGACTTCTCTCTTTATCCTGTACTGTATAGTGACTGGGCCTGGCACTCTTTCTTCATCCTGTACTGTATAGTGACCACACATGGCACCTCTCTCTGTATCGCTTGCCTTCCCAAACCGTACCGTGTGTAGGGTCTCTGTTAGAAATGTTGCTTGTGATCAACCAGTAATGCACACTGATCAAGGCGTAGAACAACTGATAACGACATTCCTTAGTTTTTTCTTATTTTTACTTTGTTTATTAAACTGTATACAGTTATGTAGAGTAACTTGCACTCCATTGTCCTGACCTATTTGCCCCCTCTGTGTGATATTTAGAAAGACGTCTTTATGGCTCCGTAGAAGCTGTCACACCCTGTACCACCCTGGTAACCCCATGCTCCGCGCTAATGTGGGGGCTGTCTTAGTTACTATGTGTAAAGAAGGGAGGTTAGGGGGAGATTAAGGTTAGGGGATGTTGAGGTAGGTTTATTATGGTTAGAGTAAGCTTAGGAATGAGGGCAGCTTTGAGGTAGAGGGATGTTAAGGTAAGGTTAGACATGGGATTTAGGGGACCATAGTGTTGGGGACGAACAGTAAAGGTTGTACATGCCTTTAAAATGTGGTTAACATTTCTTTCTATGATAAGCTTTACAGTCCGCAGCAAATTAAAGGCTAACACCCCCTGACCATCAGTCCGCCTTATTCCTCATAACCTTGAATACCTCTCTAATCTAAACAACCCTTACAGTTAAGTCACAAGATACACGCTGTAGCCCATGTTATGCCAGCTTCCGATACGGCTGTATAGCAGGGCTGGTGATGATGCCTAAAGTTATAAACAGCTCATGATTGTGAGCAGGAGGCCAGCTAGACAATGTACAGCTACCTGACTCCTAGAGATTCACATGAGTTCAGAATGTATTTATGATGTATTTCACTTTCATCTTTCAGCCATCTTGGGAATGTACACATTGATGAGTAACAAGCAATACTACGATGCAATCACAACTGGAATCATCATAAACAAAGAGGGCATCAACAGTAAGTGCAACATGTGAGGGTCTGAGTGTGCACTCAATGGAGTGTACGTCACTTATAAACGGTGTGTTCTACCTGTATTATTTAGAACAGCTATTCATTACCTGCTAGGGATGATGGGATTTTCTTTGTGCCACTGAGCCACGTTACAGCCACATCAGGAATGTGTGAACTCATGGTGTTATCTTTAAACCGTCTGCTGCTGATCCAAAACCCAAATTGAAGTAATCCAAATGTAATTTACAAAAAATGATGGAAAATAATTATTATGGAGTTAGGTGGCAACTAGGTTTCTTGGTGGAATCAACAAACTGGATACAATACATGTTATAGCTCTGAAAGTCCTGGTTTTTAATGCATCGTTATTGGGAGCGTTCAGCGTCTTGTATGACATGGAGATGCCGAATGTCGGTCCTGTAACCAGAAAGCGCCTCTGGGAGCTGTTTAAGATACAGCCACTAGCGGTAGCTCTAGGCAGCAATGAAAACACTGCCTTCTCTAAGAAAAAGCAATGTTTGCATTAAAGGGACTACAGGAGCCGACTCTGCACCATAACCACAGCATTGAGGAAGGCAGCTTCCTCTGACAGTGCGGATTGTTCTTATGGCAAGGCGGTGTTATCCAGCAGAAATATCTGTTAATGGGGGTGATAGAATCCATCAGCTGCTAGGAATTTCATTGGTAAATGTTTGGTTTATATTTTCGCCCAAGTGAAATGCAGGCCACGGTATCTCCGTCTCTCATGGGAAAGGGTTTTTAGTTTGTAATGCATTTAATAGCTTTAGCTTTAGTTTTTAAACCGAGTCATACAGTAAGATTCAGAGTCACTCACACACTAGTCTAGTCTCCCTTGCAGGCACCGCCCGGCAATGTGTCTCCCATTAAATGAATGCATTATTGATGTATTTGAATGACATTGGCCACATGAATGAGAATGTCATGGTAGACCAGGAGCATGGGATATGGGTAGGCAAGGGATGCCCTGCTGTGGCTCCCTCTGAATATTTGTCATTAATAGACATGCCCTGTCTGTTAGATCGCCCAGTCCTCTGTTCTCTAACCTTTGGCTCAACATATGTTGTGTCCTATGTTTCCCCTGATCCTTAGCCAGCTATCACTGCCATACCGGAATCTGAATATGTATGATATAGCTTGGTATTATATATGGCCGTTATACCATTTCTCTGTTTATAAATCCTTTCCTGTAGGTGTGGTCAAGCCAGACTCATATAAACCAGTGCCAGACGAACCCCCCAACCCAACCAATGTGGAGGAAACTCTGCAGAAAATCAAGAGTAACGCTGCCGACTTGGAGGAAGTTAATCTGAATAATATCAAGGTAATGGCAGTATTAAATATCTCCTAGTTTTATACCGTGTGTACCTTTCATTTTATACATATAGCCTATACAGTGTATATATCTCACACCTATGATATACTCTGTATCTATTACAGATTATTCCATACAGTGTGTGTATTAAAGCTCCACATATTATATATCTTACTTACAGTATCTCTGATATACACTGTATCTATTACAAATCATTCCATACAGTGTATATTATATCTCCACATATTATATATCTTACTTAGAAACATAGAATGTGACGGCAGATAAGAACCATTCGGCCCATCTAGTCTGCCCAATTCTTTCTAAATACTTTCATTAGTCCCTGGCCTTATCTTATAGTTAGGATAGCCTTATGCCTATCCCACGCATGCTTAAACTCCTTCACTCTGTTAACCTCTACCACTTCAGCTGGAAGGCTATTCCATGCATCCACTACCCTCTCAGTAAAGTAATACTTCCTGATATTATTTTTAAACCTTTGTCCCTCTAATTTAAGACTTACAGTTTCTCTGATTTACACTGTATCTATTACAGGTCATTCCATACACTGTGGAGCTCCTATCTCCCTATAGAGTATCACACCTTCTGCTCATGTTATACAGCACATAATATACCTCTTCTTAATGTTATACAATGTGTATTCCATATTCCATTCTGTTCTCTTACTTCTTTACAGGACATTCCCATTCCTACACTGAAAGAACTCTTTGAAGGTATGAAATCTAACAGCCACGTAAAGAAGCTCAGTTTAGTTGCCACTCGCAGCAACGACCCAGTGGCCTATGTAAGTATTTTTGCTGTTCTAAGTGTTTATCTGCCAGTGGAAGGGAGGGTATCTGATGCCTAAATTCCAGCTTTGGTTCCATTGCACACAGCGTCCAGGTGTCCGTTGGGTCAGAGTATGGCTTACTCTGCATTATTGCACAGAATGCCAGGTTTATCATCTTGTTATACATTATTATTACTTATTTATAAAGCGCCAACACACCCGCAGCGCTTTACATGGATGTAATTGGTACAATACATTGCAAATAATACAACATTTGACAAACAAATAGTTTAGGGCCATATGCCCATGGGAATTCCCAGCATGATAGATCAGAGGAGTGGGAGACAGAAGGCGACTGACACTCTGTGTGGTGTGACATATTGTGAGTTGTAATCTAGACATTGTTTGACTTTGTATCTTCAGGCCGTGGCCGAGATGCTGAAGGAGAACAAAACATTACAGAGTCTGAATATTGAGTCTAACTTTATCTCCAGCGCTGGGATGTTGGCTGTAATCAAAGCCATGAAAAGTAACTCCACACTGACTGAACTCCGAGTAGACAACCAGGTAAGGCATCCACAGTGTCCTCACCTGTACACTCAGTATATACTGTCTGTCTGAGAGCTCTCCCTCCGTCCCATCATGGAGATTATGCTTTGATAAGGAGTATGTGCACTGCAGCATGAAACGCGTTGGCCATTTTAATATATTTTTTTTACTTTTCTATCTGGAGTTGGTGGATTTTATTTAATGGAAACTTATAACGGCTATAGTGCGTCTTTTTACCTTTTTCACACTGCAATCACTCATGGTATTACCCGGCCCCACATCTCCTCTATTTATCACGCAGTTTCTTTTGCATCCTTTATACGTGTCCAATGTCCTCCAGGGTAACAGTCTTTCTGATCTCTATTTTTACAGCATCAGAACCTGGGAGACACAGTAGAAATGGAGATGGCCTCAATGCTGGAGAACTGCCCCTCAATCATACGATTTGGGTACCAGTTCACACGACAGGGACCAAGAGCTCGGGCTTCCACAGCCATCACTAGGAACCTAGAAATGTGTAAGTGTCTTTTTATCTCTGTAAATACCGTGAATTGTAACAAATAGCATGTGTCAAGGCACATACAGAAACATGCAATAGAACAGTATAACCATGGATAAATTGAATGGCATACAACTGAGTGCAACATGCCAAATGCATAAAAATGAATGAACTGCATGGAGACTTAGCATACTCTGAGACCAAGGGTAAAGGAAAATAAAACGGAATCTGTAGGCAGCCTCATGGTTGTATAAGTGGGGACTCAAATCCATTGCCAAATAACCCTTCATATTATCAAGGAGCCTGGAGTCTAGTGGGGATTTCTGCGTAAGAATCTGTCAATGTGCCTTTTTGTCAGACCTAGATTGTCATAGTGCCTGAGTTTCTCAATAAAGGCCAGCGTTGGAGGAGGACTCCCATGACTCCACTTGGATGTACTTTAACCTAGCAAGGGTTGGGTATGTGGTACTCTGATATGGTCGGGCTACTGCTCAAGACTGAAACCATCTTGTAGAGGCAGAGGTGTTGCTAGTGAGGTTAGGTGACCTTTTGCTTGGGAGGGAGATAGGCGCTCCACCCCGTGTGCTGTATACAGAGTGCCAGACAGAATTAAAGACAAACTGAGGTGCCTATATCCGCTTGGTTAATCTGTGTGACTCTCTTTCTTGACAGGTCGTAAACAGAAGAAAGTGTAACAGTTCCCATGTTGTGTGTCCTGAGCTCCTGTCCCTGTCTGAGATCACTCGTCTTCTACAAATGACTCTCCTCTGGCCCTAATAGGCTCCTGCCATTTTGTCACATGCATCCATTTTGTGACTGAGGATCACACCTGGCTATGTTCCCTCTTACCCATTCCCTTCCGGAATCCTCTGTCCATCCTATCTCCCAGTGTGTCCTCTCCTCGGCCTCTGGCTGCCCTGTAACCCGTACCACAGCAATGTCTTACATTTCCCAGCTCCCAGCATCTGCTCCTGGACTACAACCCCCTTAAAACTGTGCCACAGCCTAGCATAGAATTATGGGGGATGTAGTAAAAACCACAAACTGCTATGGGGCAAGTTCAATGAACTGTCCTATATCCTTTTATAAATTTAACTTAATGTAATAGGGCTTCTCTTTTATCGCTGACACTAAGTGGATCTCAGAAAATGACAAAGAGACTTTCTCCTGGCAGTCTGCAGTCTCGTTATACACAAGGAAGATATTGCAGGGAAATTATATAAAATATGTAAATAAACTGATATTAATCTGTTATTGCTTTTGAGATTATTAATTTCTTTACACAACAGAACTATGGATTGAAATATTGGTTTCTTTGTATGAAGTTAAGCAATTATTAAAGCGTTGGGAGTCAGAGAAATTTCGTTATTTTTCTAAATGTATAAAAAAATTTGAGAACTAGAATGTTACCAAACTCTAAGCACGATTACTACTATTTTAATTAATATGTGAATTGTCAAGGATATTAATCCAGCCAGGCATTCAAAGGGTCATAAATACCATACATGTTAAAAACACCCGTGGAATCACCAGCCATTCACCATACTGATCTGAAATAAAATAATCTGCAGATTGTGTGATCACAGATTCATTTTGCTGTTTTAGCCGGTTCCCTTTTGAAAATGTATAAAATGATTGAGGAAATCAATGTTAATAAAATATCTACATACCGTTGCTAGATCAAGGTTATTTAACATAGCTTTACCCTTATGTAAAATGCATGAGTAAAGATTATCCAGCGTGACACTCAAAGGGTTAAAAGAAAATTCCTAATTTTAAAAAGCGTCACTGTAGTTGTCAGCAATGATCAATGGCCAGTGACATGTCAAGTAATTAAAACCATACTGAGTTTAAATCATGAAAAAATAGATTGCAGCAGATTTCTTTTTAGCTGTATCCTTTTTAAATGTATAAATAAAGCTTATCCAGCAAGGCACTCAAAGGGTTAAAAAAAAACCCTAATTTTCAAAAACATCACTGAAATCATCGGCAATTCTGATAAAAATCGTGAAAACTCTTGAAACTAGCTGAATTTTGACTGCAGATCTTTTTCTTTTTTTTTTTAAATGTGTACCCTTTTTAAAATGTATGAAGAAAGATTAGCCATTGTTCAGTATGGCACTTAAAGGGTTAAACAAAACCCCAATTTTCAAAAACAGCACTGAAATCATCGGCAATCCACCGCACTGATTTGAAATCATCGGCAATTCACCACACTGATTTGAGAAAAAAAAAAACAGCAGCAGTCAATTCAGCTTTCATGATTTCAAATCAGTACGGTGAATTGCCGGTGATTTCAAATCAGTGCGGTGAATTGCCGATGATTTCAGTGCTGTTTTTGAAAATCCATTTGTTTTTAACCCTTTGCATGCCATGCTGCATACTCTTTATTTATACGTAATAAACAGGTACAGCTAAAAAGACCAAAACAAACTGCAGCAGTCTACAGCTGCAGAAAGACTTTTCATGATTTCAGATCGCTGCAGTGAATTGCCAATGCTGTCACACATGACAATTTGTGGATTTATTTTAACCCTTTATGTGCTGTGCTATATTGTGTAGCACCCAAAAAACCGACACGTTCAGCATGGCACTTAAAGGGTTAAGCAAAACCCCAATTTTCAAAAACAGCACTGAAATCATCGGCAATTCACCGTACTGATTTGAGAAAAAAAAAAAAACAGCAGCATTCAATTCAGCTTTCATGATTTCAAATCAGTACGGTGAATTGCCGGTGATTTCAAATCAGTGCGGTGAATTGCCGGTGATTTCAGTGCTGTTTTTGAAAATCCATTTGTTTTTAACCCTTTGCATGCCATGCTGCATACTCTTTATTTATATGTAGTAAACCGGTACAGCTAAAAAGACCAAAACAAACTGCAGCAGTCTACAGTCCAAATAAAACCTTGTATAAGAAGTCAATCACAATCTTGTCAGGGGAAGTATTCCTCAGTAACGTATGGACATGGGATATTCGTGAAATCCATATGAAAAAAATGAAAAGACAGCAAATAATGGTGCAGTAAATCCCAACAGGTACTAAGTACTGTTTTTAGAGGTCTATATGGTCCTACTCACGTTTTCCAGAGCTATAAGACTAGTTCTAGTGTGGATGGCATACAGTGGTACAATCCCCACTTATGGGATACGTGAAGTTTTGTAGTGGATGGATATTTTGTTGGTATAAGGACCATATGAAATGTAAAAGAAACAATAATAGTGCTTATTGTATAAAAGCCAGAGGTGAAGTAATAAAATACCAAGTGGTTACTCACATTTTATTGAGCAGGCAGACTGCTCAATGGATAAAGCTTGAGTGGTATAATCCCCACCAAGGATTCTTTGGAGTAAAATTCTCACTGGAACTTATCCGTGGGACCACTAATCTATAGCCTTAATGGCTAGGAGGGTTCTAGTTACTCATAAGCTCAACACTCACGCATAGGTAGACATACCAGCCTGTCATGATAATGTCCAACTCAACATGTTACTAAGTTATGTCAGCCATGTCACAGCATATCTTGTAAACCTATCTCCTGCTGCCGCCACTAGCAATAACTAATCTTCTGAATCACTCACCCTTACTCTAACGCATGTGGTAACCTACTCATAGCCCGACTAACTCTTGCCACTGCAAAATAATCACATGCCTAGAACGTTAAGCGATATCACTATGTTATGTTACGCAAATACCTAAACAAAGTAAAGCTATACCGTTTCTATATATATATATATATATATATATATATATATATACATACATACAAAAAAAAAAATGCTTGATCTACCTTGTACCCCTATGTTCAACTGTTCGTATTGTGCTAGAGGACTGCCTTTGGGGTACCTCACATGCAACTGTTATATGCCTACGCACTACAAAAATAAAGAATAAAAAAAAGAAAAAACCTCTGGTGCTAGGTAAAAATAAATAAAAGAGTAAAATGGCTGACTCACAATTTGAAAGTGGCCAAAATACCACAACGCGTTTCTCCCCTTAGGGCTTTCTCTGCCATATTTACCCCCAGGCCGAAAAGCTCTCTGCAGACGCCATGGGACCCTGCTACACTGCAAGCATCAAACATAGTGAGCTAAACTTTGTCAGAAAACCCCCCACACAAACGTACACATTTATTAAACCTACAAGTTTACATTGATCAATGGAGGTTAAAACTAACGTTTCAGTCTTGATTTTACATTATATATAGATATATATATTATAATAAATCTATATCTAGAATACTTATTACAAATCTTTGAACTTGATTCCATGGTACCTGCTCTGGCTAAACCTTTATTTCCTGAATTTTGCAACCATTATAAAGTTTTTTGCAATGATTGAAAATGATACAAGTTATACAGTCAGCCATGACGGTGTGGGGAGATGCAGGCTGGGAAGAAAAACTCATGACATCTTTATTATGTGAAAATCGGTTTGGTTTTATTTTATGTTAAGCCCAAAAATGCAATATTTCAGAGTAAAACCCCACCTTTAATATATCAATAGAGATCTGTCAGTTATATGCAGTGTTCCTGGACTGCTATAATTTAAATACTGAGCAGCGTTTGTCCTGTAGCGCCCTCTATCAGGCAATTGATGCACTGCAGTTAACCAGTTAGAATGGATTCACAAGAGCCAAGATCCATCAAATACACACGTCAAGCTGTTACTTAACTATGACTCTCATAAATCCCAGTCAACACACACAGAAAGTGAGGGTTGTAGATCTTTCCGCATGTTATTCTTTGTTTAAGATCCTGACACTCAGTGAATATCACAAATAAAGCATGGCACAAGTCCTGCTGGGTCTAGGTGATCAGAAATATATTGGTCTGGTGATCCAGTCCAGGGAACCTGCCTCACGGACAAAGGATCTGGCTATTAAATGCCCAGGACTCCTCACGCACCCTTAGGATGCTAAAAACATTTTGGATTATTATAGAAATCTCTGCTCTGTTTCCAGGATTCTTAACTTGTAGAATGACCAAATTAAAGTTGCGTATCCTTCCCAATGCGGACATTGTCATTCATTGGACAGTCGCTGATCCAGAACCGTGCTTTTTTTCAGGGGTTCATGTGTCAGGGTGGGGGAGCACTGGGGGTTCTTCTTCATCTGAATCAAATTCCACATTCGGATCTTTTACCCATTGTCCTGATCTGTTTGGAATCCACCCAGAGCTGAAAGCGAGAGAAGAGACTGTAAAGACACTATATGGAGAGAGGTGAAAGGGACATTTGTGTAGCAGACGGACATGAACGGCCTCTCACACACACACTATCTCAGAGTTTAATTGGGGAGAATCCCGCTTGGAGCAGGTAACGCTAACCTCTTTAGTAGAAGATAATGGTGAATGGCTCTCGTCCTCTCAGGGTCAGTACTGTCGGCCTCACTCTCTGAACGCTTTGCACCACTCTTTTTGTGGCCGGTGCTGGGCTTGGGACATTCTGTCGTCTGCTTCTCGACATCTGTACAAAGTAGGTTTGTGAGATGGGGAATAACCTTTAATAGTAAGTTAAATAAACCCTCTGAATCCTCGATTACAAATCACATTCTGCGATGATCCCCCCCCCCAGGCTCACCCAACACTCACCTAGGGATCTGTCGCCCTGTCCAGGCTGGGAGGTTTCTGTTGTTCTCTGTGGGAGGTTCGGCACAGTGTCAGGAGCAGGGCTAGCACCGAACGCACTGATCTTTCTGCTTGTGTCAGCCGACCTGAGACACAGTAATAGCAGAAAATGAGAAGAGAAACCGTACATCGTTTGACCTACAGGAAAGGCAATATAATATACTTTCAATCCATAGCTACAGCACTTTAACCCCTTAAGGACCAAGCTTCTGGAATAAAAGGGAATCATGACATGTCACACATGTCATGTGTCCGTAAGGGGTTAAGGGAGTCAGAGGGAAAACTAAATATTATAAACATGCTTTTAACAAAGAGACAATTATAATGTCTTCAATGTGAATGGAGTTAACAGTATAATCATTTTATTAATTATGAAATCAGTGAATTCTTTCAGTGTTCCGTTAGCACCCGCTGCATTGTATAGGTGAAAGCTCAGTCTCGGCTGCAGTAGGATGACAGCATGTAATCTGTTACACTCTCTCACAACAAGGGACAACTCACTAACGCTATACGGGTGGGTGAATGCAAATCCATTCCATTGGATTCTGCTCTAAATATAAATAATATAAAGAAAGAGACGCCTCTCCACTGAATTACAGTATTAGTACAATTAAAATTTTATAACGCAAAGGAAGTGCTTAGGATGCCAAACTGCGCAATCATCCAGGCTTTGGTCATGCAGCAAGCATGGAGTCCGGTGTTTTATGCGGACTGCACTCACACTCTGCATGTGTTGAGCTCCATGCCTCAGATATGGCACAGATAGCATTTATTAGGGTAGATAATAGCTATAAGGCATTTGTTATTGGGGGAATGTGTAGATTTAGGAGGCAGGTGGTTTAGATAAACAAACAGGAAACGTATCTGGTTTTGCTCCGTTTCTAAATACACCGAGTATTGGTGGGCGGCTAAACTGCATCAAATGAGAACTGAACCCAGAAAAGCTGGAACTTTAACAGTCAAATTAGGCAGACGCCAGTTTTTTCCCCCCAAACAATCAATACAGGAGCGGCCGTCCTGGAATGACGTAGTTCGTTACCTGTTACGAGAACAGCAACTGTTGTAGGGAGTAGCTTTTAGCAAAGCATGCTGGGTAATTTTCCTTGTCTGCATCAGCAAAGGGGCCGGACCAATGGGCATCTGCAAACATATAAGATTAAGAGCCAGGTGAAAAAGTCATGTGTACCCTGTAAAGTAACACAAATTCTATGTAGTTAGAGGAATAGAACAAAAATCCCCCAGGCTGCAGATATTAGGTGTATCACTAAACCGGAAATCCTGTGTGTTAATGGTTTACAAGCAAAGAGGGTTCTATTGTTACCAAGTAAACCAAAACACAGAATGAAAAACTGGACACAGACACATCGCTCTACTAGCACTTCCCACCACACTAAGATCTACCATGAATCAATAACATACCCAGGGTATTCATTACTGCCAGCTCACAGCAAAATAAAAGCACAATTGTCAAATTGTCACAACACACCTAATCTCACCATAACCCAAACAGACAGACAAACTCCTGCTAAAAGAAGCCACTTCCATCAACATTTCCATAAAGGGGTGTTTGTGACCTGAAACAATCTCTAGGTAGGTGGTACATATCAAAGAAACATGCACATGAATGCCAGGAGCCAAGACTGGCCTCCACCTGCCTGCCTTCTTCCCATAGTGCATCCTCCTGCCATCTCTTACCCAGGTAAACAACCCACACACGTCCAGCCATCAAGCAGATGTAAAAGAAAACATGATTCATCAGACCAGGCAACCTTCCTCCATTGCTCCAGTTCTGATGCAAACACCCTCCTTGAAGGCGCTGTGGGAGGTGGACAGGCGGCTACGCAGCTCCATATGCAGCAAACTGTAATGCACTGTGTGTTCTGACACATTTCTATCATGGACAGAATTACTGCTTTCAGGAATTAGAGGTACAGTTGCTCTCTGTGTGATTGGACCAGACAGGCTAGCCGTTGCTCCCCACATTCAATGAGCTTTGGGTGCCCATGACTGTGACACCGGTTGTCCGTCCTTGCACCCAATTTGGTAGGTGCTAACCACTGCTGTAGATTCGGAACACCCCACAAGACTTGCCATTTTGGAAATACTCTGAATCGGTCGACTAGCCATCACTATCTGGCCCTTGTCAAAGTCACTCAGATCTTTCTGCTTTCCCATTTTTCCTACTTCCAACAAATTAAATTAAATTAAATTAAATTAAAAGATTCAATTGTCTGAAATTGTTGTTAAAGAACCAATGTACAATAAATAATAATAGGGGGGAAAAACTGCCTATTTAGTAGATATACCACCAATGGACTACATGAATCTATTCACTGGGGGTATATCTGAAAACAGCTGCATTTCTTTAATAATTACCTTTGTGGGTTAAATCCACCTCTAGTGGCTGTCTACCTGGCTGGCAGCAGAGGTGGAGCCTGAACAAGTGCCGAGAGACATCGGTGCTGCAATCAGGTAAGTGACAGCTAGGGTTTTTAACCCCTTCAGCACTACAGTTTCCCTTTAACTGAGACACTGTCTACATCAGTGGTAGTCAACCTTTTTCTACCTACCGCCCACTAATGCATCTTTCTTGATGGAAAAATTTCCTTACCGCCCACCAGTTTTCGCGCAAGTGCGGAATATTTTTTAGAAAGGAGGGTGTTTTAAAAAAAATAAATGTACGTACATTTATCTTTTTATTTCTACATGCATGTTTATAATGTTTTTAACTTTATAAATTTTAATTGGAAAACAATAAAGTAAATTGAAATTACCTTTACTAGTGATTAATGAGATCCTTGAGGCTGATGCTGCGAGACTAAATATTTGATATCTGGTTCGATTTTCGTAAGGAACAAACGAAGGTCTCCTCTTTCGGTGGTATTCAGACGACTTCTCTGTTTGCGCATAATATGATTTCTCATCTGTGCGTCAGCTCATCTCATCTCCCTCCTCAATTCCCCTGCCCACCTTTTTTATCCCTTTTTTCTATTTTTTAACCTTCCTTATAGCAATGCCCAGTAGGAAGGCTTAGCTCGGTAGCCCACTGACTATAGCCCACTATAACAGACAGGCACACATACATACACACACACACACACATAAAAATACACATACATACAAACAGACAGGCACACATACAGACACACACAGACAGGCACACATACATACAAACAGGCACACATACATACAGACACACGCACACATATATACAGACACACACATCCATACAAATAGACAGGTACACATACATACAGACACACACATACATACAAACAGACAGGTACACATACACACATACAGACACAAGACACATACATACAAAGACAAGACACACATACATACACACATATATACAGATAGACACACACAAGACATACATACAAAGACACATACACACAAACAAACACACACAAAATATTTTTGTCACCCTCTTGTTTCCTACCTTTTAGGTGCAGGAGGGTGACTTTCCCTGGGGTCCAGTGGTGGCTCAGGTGCATGGGAGTCAGAGTTCCCACTCTGACTCCCTGGTCTTCCTCCTGCGCAGCTCTCAGTTTTAGCTGGGAGGAGTGACGTGCAGTCACTTCCTCCCAGCGTGTGATGTAATAATAGGGGGCCCGGTCGCGCTGTTAAAGCGCCCAGCGCTGACCGGGCCCACTCTCAATCCAGATCCATCGGGTGGCCCTGACAGCATGGGCCACCCGATGGACCCCTTGGGTGGCGGCCCCGGAGGTTTGCCACGCGGGCCGGGGCCAAAAATGGTGACGGCGGTACCCGGTCGCACGGGTACCGCCGGCTCGCACCTGCCATCCCTACCGCCCAACTGGAATCCTGAAACGCCCACTAGTGGGCGATAGGGACCAGGTTGACGACCCACGGTCTACATTGTATCTCATGGTGAATACTGTTACCAAACACCCCTAACACTAGAAAGGTCAGAGCTACATATGGGAGCAGGTGTGACCATTCATTAAAATTTACACAGATGTGGGACAGACTCATTGGCCAAACCTGTTCCCCGGTCTCTTCTGCTCGCACAAACCGTTCATGCTGCCGCTTCTGGACCTCGTTCTTGAAATTGTTCTTCTTTCCATAAAACCACTGCAAACCTTGTATTAATGGAGAACACAGTAAGAAAAAGGGCAAAATCACCACATTAGAAGATAGTTTTATGAAAGGCCTGGCCCCATGTAGGTGCTGAGCCGGGGCATCCCTCCGACACGAGCGCCGAGCCGGGGCATCCCTCCGACACGAGCGCCGAGCCGGGGCATCCCTCCGACACGAGCGCCGAGCCGGGGCATCCCTCCGACACGAGCGCCGAGCCGGGGCATCCCTCCGACACAAGCGCCGAGCCGGGGCATCCCTCCGGGGCACACAAGCGCCGAGCCGGGGCATCCCTCCGACACGAGCGCCGAGCCGGGGCATCCCTCCGACACGAGCGCCGAGCCGGGGCATCCCTCCGACACGAGCGCCGAGCCGGGGCATCCCTCCGACACGAGCGCCGAGCCGGGGCATCCCTCCGACACGAGCGCGTCAAGCTAGTCCACACTCCAGGAAGCCATATTCTGTGAGAGGGAATATTAACCCCTTGAGGACCAAACTTCTGGAATAAAAGGGAATCATGACATGTCACATGTCGTGTCCTTAAGGGGTTAAAGCAGTGAAATACTCACTGGCCAGGTGTTTCTTCCCATTTCTGTGAACAGACAGCATATCAATTGTGTCAAAGACCGGTCGGTGAGAACACACAGTGCAGGCGTAACTGTAAAAGAGAATCCTGTTACATGGAGAGATAGTTCAGCCACTACGAATAAAATTATTCACTGTTATTTTCATTTAAAATAATTCCAAATGTTATTAATTAGTATTAAAAATTCAAGGCCAGTGTAAAATGTTTTTGTTTTTTTAAACGCTCTCAGCGTGTTGCTGCCGCACAGTCTACGCGTTTCATGCTGTCTAAGCACCGTTTAAAGTTCTGCCAAGGTAAGTATGCAGAGCCGCACAGTCACAGTAAGAGCCCACAGCCGCCGGCTCGAAGGACGTTCCCAAACCCATTGATAAAAGTTGTGATTTCTCTTGAAATAGTCCCATTTATGAATGGGGACAGGGGAGACCTCTTATTAACCCATTGGATTCCCCTTTAAATGTTATATGATTGGATGAAGAGGTTTACCTTCCATTTTTAATCAGCAGGGCCTCATCCTCGGGAATGAAGCTGGCGAGAAGATCGGCAACCCTCCGCTTCTATGAAAAGAAAGGAAAAGAAGAAAGTCATCCATTTCATTGAATGTAGTAAGTCAAAATGCAAAAATCACCACCACACAGACTGAGGGCGCCCTCCCCTGGGAGAGACAGACAGACTGAGGGCTCCCTCCCCTGGGAGAGACAGACAGACTGAGAGCGCCGTCCCCTGGGAGAGACAGACAGAGAGACAGACTGAGGGCGCCGTCCCCTGGGAGAGACAGACAGACTGAGGGCGCCGTCCCCTGGGAGAGACAGACAGACTGAGGGCGCCGTCCCCTGGGAGAGACAGACAGACTGAGGGCACCCTCCCCTGGGAGAGACAGACAGACTGAGCCCTCCCCTGGGAGAGACAGACAGACTGAGGGCGCCCTCCCCTGGGAGAGACAGACAGACAGACTGAGGGCGCCCTCCCCTGGGTGAAACAGACAGACTGAGGGCGCCCTCCCCTGGGTGAGACAGACAGACTGAGGGCGCCCTCCCCTGGGAGAGACAGACAGACTGAGGGCGCCCTCCCCTGGGAGAGACAGACAGACAGACTGAGGGCGCCCTCCCCTGGGTGAAACAGACAGACTGAGGGCGCCCTCCCCTGGGTGAGACAGACAGACTGAGGGCGCCCTCCCCTGGGAGAGACAGACAGACTGAGGGCGCCCTCCCCTGGGAGAGACAGACAGACTGAGGGCGCCCTCCCCTGGGAGAGACAGACAGACTGAGTGCGCCCTCCCCTGGGAGAGACAGACAGACTGAGGCGCCCTCCCCTGGGTGAGACAGACAGACTGAGGGCGCCCTCCCCTGGGTGAGACAGACAGACTGAGGGCGCCCTCCCCTGGGAGAGACAGACAGACTGAGGGCGCCCTCCCCTGGGTGAGACAGACAGACTGTGCCTTCCCCTGGGTGAGACAGACAGACTGAGGGCGCCTTCCCCTGGGTGAGACAGACAGACTGAGGGCGCCCTCCCCTGGGTGAGACAGACAGACTGAGGGCGCCCTCCCCTGGGAGAGACAGACAGACTGAGGGCGCCCTCCCCTGGGAGAGACAGACAGACTGACTGAGGGCGCCCTCCCCTGGGAGAGACAGACAGACTGAGTGCGCCCTCCCCTGGGAGAGACAGACAGACTGAGGGCGCCCTCCCCTGGGAGAGACAGACAGACTGAGGGCGCCCTCCCCTGGGAGAGACAGACAGACTGAGGGCGCCCTCCCCTGGGAGAGACAGACAGACTGAGGGCGCCCTCCCCTGGGAGAGACAGACAGACTGAGGGCGCCCTCCCCTGGGAGAGACAGACAGACTGAGGGCGCCCTCCCCTGGGAGAGACAGACAGACTGAGGGCGCCGTCCCCTGGGAGAGACAGACAGACTGAGGGCGCCCTCCCCTGGGAGAGACAGACAGACTGAGGGCGCCCTCCCCTGGGAGAGACAGACAGACTGAGGGCGCCCTCCCCTGGGAGAGACAGACAGACTGAGGGCGCCCTCCCCTGGGAGAGACAGACAGACCGAGTGCGCCCTCCCCTGGCACAATATAACCAGTTGTTCCAGAGACCCAGGGCTCACTGATGGTAATAATAATAATAATAATGAGTGAGATAATAAATGGCTGCAGTGCTGTAACAGACATTATTAGAATCTCAGATTTTTATTATTTTGGAAATTTCTTCACATAAAGTCCCAGCAACTCCAACTCCCATCATGCCCCAGTAACTCCAACTCCCATCATGCCCCAGTAACTCCAACTCCCATCATGCCCCAGCAACTCCAACTCCCATCATGCCCCAGTAACTCCAACTCCCATCATGCCCCATTAACTCCAACTCCCATCATGCCCCAGTAACTCCAACTCCCATCATGCCCCAGTAACTCCAACTCCCATCATGCCCCATTAACTCCAACTCCCATCATGCCCCAGTAACTCCCATGATGCCTGTGTAAAGCCCCAGACCTGTTCCCGCCGTCCCGGGCCCTTCCCTCTCACCTTTAGTACATTGAGCTGGCTGCCATCGTCCCCTTCCCGTTTGAACGACATCCTCTCCCCCTCACAGCCCCTCACTTCCTGCTCGGCTTCCGTTGTTTACCGTCACGCGCCGCGGGGGCTCACGGGAGATGTAGTCCTCCCCCTTCTGTCGCCTCTGACAAGCTAATCGCACAGCTGAGGGGGCGGGCCCGTTGCATGCCGGGAGATGCAGTTCAGCTGCCAGGTCAGCTCTGTATAGCCCAACCCTCAGGACTACAAGTTCATAGAGGCTTTGCGGCAGACAGCCCTGGCCAGCTGCTGTTGGCTGGGTTATTGACATTTTGAACCTGCAGTGATCAGGGCCAGTTATTTAGTGAGCTTCCCAGCTATGGCTGACATTATTCAGGGAAATGAAACCAGTGTGAGCCTGACTCTGCCCTGGGAGCCCCTCCATTGAATCCCAGAGCATGTGATCCATCAGGGTAACTTCATTTTCTCTGTTTTTCTTTTTTTTCAGCCTAATTTAATTTCCCTAGATGCAGGCAGCAGCATGTGACAGCGACTGAAAGAATCCCATTGTGAATTTACAGAAAACGCCTCCTTTTTGGGGACCGCTCGCTTGTGACAGCAGCCGACATTGAACGCCATGTCGTCAACCCACAAACAAGGCGACTCGGGGCTCCTGCGCGGCTCCTGCACACGCTCTTACGGTAGCCTGGTCCAGTCTTCGTACTCGCCGGCGAGAGTGAGAAAGTTGGAGCATCAGGTTCAACCGGGCGACACGTTACAAGGCTTGGCGTTGAAATACGGCGTCACTGTGAGTTACAACAAAACACTGTCCCCAAGAGCTAGCAATTTAATTTTCAGATATCAATCTAACTTATAAATGGAACAGGCATCTCTTGTAGCCTCCACGCTCAAAGAATTTTACTAGCCCAAATAACCATAGTCAGCCTCCCCTGCCTGTCGCTGACACACCAATTGGTGGACAGACCTATCACTATCGTGTGAGAGCATAATGTCTGACAGCAAGTTATGGGAATTGTCATCCATCAAATGTTAGATATTCCTGGTGTACTGATTAAAAATAAATAAATTAATTTAAGCGTAAACCGAAACATGTTTACTTTGAAGAAGAAGAAAAGAGAGGGAGTCATGAACGCCCCCTTTAAAATAGATGAGGTGCCTTAATTGAAATTTACTTTAAACTCTCCTTCATGCAGAAATTCACAGCACTGGTGTGACATAAATTGATTTGTATAGAATCCACACTTGAAATAGTTAACAAGTGATCACATGATTGTTATTTCTATACAGTACTTCACACAGTTAGAAATTGATCACAAGCTATGTTTTAGCAAACCGATATCACAGCGCATAAATTCAGAAGGCAGTATTGCCTATATTTTAAACAGAAATAGATCGTCTGGAGAAATCAGCAATATAAGAGCATTTAAAAGTTTCCATGGCGATTGTTTAAATTTGCATCAGCATTTTTCTATGTGGGAGGAGGGTGAGAGGCCGTTCCCAGGGCTCTAAGCAGGGGCTGCAATCATTTCAACTAAAATGATTTAGTCTCCTGGACATGTAGTTTTTTTTGTTTGTTTGTTTTTTCAATACCAATACCCAAGTTATTGTTAATTAAAGTGTTAGTCCAAGCACCATAACCACTTTAGTGATTTGAAGTGGTCATGTGCTATGTGCAGTGTTTCAGCATGAGACATCTAATGTTGCTGTAACTCCATCTCCAGCAGATTCGTTATCAACAGACAATTTTCAAGCAGTTCACACAAACCTTCAATGTGGTACAGAGACATACTATGCAATACATACACAGTCCACGCAATTCACAGACACACTCCATGCAATTCACAGATACACACTCTACGCAATTCACAGACACACTCCACTGGATGCAGCTCAGACACACTCTACTCAATCCACAGACACACTCCACTGGATGCAGCCCAGACACGCAACATGCAAGTCACAGACACACTCCATGCAATGCCGCTCAGACACAACATGCAGTACACAGACACACTTCTCTATGCAGCTAAGACACAATCCATGCAATTCACAGACACTTCTCAATGCAGCTCAGACACAATCCATGCAGTACACACCACGCACTTCACAGACACCCCTTGCAGTTCACAGAGACACCACGTTTGAAATTTTTTGCAAACCGATGCAAATTATTTGATAAATTAAAGTACCATGGTAGCAAACAGTCCTTACCACCCTCAATTACAGTTAGACATCAAGCCCCATTCCTCTTCCCTTTTTCTGACAGGCCGACTGACTCACTCAGTCAACACAAACAAATGGGACTTTTATCAGGGAAATTGTAAACAGCGTGAATATTACACTTGTACATTTGATACAGACTATATAGAGCACAATTGATTTAATTTCATACCTGTGTTTTGTCCACAGATGGAACAAATAAAACGAGCCAACAGATTGTACACAAATGAGTCTATATTCCTCAAGAAATATCTGTACATCCCTGTGCTGGTTGAACAGGGCGAGTTGTCCAATGGACTGGAGTCTCCAGAAGAGTCAGGAGACGGGTCAAGCTCCGAGAGGCCATCTTCAAGTCAGGCTCAAAAATCGGGGAAGGACAGGAGCAAGCAACAGGAGAATAAATCCCATGCAGGGACCAGGAATGAGATATCCGCTAGTGACTTTATGAACAACTTGGACACCAAAATCCGTGTGTCTAAAAGAGCAGCTGTGAAAAAGCTCAAAGAGGTGGAAACGTTGTGAGTATAAGATGAATGGGAATAATGAGTTACCTTTGCATTGCATTCATAATATAGATAGATATATGCATATATTTCAAATCTGACATCTAAAAATAATCACAGGTGGACATTTCATGTAACCACTTGCCCTTGTACAGTTAATTTTTCTCACTTCTCTCTATGTTTGCCAGCCTTGTATTCGTATGTCCAGGATCTTCCTGTGTTGAGCTCACAGTCCCCATTGAGATCAAGGGAAAATGAATGCAGGGAGACTCACAGAAACAAGAGAAAAGTGTTATTGTACTAAAATATCATGGGCATATCTTCAGGAAAGTTTGTTAAAGGGACACTCCAGGGACCCAGACCACTTCTGCCCATTGGAGTGGTCTGGGTGCCAACTCCCACTACCCTTAACCCTGCAACTGTAAATATTGCAGTTTTCATAAACTGCAATAAAAACATTGCAGGGTTAACTCCTCCTCTAGTGGATGTCTCCTAGACAGCCACTAGAGGGCACTTCTGGGATTATAGCACAGATTTTCTGTGCTATAGCGTCGCTGGACGTCCTCAGGCTATGTGAGGACCTTTAGCGTCGCTAAAATCCCCATAGCAAAGCATTGAAGGCATTGCCTCGCATGCGCATTAGTTCTCCCCTGCCGGCGGGCGTGATTAATCTTCCCTGGCCGGCTGACAGGGACGCGAAACCACCGCCGAGGGACATCGTCGCTGCCTCTGGTAAGTCACTGAAGGGGTTTTGACCCCTTCAGCAACCAGGGATGGGAGGTGGGAGGGAGAGGGGACCTGCAGTGCCAGGAAAACTGATTGTTTTCCTGGCACTGGAGAGTCCCTTTAAACAACACTCCATTAAATCCATAGAAAATATGCATGCAATTTGTTTTGCATGTTTTCTCTGGAGGTATTTTAAAATTTGGATTGCAATAGCTGCAGATTAAGGTATGTACAGCTACTGCAAGCTCTCCCCTTCTTACCCAGCACGGGCTTTCTGTGTCTGTCCAATCACAGGCTTCCCAATGCAGCTCAATGAGAAGTCTTTGCAAGGCAGGTGCTATAGCAACTGGCTGCCTCTTGAGTTTAGCTCCACTGAGCTAACCAGATCAATGTTTTAGTGTTTTATAATATTATTTTTTTTTTTTTTTTTTGTCCACATGTTTTGGGGATAAGACATTCCCTTTAAATTTTGAACAGAATTTTTCAGCATCTTGTGTCACAGGATGGAGGAGAAATTAATTAAGAGAACATTCTGCCAATAGATCTGACCAGTGACAGAGTTCGATTCTATAACTATTTGAATTATTGGTATATCATGCCATATAAAGGGCAATTATATTCTCCACTAGATTTCCTGAATGCACTCAAAAGCCACAAGTGACCCTTCAGAAAATTACACACTCTTATCAGTCTTAATCTACTTCAGTGGAGATCTCCTAGAATGTAGCCATGATGAACATAATCAGCTTATTAATTAAAAATAAGTAAAACCCAAAGGCTTGTGTCTCGCGGTGAAATGCTTTTTTCAGGAACTACGGTTGCACAAAGATTGCTATGAGACATTGTAGGATGTGGTGAGGTTAGCTACTGTGCTTATGGTGTAAGATAAGCCTGATATGATTGGCACATCATAGCATTTGAAATAAGGTGGACGTTGATCTTAAAGTTATGATAAAACATTCATGGATTTATTCGTTCATTCTAGGATTCCAGATGACATGACCGGAGAAGCCAAAAGTTACCAGAGACCTCCTGACCGCACCAGAGAGTCATCACCACAAACTCAGCAGCGTTCTTTACTAGGACCTGTTCCTCTCACCATAACCACACGGGCCTCTACCATAAAGGACCACGAGGATGAAATATTTAAACTCTGACCGCCGTGTTCTGCCTGGATCTTGTATATTTCTTATTGCAGTTTCCTTTCTTTTTACGGCGTCAAATAATGTTAAAGTGATAATTTTACCTCGTACAGTGCCTCTGCTCCTTTTTTGTAGACATTCAACCAAATGGGCCACGTAAACTCTTAACTACTGCTCAAACCACCGCATTCCTTTAGAAGACCCTCAACGTTAAATGATGTTCTCTCCTTCTACAAAAAAGTGTGTTTTTTTTTTATGGATTTCCTTTGGTATTGTCTGAAAAGACATTTTTAAACAGAAAATGAAATTCTTGGAATTAGGGCTTTCATTGTGAAAGCAGAAGCCATCTCGTTTTTAAGGAACTTGTTACCACATGAACCCACAGGGTGGAGCTAAGAGATTTCAATGTTAACAATTAAGTAATTAGGCAAAGAGACCAGTTCTTTCACAGCTTACATTTTTAGTATAGTAGAACAAATTCAATGATTCAGCACAACCACCAATCTTCACAATGTCTTCTTTCTACTGAAGTGAAATAGAGCAATAGAAAATGTTACTTCTCGTATCACGGTCTCTAGACATTGGCTTTGTTAGGACCCAATGAACCTCGGGCATCGTGTGTCACTATAGTAGTGTAGAAGTGGACCCTGGCACTTAGAGGGGCAACTGCCTAACTAGTATAGGAAATCCATGTGCCGTTTCCTGTAGCAGAGTCCATATTGCCTGGAGTTACGCAAATCAGGTTAACAGTCCAAGAGCCACTGATATGATGTGGTTATTTGAAGTCATGTAACCGGCACCATGTATGCGCCTTGGCCTTGTTATCAGACTGTGCTGGGAGAGTGGGTGGAGAGCGTATCTGTGTGTGCACTAAAGGGTAACAATTTAGTGCTGCCGTTCAGGGCTTGTGTCTGAATAGGAATGTGTGCTGTGTATGTGTGTAGGGGAATATGCTGATATTACAAAGACAAACATTTTCTTAGACAGGTTCTATGTGCACTGAGAAAGGCCTTGTAAGTATGTATTTATTTAACGCAGGGGGACCCTGCAAATACTTGACATACCTGCACTGCTGTTGTGATATCTTGTGGAATGGCGGTATATTAAATGTATAAATTAAATCAACCATGTGTATGTTAATTTTATATTCTATGAGTGAACGATGGGTGATATGGGTGGATTAATAATGACACTGTGTGGATGAGCGGCAGGTGTTGTGCGTTATAGGTGCAGTTTGCGTGACCGAAAACACCTAATCAACATGGCACCCAAAGGAAGCTTTTGCTTGCAAATCCATACCATTGTCGTCAAGACTTGTTTAGTGCAGAGTTCACAACTCTGTGTTAGTTTCCCAAAACAGCACAGACTGTTAAATATTAATGTTCCATAATATCTAACAGGGCCAAGAGTCCAAACAACATAGAATAGATGTATTAGACAGCTTTTAACAAAGACATGTCAACATGTGGAGTTATCAGGCATGTGCAAACTCTACAAGAAACCAGAGCCACACTGGCCCTTGTTTAAATTGGGGAATTGTTCCCAGCGGCAGGTGATGGGATTGGTGGGCAGACATTTAAACATGTGAAGCAGATTGTTTAATCTGCTCAAAATTTAAAATGTAGCAGCAGTTTGATTAAAATAAATATTTTCTCTGTTTGCTATCAGATTGTATAAATATATAAACCACATTTGATTCGCTAGGGAGGATAAACTATTTAGCACAATATGAAAGTGAAAATCTAGGAGCAGCAGTTGAATTTACACACAAGTTGGGTCTAACAGAGGTGGATCTTGGGTAGGTGATACTTCCCTCCCCCGAAAATAATGCTGTGGCCATGCTGCTGGTGGGAACCTGCGGGTGTTGGGGGCTCATAGGGAAGCCCATACACAGGGTAGTACAGACCAACAAGGAGGTCTCATCAGGGGCCCGGTCGGATGCTGCGGCCCATTGGCTGGGCGACCTGGCCACTTTAATATGTGAGACTATGGGGGCTGGGGGAACACAGAGAGGGAGCACTGATGACAGAGCCTCAAACTCCCATCAGTGGCAGCCAACCCCAGGAAGTCACCCCCCTGCATGTAAATTGAAATTTGTGTATGTAATTATGTGTGTGCCAGTGTTTGTATCTGTGCCACTGTGTGTGTCTGCATATTTGTATATAAGCATACATTCCAGAAGCCAAACAGAAACACTGCATACAAATACACTCCCACTATCAAGTGCCAACACTACATACAAACACACACCAGCATTCAAACGCACTACACATGCACACCACTGCTTTACAACAGCGAACCCTGCTAGAATGAGCAAATGACAGATCCCCAGCTGGCAATGCATCATGGGATATGTACAACAGATGGGATTTAATCTTTTGGCCACTCTTGTGCCGGGTGGGCAAAATAATTTCTTGCACCCAGGCCCTCTCCCCATAGTTCCGGCACTACCTGCTCTGCTTAGCGCCAGTGACATCAGTGCAGTGCAGTATACTACAGCGCCCTACATCTCTACTGCAGCCCACTACCAGTGCCCCTCCCAAGATTTGGCTCTGGTTCCGCCCTTTAAATTGCAAATCACCAGAGAAGCAGGATATAGTTCTCCATGTACATTTGTATCATCCAAAGTCATAAGCTACTTCCATAAACAGAGGTCGTGCTACCCCATGACTTACCTTGAAATTACCCATCTTACCGGGAGCTCAATAGTTGTTGATTAACTGCAGCCACCTGGTGATGGATCATGGGAATTGTGGTTTGTAGAGAGCTGCAGCTCTTGTTTCGCTGAGTGTTAAACGAGAGCCTGTTATTAATATAACAAATATTTTCATGCCCTCCTCCTCAACTGGCCACTACCTAAGACCATACGTAAGGCAATAGGTTTTACTTTTCAGTGAACAAAACAGGCATAATGGATCATATTACAATACCATACATCATGATTGCTCTCTCTCTCTCCATGTGTAGGCAATAACATAGCAGGGTTGTTCACTAAAGGGAGAAGTGAATTTCATACTTAAGGGGACCCTATAGACACCAGAAAGTGTTTACATTGCTGCCTAGTAACACTGCTAGTGACAGTCACTCAGACGGCCACCGGAGGTGCTCCCTAGTCTGGCATTCATTGTCTCCTCCCTCTACATGGAGGTGCTGAATGTTCCTCATAGAGATGCAATGATTGGCGCAGCGTGAAAGAATTGGATTGGCCGAGATCGTCAAAATTAATGATCTCAGCCATGGAGGCGGTCTCATAGCACTTGAAAGAAAGGTTAGTAAAATCCAATTGTTTAATGTAAAAAGAGAGGGTCATTTATCTAAATAGTTATTTAACCACTAAAGTGTCAGAAATACACGTTTATATTCATGACACTATAGTGTTCCTCTAAGGCAAGAGTATCTAGAAGGAAAGCTGACTTAGAGAACGTTTATAGATCAGCTACGTAGGCCTTATATTTCACTTTCAATTCCTGACAATTCTCACATTAGTGAATAACTAATTGAGAATTCAATGTAAATTTCAAATGTAATGTATAACATAGATGAGATTCCATTGTATCTTTCAATTTTTCTGGAAATCACAGTCAGCAAAGATGGGAGGGCAGACCAGATTCCTATTCCATAGAACTTTCTGAATCTAGAGAAATTATCAGTCTGATCACCAGTAGAACTGATGGCACAAAATGGTCTGTCATTACTTTGCCCATTTAATAAGCGAATGGGAAGAAACACACAGAAAGTAGCCAATAATCTAACTGCTCAAGGTATAGACCCAGGGATGGACTGACAGTGGCCTGGACCCCCGGGAAAAATTAGGACCCGGGCCTCCTGCAGACCAATATGCACGCTAGTATAGATGTACCATGTATTTGATTGTATGTGCATAGAAAGCAAATGTTTAGTTCTGTGTGTATATTCACTGTGAGTCCTGGTGTAAGTGAATATACGTATGCCTTTGTGTGTAGTGTCAGCATATGTGGATTAAGAGTGTATTTGAATACGTCTGTTTTTTAAATAGTATTTAAGTGTATTTGTGTAGCATGCCAGTATGTATAAGTAAATATTTGTGTATCATGGCAATGTTTGTATGAGGTAAGGGAGTATAAGGACTGTAGTGGGTGTAGGGGGTATATGGGCTGTAGTGGGTACATGGGCTGTGGTGGGTGTAGGGGGTATCAGGGTTGTATTGGGTGTAGGGGGCTGTAGTCGGTGTAGGGGGTATAGGGGGTATAGGGGCTGTAGTGGGTGTAGGGGGCTGTAGTCGGTGTAGGCGGTATAGGGGCTGTAGTGGGTGTAGGGGGCTGTAGTCGGTGTAGGGGGTATAGGGGCTGTAGTGCGAGTAGGGGGTATAAGGGCTGTAGGGGGTATAGGGGCTGTAGGGGTGTAAGGGTATAGGAGCTGTAGTGGGTGTAGGAGCTGTAGTGAGTGTAGTCGGTATAGGAGCTGTAGTGGGTGTAGGAGCTGTAGTGAGTGTAGGGGGTATAAGGGCTGTAGGGGGTATAGGGGCTGTAGGGGTGTAAGGGTATAGGAGCTGTAGTGGGTGTAGGAGCTGTAGTGAGTGTAGTGGGTATAGGAGCTGTAGTGGGTGTAGGAGCTGTAGTGAGTGTAGGGGGTATAGGGGCTGTACTGGGTGTAGGAGCTGTAGGGGGTATAGGGGCTGTAGGGGTGTAAGGGTATAGGAGCTGTAGTGGGTGTAGGAGCTGTAGTGAGTGTAGTGGGTGTAGGAGCTGTAGTGAGTGTAGGGGGTATAGGGGCTGTACTGGGTGTAGGAGCTGTAGGGGCTGTAGTGGGTATAGGAGCTGTAGTGGGTGTAGGAGCTGTAGTGGGTGTAGGGGGTATAGGGGCTGTACTGGGTGTAGGAGGTATAGGGGCTGTAGTGGGTATATGGGCTGTAGTGGGTGTAGGGGGTATAGGAGGTGTAGGGGGTATATGGGCTGTAGTGGGTATATGGGGTATAGGAGGTGTAGTGGCTGTAGGGGGTATAGGGGCTGTAGGAGTATGGGGGCTGTAGTGGGTGTAGGGGGTATATGGGCTGTAGTGAATGTAGGGTTGGGGGTATAGAGACAACATGGGCTTTGGTGGGTAAAGAGAGTGTATTGAAGCTGTGATGGGGCAGTAGTGGGGGAGCTTATTTAGTTAAAAACATTTTTAATAAGATATTTTTTTTCCCCAAAAGTATTCCCCTCTCCCTGAGCATTACGTTTGGCCAGGGAATCCTTATACCTCCTGGTGGTTCGGTGAGAGAATAAGTTTGTCTGTTATCCTGGTGGGTGCATGCAACCCAACCTCCTCCTCAACATGCGAGTAGATTTCTGCCTGTAACACTGATCGAGAAGCTCCGCACAGCTCGCGCTGCACTCTGACACATGATGTCACTTTCTGCAGAACAAGCTGTGCGGAGCTCTATGATCAATGTTGCAGGCAGTCTGCCGGCAGAGAATCTGCTCCTGGAACCTCTGTCAATTTATCTTTTCCAGCCAAATACCGCATGCACCGCTAGAGAGGCAGCATACTGGGTCTTTGGGTAGGTAGCTGTTTCTCAACGTGCAAAGAGGCCGCCTCTGCTGCCAGTTAAAATAGCGTGGCCGACCAAGGGGAGAACATCTTTAGCAACAGGGGCCTGTGGAAGCTGTGCGGGCCCCTTACAATGAGCAGGCAGGCTGGGGAGCTTGTTGCACTCTCCAGCTGAGCCATTAATTTACTGTACCACAGATGGACCCCTACGAGCATCGGGCCCTCGGTCCATGACCAATTTGCCCATACTTTGTTCGGCCTTGTCGAGAACCCACATACACCAACTGGGAGATATGTTATGTATTTCTTTATAGCTTTTCATTTTCCCATTTATTATTATTATTAATCTGTAGTGTCCTTTTTGTCATGTATGTTGCCACAGGTCATAAAACATGTGTGGTAAGTATATATGTAGTAATATATATCAATAACATTAAAAAAAAAAAATACAGTTTTTTCTAAAGAAACCATTAATACAGGTAGACATAACTCATGGTACATTTATTTACCTTTGGTCTTACTAAAAGCAAAGGCACACAGGTTCAATGTTGTTATGGTGAATCTATTATTCAGATTCATTGTTAATACACATTACAGAGAGTCATTGACAGAAACACTATACATAAGAGGTGTAATGGAGACACACAGTGTCTTATCACAATACACCCTGGATATATTGGAACTACACATCATACAGGACAGCCAGAAACCAAATGAAACTGCATGTATCTTACAGGACAGCCTGAAACTGCATGTATCTTACAGGACAGCCTGAAACTGCATATATCTTACAGGACAGGGTGAGACTGCATGTATCTTACAAGACAGTCTGAAACTGCATGTATCTTACAGGACAGCTTGAAACTGCATGTATCTTGCAGGACAGCCTGAAACTGCATATATCTTACAGGACAGTCTGAAACTGCATGTATCTTACAAGACAGTCTGAAACTGCATGTATCTTACAGGACAGTCTGAAACTACATGTATCTTACAGGACAGCCTGAAACTGCATGCATCTTAGAGGACAGGGTGAAACTGCATATATCTTACAGGACAGGGTGAAACTGCATGTATCTTACAAGACAGTCTGAAACTGCATGTATCTTACAGGACAGTCTGAAACTGCATGTATCTTACAGGACAGCCTGAAACTGCATGTATCTTACAGGACAGCATGAAACTGCATATATCTTACAGGACAGCCTGAAACTGCATGTATCTTACAGGACAGTCTGAAACTGCATGTATCTTACAGGACAGCCTGAAACTGCATGTATCTTACAGGACAGTCTGAAACTGCATGTATCTTACAGGACAGGGTGAAACTGCATGTATCTTACAGGACAGCCTGAAACTGCATGTATCTTACAGGACAGCCTGAAACTGCATGTATCTTACAGGACAGGGTGAAATTGCATGTATCTTAAGGGACAGAGTAAAACTGCATGTATCTTACAGGACAGCCTGAAACTGCATGTATCTTACAGGACAGGGTGAAACTGCATGTATCTTACAGGACAGGGTGAAACTGCATGTATCTTACAGGACAGGGTGAAACTGCATGTATCTTACAGGACAGAGAGAAACTGCATGTATCTTACAGGACAGTCTGAAACTACTTGGATGTTACTGAATAGTTTGTATCCTATATGATGTTATAAAACTACATACATCAAACAATCTGTAAGTATATGTGTTAGAAAACAGGCTAAAACTACATGTATGGTACAGGGCAGTCTGAAAGTACATGCACATCCCAGGACATTTGGAAACTACATGTATCTTTTAAGATAGCATGAAAATTACATACATTTTACATTACTGACTGAAACGAAATATTACAGGATGTCCTGAAACTACACACAATCTTACATCAAAATAAAATCTGTATTTCATCATAAAGGGAAGTAAAACTTGGCAACGTCTTTCTCAACATTTTGAACAAAACAGATACAAACAAACAGAAAAAAAAAAAAAAAAAACCTTTGATTGGCCAAACGTACAAGGTCCACAGAGCATTTTAATATAATGTTTATGCCAATCTGCAAGATTTGTGCTGAGCAGTTAAAATGTGAACACAACATGGTTCAAAACTCCAGTGTCAGATAACCAGAACATTTAGAAATGTAAAACTGATCTTATATATTTAAAACACACACACACATATATATATATTTTTTTCTTAAGAAGTACTGGAAACTGATGTGACCTTCTGGTTTCTTCTGGAGTCTCAATATGCTTAATAAAAGAGTTCCTCTTTTTCCCCCATATATATTTTATCTTAATTTAAACTTTTATAAACAGCCTGAATACAAAAATAAAATAGCACGCCTGTTAAAATGTGCAATATTATATCCATGGCTTGCTGTACAATAGTAGCCCAGCTGTTATTGCAATGCAGCCTATGTGTCCCTTTGGCATGGAGCTTCAATTAATTAAGAAGCATTATTGTCTCTCAAGGTCCACGCATAACTGGGCCAGAAACCTCATGCGTACTTCCTTTGTTCCCTCATTGCATTATTTACATATCTCTTCACAATTTGCCTTCGTCAATTAGTTTGTTCATTCCATTGCAGATTTTCTGCAGATGGGGTCGTAATTCCCCCTTTGGGTTGTAGAGCTGGGTCAGCATCTCTTGATCTGCAAAGTGATTGAAAACATGTTGGATTCGCCCAAGTGATTTAGGTGTCAGATGTTTCTCCACAAGACGAAGAAGTAAGTTTTTACACTCCATAAGTATCTGAGGCAAAACGCCTTTCTCAAAAGTGAATTCCACTTCATAAAAGCTAATGGCAGTCATGGCTCCATTGTGCAACTTGTTCTTGAAATCATTGGCCAACACCAGCTCCTCGGGACTGAAACGGTTGTGTCGATACAATACACCTATTTTGACCGCCACCTTTATCAAGTCCTTGATGACTTTTTGTGACTCTGTCTTATTCTTTGTGTACTCTTTGGAAACCCTGTACAGCTCATCTAGAACTTCGCTGCTGGTCTCATCAATGAACATGTTGACCATCGACTTGGTGGCCACACGGCTGAGTATCTTCTTCTGTGCCTGTAAAGCCAGGTCTTTGGAACTGAACTCCATGGCCTGCAGAAAACAAAAAAAAACAAAAGTAGTATTACTATGTACATATATCTAAAATATACCCACTCCAATGCTTTCATGTCAACACAGTCTTGATCAATCAGCTTAATCACATTTGACTTCCTTATATAGACAGAACTGGAGATAGTGGGACATTTTGAAACAGCAGAGCTCTGCCCTGTGAGATACATTTTTCTGGATCACCTCCCTACTTCTTTCTTCTAAAATAGCCAGGATATATCAACATTTCTAAAATGGTCAACATACGTCACCAGGGCATAATAAACCTGCAGAGTAAATCAACATAGTTGACCCCAGTGAGGTGACAATTTGTGATACTTTCCTTCAAAGAATACACTTGGTCATTCTGGAGAACTAAATTCACAGATTATGGATGTACCAGGGGCATATCCAGGTTGATCCTGCTGACTTTGGTTAAGACAACTAAATACAAGTAATCTGTGCCAAAACTCTCTTCTCTGGGCAGGGGAAGTGAGGCCTTATCTCTAACCACAGGTAACTGGTCTGTAACTGCATTAGAATACCCTGGGAAGGGTGATAATACTCCCTTTTCTTAAGACGCTAGCGGCAGATTTTAATTTGATTGCCAACAAAGCTGCTTTCTAACTTGTTAACTGTTTTCCAAAAATAATAGCTGAGGGCAGCACTGAGTAACCATGGAAGACTGCTACACTACCCAAAGTAGGTGTCAGTGCTTTGTCTCCTTTCAAAGAGAACCCATCACATTTGTTAAAATGACACCATTGAATAAGAATATGAAAACTACCTATATCTTGTGTTAACCTTTTTTCCATGTGATACACTGTTAGAATTGAAAAAAGCAATACTGCTCAGTTAAAATCCTGGCACAGCCAGGGCACATGATGCAAATGAGCAAGAGAAACAAGCATTTGGGAGGGGTAGGTCGTCAGTAATTGGAAAGTGTGATGGTGGGGATTGAGGAGCGAGGAGGCCGAGGGCGAGACAGCGGGAACAACAGATTCTGATGGAGGCACTCTACCTCCAGTGTGTGATTGTGTCAAGAGGTGTGTTAAGGGGTAATTGGTGGGAAGAGCAAGGGGTGGTATTTTGGGAGGGGCAAAGGGTGGCGCTTTAGGAAGGGGACACAAAATTATTTGGGCTCAAGCCCACTGTATATTTTTTAATCCTAGAAACACCCCTGATTTGCAGGGGTCCACGATGGAGGTATTTAGTTCCAGGATAGAGGTAAATACAGTAATGTGGTTTCTAGATTTAAAGCAACACTCTACAAATTATAAAACAAAAAATAGCCATCCCTATTTTGTAGATACACCAATGAAAACATACATGCATTTGTTGGGGTCATATCTAAAAAGAGCTGGCAAAAGCTGCAGTTCTCTTGTCTGCAGTCTTTGCAAGTACTCCTCTTCTTCTCCAGGTCAGACTTTCTGTGGCTGTCCAATCAGACTTCCCAATGTAGCTCAATTTGAGATAAACAAACCAGGAAGTAACAGGACCGTTGTCTGATTGACAGACGGAAGGGGTGTAACAATATTAATTTATAAATCTGCCAATTGAAACCTGCACTTTTTCTTCACACAAACCATTTTAGCAAGCTAAACTGCTTTAAGTGTTTTGAGTGTTACTTTAATTTCATTTTTCAGATCTCGGAAACACATTTTTGTTAGATAAAGGGATAAATAAACATAACATTAAATTACTAGGAAGTGACAGTTTCCCTTTATCTGTGTTATTATACGAAAGGATGAAAAGCCAAAAAGGTGAGATTTTTAAAGGGACACTCCAGGCACCCAGACCACTTCTGCCCATTGGAGTGGCCTGGGTGCCAACTCCCACTACCCTTAACCCTACAAGTGTAATTATTGCAGTTTTCATAAACTGCAATATTTACCTTGAAGGGTTAAGTCCTCCTTTAGTGGCTTTAGAGGACGCTTCCGTGTTCATAGAATAACACTATGTGAGGACCTCCAGCGTCGCTGAAATCCCTATAGGAAAGCATTGATAGCATTATTCAATGCTTTCCTATGGGGAGGTCTAATGCGCGTGCGCGGCATTGCGGTGCATGCGCATTAGGTCTGCCCAGCCGCACATGCTCAATGGTCTCCCCGGCGGGGGAGGAGCGTGGGCGGACCCTGACCCAACGCCGAGGGACATCGGCACTGGATACAGGTAAGTCACTGAAGGGGTTTTAACCCCTCAGCAACCTGGGATGGGGGGGTGAGAGGGAGAGGGGACCTGCTGTACCAGGAAAACGGTTTGTTTTCCTGGCACTGGAGAGTCCCTTTAAGGAACTGTACAATTCACTCTATGGAACCATTATCGGATTATTTCTAACTCCACACAATGATATTGTGACGGCTTCTAACATCGTATATTAAGAATTTATAGATATGGGATTATATAGTGATCCACCCAAGACAAACACAGCATCATTATTATTCTAGGAGAATAGGATTACCAGATCAAGCAATTCATTATAATTGCAATTAATTAATTTCTCACGGGGATCACATCAATTCCATATACTGCATCACAGCATATTCAGTTTAGGGAAGGGAGTACTAGGTAGGGCGTGCACAGTTATTTAATGAAGTGTGAATTGTTTGGAATTAAACCATTTAAAACTTAGGCCTAAATAGCCAAAATGAAGATTCTCCAAGTTATGTATGTTTACAGTACAGCTAATTTGGCCTCAATTGGGGAATTTTAATTCTCATTTATTACAGGGTCAGAGTTCACATGAATCTTTCAAGATATGAACTCTTTGCAGTCTCAGTCATTAGATGTGGTCATCACAAAGTTGCCATCACTGAGCTAAGGTACGCTGTGTATAGCGGACTCCACGTAAAAGAGTTTTGTAGGAAAATCTCAAAGGACACCCTAAGCTGCACAACTACTAGGGCTTAATGCAGTGGTTCTGGTACAGAAAAACTGTCCCTGGGGTTTACAATACTGCCTCTTGTCACCTGTAGTGACTACACTGTCAGACACGAGAGGAGCTTCCTGGATACAGTCCTGCAGTCTTTGCAGGACTAACGTTCAACGTCTTCAGGCTCTGCATGTAGATGCCAAAAGCTCCCCATGAAGATGCATTGAGACAATTAATCTCTTCAAAGGGGGTGCTGATTGCGTGGCAATTGCTGTGCATGTGCACTAGCCTTTCAGTACTGCCCTATGGGAAACAATTGGATTGGCCAACATCTCAGCTGGGGGGACGAGCAGACATAGCAGGGCTAGCACTAGGGAATAAAGGGAAGTTTTAAAGTTATTTAATCATGGAGTGCAGAACTGACATTCTAAATAGTGGGGAAAACTCTGAATAGTTAGTAGTGTATATATTCGTAATCGTAATGCTAGAATTTGCCTTCAAATAGTTATTGTTCTTTTCAATCCAACCAATTATATTTTTACAAAGATCACGTTAATCACGTTAAAAACGTTGACTTGTTGAGATTTGACTGTGGAATTTAACATTTTAGCCCAAACTAGCCAAGATAAATATATTTTAATATGCTATCCAAATTGTCCATTTACAATTCCCATCTCATTTCTCGTCAGTTCCAGTTTAGTGAATAACTGTGCTGTGTTTACATGACCAGCTCTGGCAATCCCAAAATGTGACATGGGAGGTGGGAATGTCAAACTTCCCTAGCTCTGTGTATTTCATGTTTCCTTCACAGAGCCATCAATCAGCTCGTTTACTCAATTAAAAAATAACAGGGTAATTAGTTCAGCTTGGTCCGTGCTTGGCTCTACGGTAATTGATCTGTGCTTGCTTGTAAACGAAAGTTATCCAACTTTATAGACTCCAGACGGTACGGGATCACTACATCATTCACAGCATGAATAGTCAGCCTCTAGGGGAAGTACAACTCTCATCACCCCAGGCTGGGCTGAGAATGAGAGGAGCTGCATCCTCCAGTCCACACCGAGATACAGATTCTATCTTTTACGTTTATATTGGAAGAATATCTGTTGTGTCTACCACTCCAACAACAAAACCTCTCATTAAAGGCACCCACAGGTTACAGCTAGTTAAGCTGGGTGTTTTTCTCTCAATCTTCCCCTCCCTCCCATTATGCAGGGTTTCATTTTAGTTCCTAAATTACTGCCGTGCATGATGTCCTGCTTTTGGTTTCTGGAAGTACAGCTGTTAGTATTTTACATCAGAATATCGCAGTACTCATAAAGCACAGCATTAGGGAACAAATCAGCTACAGAAATCTGGAAATATTTTATTATTGCATAGTTTTAGTGTTCTATCTATGCATTAAACACAAGAACTAAGGGGATAATGGGTCTGTGACTCTCCTAAACTAGAGAAAAAAAGAATATTGTATTCTGCAATAGTAAAGGAAGGAAGTTACTATTATCCTATACGATAGGAATAAAGCTTCCGGTACCCTCCAATATTATATCAATAAAGGTTCCGGTACTCTCCTTTACTATTGGAATTAAGGTTCCGGTACTCTCCTGTAGTATAGTAATAAAGGTTCCGCTACTCTCCTATACTATAGTAATAAAGGTTCCGCTACTCTCCTATACTATAGGAATAAAGGTTCCACTACTCTCCTATACTATAGGAATAAAGGTTCCGGTACTCTCCTATACTATAGGAATAAAGGTTCCACTACTCTCCTATACTATAGGAATAAAGGTTCCGCTACTCTCCTATACTATAGGAATAAAGGTTCCACTACTCTCCTGTACTATAGGAATAAAGGTTCCGGTACTCTCCTATACTATAGGAATAAAGGTTCCGGTACTCTCCTATATTATAGTAATAAAGGTTCTGCTACTCTCCTGTAGTATAGGAATAAAGGTTCCAGTACTCTCCTATACTATAGGAATAAAGGTTCCGGTACTCTCCTGTACTATAGGAATAAAGGTTCCGGTACTCTCCTATACTATAGAAATAAAGCTTCCGGTACTCTCCAATATTATATCAATAAAGGTTCCGGTACTCTCCAATATTATATCAATAAAGGTTCCGGTACTCTCCTATACTATAGAAATAAAGGTTCTGGTACTCTCCTATACTATAGGAATAAAGGTTCCACTACTCTCCTATACTATAGGAATAAAGGTTCCGCTACTCTCCTATACTATAGGAATAAAGGTTCCACTACTCTCCTGTACTATAGGAATAAAGGTTCCGGTACTCTCCTATACTATAGGAATAAAGGTTCCGGTACTCTCCTATATTATAGTAATAAAGGTTCTGCTACTCTCCTGTAGTATAGGAATAAAGGTTCCAGTACTCTCCTATACTATAGGAATAAAGGTTCCGGTACTCTCCTGTACTATAGGAATAAAGGTTCCGGTACTCTCCTATACTATAGAAATAAAGCTTCCGGTACTCTCCAATATTATATCAATAAAGGTTCCGGTACTCTCCAATATTATATCAATAAAGGTTCCGGTACTCTCCTATACTATAGAAATAAAGGTTCTGGTACTCTCCTATACTATAGGAATAAAGGTTCCAGTACACTCCTATACTATAGGAATAAAGGTTCCGGTACTCTTCTATAAAGGTTCTGGTACTCTCCTGTAGTATAGGAATAAATCTTCCGGTACTCTCCTATACTATAGAAATAAAGGTTCTGGTACTCTCCTGTACTATAGGAATAAAGGTTCCAGTACTCTCCTATACTATAGGAATAAAGGTTCCAGTACTCTCCTATACTATAGGAATAAAGGTTCCGGTACTCTCCTATACTATAGGAATAAAGGTTCCGCTACTCTCCTATACTATAGGAATAAAGGTTCCGGTGCTCTCCTGTACTATAGGAATAAAGGATCCGGTACTCTCCTATACTATAGAAATAAAGCTTCCGGTACTCTCCAATATTATATCAATAAAGGTTCCGGTACTCTCCAATATTATATCAATAAAGGTTCCGGTACTCTCCAATATTATATCAATAAAGGTTCCGGTACTCTCCTATACTATAGAAATAAAGATTCCGGTACTCTCCTGTACTATAGTAATAAAGGTTCCGGTACTCTCCTATACTATAGCAATAAAGGTTCCGGTACTCTCCTGTACTATAGGAATAAAGGTTCCGGTACTCTCCTATAGTATAGGAATAAAGGTTCCGGTACTCTCCTATACTATAGGAATAAAGGTTGCAGTACTCTCCTGTACTATAGGAATAAAGGTTCCGGTACTCTCCTTTACTATAGGAATAAAGGTTCCGGTACTCTCCTATACTATGGGAATAAAGGTTCCAGTACTCTCCTATATTATAGTAATAAAGGTTCTGCTACTCTCCTGTAGTATAGGAATAAAGGTTCCAGTACTCTCCTATACTATAGGAATAAAGGTTCCGGTACTCTCCTATACTATAGGAATAAAGGTTCCGGTACTCTCCTTTACTATAGTAATAAAGGTTCCGGTACTCTCCTATACTATAGCAATAAAGGTTCCGGTACTCTCCTATACTATATCAATAAAGGTTCCGGTACTCTCCTATACTATAGAAATAAAGCTTCCGGTACTCTCCAATATTATATCAATAAAGGTTCTGGTACTCTCCAATATTATATCAATAAAGGTTCCGGTACTCTCCTATACTATAGAAATAAAGGTTCCGGTACTCTCCTTTACTATAGTAATAAAGGTTCCGGTACTCTCCTATACTATAGCAATAAAGGTTCCGGTACTCTCCTATACTATAGGAATAAAGGTTCCAGTACTCTCCTATATTATATGAATAAAGGTTCCGGTACTCTCCTACACTATAGGAATAAAGGTTCCGGTACTCTCCTATACTATAGGAATAAAGGTTCCAGTACTCTCCTATATTATAGTAATAAAGGTTCTGCTACTCTCCTGTAGTATAGGAATAAAGGTTCCAGTACTCTCCTATACTATAGGAATAAAGGTTCCGGTACTCTCCTGTACTATAGGAATAAAGGTTCCGGTACTCTCCTATACTATAGAAATAAAGCTTCCGGTACTCTCCAATATTATATCAATAAAGGTTCCGGTACTCTCCAATATTATATCAATAAAGGTTCCGGTACTCTCCTATACTATAGAAATAAAGGTTCTGGTACTCTCCTATACTATAGGAATAAAGGTTCCAGTACACTCCTATACTATAGGAATAAAGGTTCCGGTACTCTTCTATAAAGGTTCTGGTACTCTCCTGTAGTATAGGAATAAATCTTCCGGTACTCTCCTATACTATAGAAATAAAGGTTCTGGTACTCTCCTGTACTATAGGAATAAAGGTTCCAGTACTCTCCTATACTATAGGAATAAAGGTTCCAGTACTCTCCTATACTATAGGAATAAAGGTTCCGGTACTCTCCTATACTATAGGAATAAAGGTTCCGCTACTCTCCTATACTATATCAATAAAGGTTCCGGTACTCTCCTATACTATAGAAATAAAGCTTCCGGTACTCTCCAATATTATATCAATAAAGGTTCTGGTACTCTCCAATATTATATCAATAAAGGTTCCGGTACTCTCCTATACTATAGAAATAAAGGTTCCGGTACTCTCCTTTACTATAGTAATAAAGGTTCCGGTACTCTCCTATACTATAGGAATAAAGGTTCCGCTACTCTCCTATACTATAGGAATAAAGGTTCCACTACTCTCCTGTACTATAGGAATAAAGGTTCCGGTACTCTCCTATACTATAGAAATAAAGGTTCCGGTACTCTCCTATATTATAGTAATAAAGGTTCTGCTACTCTCCTGTAGTATAGGAATAAAGGTTCCAGTACTCTCCTATACTATAGGAATAAAGGTTCCGGTACTCTCCTGTACTATAGGAATAAAGGTTCCGGTACTCTCCTATACTATAGAAATAAAGCTTCCGGTACTCTCCAATATTATATCAATAAAGGTTCCGGTACTCTCCAATATTATATCAATAAAGGTTCCGGTACTCTCCTATACTATAGAAATAAAGGTTCTGGTACTCTCCTATACTATAGGAATAAAGGTTCCAGTACACTCCTATACTATAGGAATAAAGGTTCCGGTACTCTTCTATAAAGGTTCTGGTACTCTCCTGTAGTATAGGAATAAATCTTCCGGTACTCTCCTATACTATAGAAATAAAGGTTCTGGTACTCTCCTGTACTATAGGAATAAAGGTTCCAGTACTCTCCTATACTATAGGAATAAAGGTTCCAGTACTCTCCTATACTATAGGAATAAAGGTTCCGGTACTCTCCTATACTATAGGAATAAAGGTTCCGCTACTCTCCTATACTATAGGAATAAAGGTTCCGGTGCTCTCCTGTACTATAGGAATAAAGGATCCGGTACTCTCCTATACTATAGAAATAAAGCTTCCGGTACTCTCCAATATTATATCAATAAAGGTTCCGGTACTCTCCAATATTATATCAATAAAGGTTCCGGTACTCTCCAATATTATATCAATAAAGGTTCCGGTACTCTCCTATACTATAGAAATAAAGATTCCGGTACTCTCCTGTACTATAGTAATAAAGGTTCCGGTACTCTCCTATACTATAGCAATAAAGGTTCCGGTACTCTCCTGTACTATAGGAATAAAGGTTCCGGTACTCTCCTATAGTATAGGAATAAAGGTTCCGGTACTCTCCTATACTATAGGAATAAAGGTTGCAGTACTCTCCTGTACTATAGGAATAAAGGTTCCGGTACTCTCCTTTACTATAGGAATAAAGGTTCCGGTACTCTCCTATACTATGGGAATAAAGGTTCCAGTACTCTCCTATATTATAGTAATAAAGGTTCTGCTACTCTCCTGTAGTATAGGAATAAAGGTTCCAGTACTCTCCTATACTATAGGAATAAAGGTTCCGGTACTCTCCTATACTATAGGAATAAAGGTTCCGGTACTCTCCTTTACTATAGTAATAAATAAGTCTTACTTTCTATAAAGGTTCTGTACTCTCCTGTAGTATATAGAATAAATTCTTCGTACTTCCTATACTATAGAAATAAAGGTTCTGTACTCTCCCAGCCATATGGTGTCTGTACTTCTCCTGAGTACTATAAATAAAGGTTCCGTACTCTCCGTACTTAGGAATAAAGTGTTCGTACTTCCTATACTATAGAATAAAGGTTCCAGTACTTCCAGTGCCTAGGAATAAAGGTTCGTACTCTCCTATACTATATCAATAAAGGTTCTAGTACTCTCCTTATACTATAGAAATAAAGGTTCCGGTACTCTCCTATACTATAGAAATAAAGGTTCTGGTACTCTCCTATACCATAGGAATAAAGGTTCCAGTACTCTCCTGTACTATAGTAATAAAGGTTCCGGTACTCTCTTATACTATAGGAATAAAGGTTCCGGTACTCTCCTGTACTATAGTAATAAAGGTTCCGGTACTCCCTTATACTATAGCAATAAAGGTTCCAGTACTCTCCTATACTATAGGAATAAAGGTTCTGGTACTCTCCTGTAGTATAGGAATAAAGGTTCCAGTACTCTCCTATACTATAGGAATAAAGGTTCCGGTACGCTCCTATACTATAGGAATAAAGGTTCCGGTACTCTCCTATACTATAGAAATAAAGGTTCGCATCTATACTATAGGGAATAAAGGTTCTCCTATACTATAGAAGTCTGGTACTCTCCTGTAGTATAGGAATAAGCTTCCGTACTCTCCTTATACTATAGCAATAAAGGTTCCGCATTTCCAATATTATATCAATGTTAAGTCTGTACTCTCCTGTACTATAGGAATAAGGTTCCAATACCTATATATAGGAATAAAGGTTCCAGTAATCTCTGTACTTAGAATAAAGGTTCCAGTACTCTCCTATACTATAGAATAAAGTTTCCGGTACTCTTCTATAAGGTTCTACTTCTGTAGTAGGAATAAATCTTCCGTACTTCCTATACTATAGCAATAAAGGTTCCGGTACTCTCCTGTACTATAGGAATAAAGGTTCCGGTACTCTCCTATACTATAGGAATAAAGGTTCCAGTACTCTCCTATACTATAGGAATAAAGGTTCCGGTACTCTCCTATACTATATCAATAAAGGTTCCAGTACTCTCCTATACTATAGGAATAAAGGTTCCGGTACTCTCCTATACTATAGAAATAAAGGTTCCGGTACTCTCCTGTACTATAGGAATAAAGGTTCCGGTACTCTCCTATACTATAGGAATAAAGGTTCCAGTACTCTCCTATACTATAGGAATAAAGGTTCCGGTACTCTCCTATACTATATCAATAAAGGTTCCAGTACTCTCCTATACTATATCAATAAAGGTTCCGGTACTCTCCTATACTATATCAATAAAGGTTCCGGTACTCTCCTATACTATAGGAATAAAGGTTCCAGTACTCTCCTGTACTATAGTAATAAAGGTTCTGGTACTCTCCAATATTATAGTAGTAAAGGTTCCGGTACTCTCCTATACTATAGGAATGAAGGTTCCGGTACTCTCCTGTACTATAGGAATAAAGGTTCCGGTACCCTCCTATACTATAGGAATAAAGGTTCCGCTACTCTCCTATACTATAGGAATTAAGTACTCTCCTGTACTATAGAAATTTCCGGTACTCTCCTGTACTGTAGACACTCTTCTATAGCATAGGGTGTTTTAAAGGTTCTGGTACTCTCCTGTACTATAGGAATAAAGGTGCCGGTACTCTCCTATACTATAGGAATAAAGGTTCCGGTACTCTCCTATACTATAGGAATAAAGGTTCCGGTACTCGACTGTACTATAGGAATAAAGGTACCGGTACTCTCCAATACTATAGGAATAAAGGTACCGGTACTCTCCAATACTATAGGAATAAAGGTTCCAGTAATCTCCTATACTATAGGAATAAAGGTTGGGGACTCTCCGATATTACAGGAATGAAGCTTTTGGTAGTCTTCTATACTATTGTAACACAGGTTACAGTATTCTCCCATACTATCAAAAAATAGTGGCAAAAGAAATAGCAAAATGCTTTTCGACGTGCCCACCATTTTATAATTGGCATATTTCCAATTTCCATTTAAGGGAAGGGCGGGACTTACAATATTTTGCAATTAAGCACCTGGGAAGGCTGTGCACCAGTCAAAATACATTGTGCTATTTCCTTTGATGCTATTTGATTTTATTTGTATACACTTATAAAGCTTATTTTGATTAAAGGGACACAATAGTCACTAGAATAACTACAGCTTATTGAATTTGTTCTGGCGAGTATAGTCAGCCCCTTCAGGCTATTTGCAGTAAACACTGCTTTTTCAGACAAAAGGCATTGTTTACATTACAGCCTAGGGACACCTCCATTGGTCACTCCTCAGATAGCTGCTGGAGGTACTTCCTGGGGCAAATGCAACAGACATTCAGTGTCTCCACCTTCTGCATGTAGACAATGGACTTCCCTCATAGAGATGCATTGGTTCAATTAATCTCTATGAGGAGATGCTGATTGGACAGGGCTGTTTAGCTTGTGCTGGCTCTGCCACTGATATGCCTCCTTGACAATCTCAGCCAACCCAATGCTTGCTATGGGAAAGCATTGTAATTGACTCAGATCATAACTTCTAATGATGTCAGCCAAGCAGACAGATCAAGGGCAGAGCCAGCAGCAGACTGGAATAAAAGTAAGATTTTACTATATTTAGGGGGCCAGTGGGGCTAGATGGTGGTTATAACGCTGTAGGGTCTGGAATACATGTTTGTGTTCCTGACCCTACAGTGCTCTTTTAATTACTTAGGTTTCTGATCATCCCTCCTGATGAAGAAAAAAGCATCTCTCTCGGGACCTAAACAACTGAAGCGCGTTTATTTACAAATTTTTATTTGATGCCTCCACGGTTGGAGCCGACTTATAATAGGCTCTATATATTGTGTGTTACAATAACCTCTCCTTTTAAAGTTTCACTTTGACATACTGTACTATAACATTTTTATTATACAGGTATTTTATTATACAGCAGGAGGTAACTATAGTCACCGTGTGAGCTTCACCTCTTTCTATGTTGTTTGCACAGTACTCTCCTATACAATAAGAATAAAGTTTATGGTATTATTTTGGGGAAATATAGGTACTTCCCTATATTTTCTATAGTGAATTTTAAAGAGGTGTCTGGTATAGTCAGAAACAGATCTGGAATTATTAACCGTAACACTATTTGTTTAGCCCATTACTTCTCCACCCACTGCGCTTTCTAAGACGGTACTTCTCTCTTCTGCAACTGGAAATAACTCTTGCCTACACGCGACACTTATAAAAAAAAACATTTTTGATATGTTCTTGTGGTTTATATAAAAGAGGATGGGTGGACTGCCACAAATCACACTGGAGGAGAGAAAATAAAACCGTAAAAACGATATAGAAGATACCGCAGTCCTACCCCTCCCTGTTGTAATCTGCAGCTTTTCAGCAAGATATTTAAAGGAAGCTCTAACCAGACAAGACAATCTTCTGTAATTCACGTGCAGGAAATATTTCCTGTTTAATTAGAGCAGAGAAAAAAAAAACCCTCTTCAAACAACAAGCTATGTCAGACACATTACAATTAGTGTAAGTAGCTAGCAGGGGAAGGAATCTCACTTATTGTGTTATCAGGTAGAGGAGGCCATTGTGAAGAATTCTAGATCACATTTCTAAGCTGGGTTTTGGCTGTAATAATAGACTATAATTTACAATGAATTATTTTACGTCCTGTAGCAAGGAAGCGTCTGAGCTACCGTAAAAGGAAGTTCACAAGAGGAACAGACAATGCATTTTTAACATCAATGCAACAGCGGTCTACAGACTACAACTCCCAGCATTCTCTTCTAGATTTTTAGACTACGTGTTCCTTTATATCATATTAAAGGAACGCTGTCATTTAAATACTGTTACCGCGTGCACGACGCACATGTAAAATGGCGGTCATGCTGTTCAGGCTGGGTTTAAAACATGTTGATCAAGGGAAATTAGGTTTTAAGTGTCTGCTTTAGATTACATCATTGTGTCACCGTATGTAAATCAGTTCTCAATAATGGTGAAGAATTATGTTGCACACGTGGCCTCATGGTAATAGTACAGGCCAAACCGCACTGGAGAAAACAAAACTATATATCAATTATCCTCCTCGCAGCTGAACCACGTTACTATCGAATACACACTCATTTTCTCTAGCCCATTATTTATTTATTTCTAAGGTACTAACATGTCCAAGGGTAAAATGGCAACTGTACTGTGTGCTTCCCTCGATCAGTTAAACACAGGAGGCCTTCCCAAACTCTGCTAATAAGATGTGTTACCATGGAATTTGATGACAAATAAACCGGGCAGGCAGAAATTCTGGCAAATCTTCACAGCCAAGTAGAAAGCGAAGGTCTTTGGACTCTTTCCTGTACAAAGCTTCTTGCAAATATTGATATAAACAGACATCATAATGCTGCAGTGCTATACAACGGGCGTACAGTCAACAAGAAGAAGAAGAAGTTGCAAAAGTCCTGCTCGAAAGAGCTTATAGTCTCAAAGGTTTAGTGGAAGGGCTGCTGGTAGGAGCTTCGATTACAAATTGTTTCTTTTATCCGTCTGCTGTCTCGGAGTGATTAGAGCTATATTTCAGGATTAGCAAATAAACTGCAGGTTCTTTTGATCTACATTTGACCATCGTCATATTAACAGTGTACCTTCCAGCTCTGTCACAACACGCAGTATCTGCACCAGCGTCCAGGACAATAAATGGAGCACTTAATCACCCTGCCACCCTTCCTATTCCAATGATTAACTGTACCGGGCAGGTGTAGGCCAATACTGGCTTGTAGTTTATATGATGCATGGTAGATGTCAGCGAGTGACAATGCAATTCCTTCTCACATAACTGATGCTATCTTGTCATACTTCTCTGAATAAAGAGCTGCAGATCTAGTAACGCCAGCATTTAATCTGAAGCCAGTCCAACTAAAGGCTTCCCCATCGGAAAACACTCTTGGGACCAAACGCACCAGGTGTTGAGTGATACGTTGATGTGACACCGATATGGCGTGATCTTCAATGTATTAGAGAGCCAACAACTATGGACCTCAAATGTTATATAAATACCCTACATTGTCAACATGATGGTTTTCTTGATCTGCTCTTCCAACACGAGCCCTCACTGAGTGGCGATAACAGCGCTAGAGATTAGGAGAGATTGCTCTTATCTGGGTCACTAGGGGAAGTTGGTTTGACCATAAGACATGACAGGACAATTTGTCAAGCTGCTACAGTAGAATTTCTTCAACATCACTGTTGTCAATCAATGTCAAACTGTTTTTCCCATTATCAGGAAATACTTTTACATGTTTAAAGGTGGGCAGATTTTTCTCTGTAGTCTTGTATTTCGGGCCTGGTGAAATTGCGTGCCGTAAGGTGGTGACCAGTTGGCTAGAATCTGTTTGTCGATACGGAACATTCTCTGCTCTCCCCTCCATCTCATTAAATATCTGCTATCCAGCCCTTGTAGAAGGGGTTAATGAACACTGTGCAGGCACAAATTGGTTGTACAAGCATTAAGCATGCAGCCAGTGACCCCATACTAGATGTGACCTGTTGTAATAGAACATTCCTAGTTAGATCTCCATTAGCCATCCATCACCTTGATTTGTGTTTAATGGGTTTGTAAGGCAATGAGGTGGTTATTTGCAGAACTACCAAGTTGTTGGCAGCTATCACATTAACCTCTTTGTGGCTGGGCCAAGTCGTCCAGTAATGACTGCGTTAGAGGAGAAAGTTAATTAACTTTTTTATAATTAATATATCTTCCTCTGGGAGAACGACACGGTTACTAAACAAACGTGACTCATCACCAGGATTACTTCTGTTTGGGAAGCAGGATAAACAGAGACCGTGATGTATGTGTCGTATACAAACACGCACAGACCTGGCGAGCCATCAAAACTGGCACTGACAATGCATTGTTTAGATAAAAGCCTCTTCTATAAGACAGTCCCTTATAAATTTTCATGGGATTTTGGTTTTGATTTCGCAGACTGAGGTTTTCCTTATGTTCTGCATTTTTGTCTGAACCTCTGTCAGCCTTCTAACGTGTCTACAGGACAGAGGCAGCAACGCAGGCAGGCTATCTGAATACGAATTGTCCACAGGCCGACGGGTTACATCACTAGTGACGATTGGCTGACTGTGCATTTATAAATCTTTGTCTCAGCTGGTTCGAGAAGACTCCATATATAAACAGTACCTTATAGAGAGGCAAAATTCCCCTTTGTATTGGACACGGGATAATGTATTTAGGTGAAAGTGAGGCAAATGTTTAAATGATAAGGACATTAATGATAAATGAAAATATGAATATAAATGTGAGTTTAACCTTTTCTGATGTACTTATATGTCCAAACTTGCACTGAAAAAGTTCACAAAGGGCTCTGTCTGTTGGTCTACAGAGCATCCTGCAGGTGGCAGGGGAACAATAGGTGTGAAAATTTAGAACGATGCATTGTCTCTATGGATTATTCTTATACGGTTTCATTCCTGGGCTGTTCGTTTTACATGAAACATCGCTTGGTTGAGTGGAGTATACTGGTCGCCAGGGTACACATCACTGATGTCAAGAGTGTGTCCAGAGTTTTGCAAAATCGCATGACGTGCATATCAACAGGGACACCGTGACTGTGTATAAACAAATGTGGGGAAGGTGTGGGCTGAACGGTGAGGATGGATTTCACAGTCACCGTGTCATACCTGCCCATTGTATAAACACAAAAGGTAGGGAAGGGCTGTGTAACAGGGACTAGCTCTGAGCTAGCAGTCACAGCACCGAACACACCTAAGTACAGCACTGTGCTCTCAGATGGAATCCTGCTCCTTTAGGTGATGGCTTTATAGCCAGCTGGGCACTGCAGATTCTGTGGACTGCACATCCCATCACTCTAAGCAAGGCCCTTAAATATTACAGTTTACAGTGTTCTTAGACAAGCCGGACTTACATTGTATATTTAAACACGTGGCGGAATGAGCATAGCTGTAATAACACTGTGCGCTAACGAATAAACATCATCGTTCATCTGCTATTACGTAAAATCTCACCAATTCAATTATTGGGACCTGCCGATGTGCCCGATACATAGATTACATACTTATTAAAATATATTTGCCAACGTGCCTGTTAGCCGTCTAGGAGTAATACCCAATATTCTCCCAACCCATCAAAGAGACAATTCCACTCAGTTGGCTCTGAATGACCCAGTCTGCCCCAGCTAAATAAAAGACATAGTCGCCTTGCAAGCCATGGGAAGGGAAGCTGGAGGCCAGTGTCATAAGGAAGTGTTAGTTATTAAGTTAGTGGTCAGCGTTTCATTTGGACTCCCTACAAGCTACAATATTTCCTTATGTGTACCACTAGAATTCTCACAATAAATATATTATTTACATTGCAGACAGGCATGGCCAACAATATGGGGTCCACAACATGCAATATTCCCTGGCAGAATAATAGACATCTTACCCTATAGAAAGAGTAGTGGATCCCTGGAGTAGCCTTCCAATTAGAGAGGTAAAGGCCAACTGTGATATAGAAAGGGAAGTAGATACCTGGCATTGCCTCCCAGGTGGAGGCAGTAAGGGCTAACATTGATATAAAACAGGTAGTAGATACATAGAACAGCTTTCCAGTGGAATCAGTAAAAGCTTAGACCAGGGGTGCCCAGAAGGTGGAACACACACAAAAACACACACAGAGACTCACACTCACTCAAACTCAATGGTCCACACAATCACAATCGGTGACCAATGCACACATAAATTCACTGACTCATGCAGAGTGACACAAACACACACACACTGACTTAAGCAGACATACACTGACGTATGTAGACTGACATATACACAAACACACACTGTCCCAAGCATACACACACACTGACTGATGTAGACTGACACACACACAGTGACAGTTGACGGCACCAGGCGCTAGTGTGCCCCTATGTAAGTGCTCCTTAGCGCCCGGTGCCACGACCTGCAACACGCAATGCAGAATGTGCCCAACATAGAGGGGGCGGCCCTTATCAGCAGTAAGGCTGCTGCCGTCGCCCCCATTTAAGAAGCGCCCTAGGCGGCCACCTAATCTGCCTATAGGATGCACCGGCCCTGATCCCCAGATGTTGTAGAACTACAATTCCCGTGATGCTTTGCATCCCTTTAGAATATCTTTAGAATGACAAATCATCATGGAAGTTTTAATTTTAAAACATTTGTGGGTCCTTTTTGGGCACCCTAGTTTAGACTTTCTAGAGTAAAGGATTTGAAGAAGTTTCATATCAAATAGAAGCACACTTGTTAAACCATACCCCCTTTACATTGAATACCATTCACTCTATATGATACTAGGTATACATTGCTAATAAAATAATGCAGTATAACAGAGATTTTAAAAGGCCAGCTTCAGTCTTTTCAATGGGTGCCAGAAACCTAGCACTGGCCGATGGCAGGCTAATGAACCTGGTAAGGTTATAAAGTATCAGACACAGAGCGTATCTGGAGCCAGACCATTGATAAATAATGTTATGTCTGTCTCTGGTATAGATCTCTCACAGGCTGTATCAGTCCATACCATGTACTCTCCGAACAAACATAGTACACCTCATCACATCTCCTCTCCTGTCCTGTCTTATATCACTGCCTGTCTGTCCACATGTAAGACCCCAAGTGGAAATCATGTCTTCGATACAAGCATTTGTGAAATAAAAAAAAATATAAAAGTAGCTATTATTGCTTATATATACATTTCCATATTCATACTCATACATACACATACGTGTATATGTGTGTGTGTGTGTTTGTGTGTGTGTGCAGTTTGAGTAAAGATAATATATCAATACAATATATATACAAATTTTTATTACTCAAACTGCGCTATCGGGCATCACAACTATCTTCTGACAGGGTTAATCACTAAAGTGAGATTTTCAAATTTAAGGTCTAAAGAACCAACCTGGCTTTACAAATCCGGGAAAATTAGTAAAACTCGCAGACTGTAAAAAATTAATTGCATCATGGAAAATTGAAGTATATTTGCACGAAAGGGCCGATCTGCCATTTTCTGAAGGTAGTTGTGATGTCAGAGTGTGGTTTTATTAACCAAACACGCAAGACTGAAAAATACCCTTACTATAAGTTCCACTTTAAAAGAGGAGACAAAAAAAGGATAAATTTGATTTTCAAACACACAATGAGTCACTCACCCCCTTGCAGTCAGAAGAATTGAAAAAAATGAAAATCACAATGTGGAATAAATTTCAAAGTAAGGGAGACATTATAGACAATTGTACAGAGTAGTGAATGCATGGAATGGTCTCTCTGCAGGGCTGGCATGTTCCGGCATGCTGTCTGTCATAAAGGCTTTAAACGCGGAAAAATATTTGAAAAGCGCACTTTGCTAAAACATGACTAACAGATAGGACAAGGGTCACCAGAGCTTTACTGTAGAAAAGCAAAGATTAAATCTGGGAGGGACAAGCCAATCATACTGGTTCTAATACTGTGGTTTGTTTTTCCCTTTTTAAATTTTGAACCCAGTGACAGCTAAAGGATCAGAGCTTGCTAAATCCTTTCCCAAAAGTCATACAATGATTGGAGTGCGCTGATAGTATGAGATCCTTAAAATTCCTCTCTGCATGCCTCAACAGGAAAACCCAGGCTCTGGGTTACAGAGTGAGACTGTATCAGACAGCGTAAACCGAGACATCCAGAAATTCACTGACAAATGAGTGAGAGAGACAGAGAGAAAAAAAGGGGAGACAGATGAGAGACGGAAACACAGAGGCAGAGAGAGAGTTTGGAACAGGCAAAGAGAAGAGCGTTTCGTGGAAGTTAACAATGCCAAGTTTCACACTGCACACAGAAACGGTTAAACTGCTACAAAGAGCAGACTGAAAACCAATACTATATGTCTCACACTGAGCAATGAACTCTGCAAGCTTCAGAAAGGCTGTATAATGAGGGGAGAGACAGGACAGATAGAGAGAGAGAGAGAGAGAGAGAGAGAGGAGGAGGATATAATAACTGCTGAGATGGGTAGAATTTTGTACCCCTGTTTGATCTAATTCTACATGGGCACCCATGTGAACCCCATGTATGTACGCAACAGACACATTACCCCACAGCGGGCACAAAAATAATAATAATACACTTTGTGCATTTCAATAAATTTGTATAATCTGGCTGCCAGCCTTACAAAGCACTAGGTAATATGTTGATGCTATAATAAATATTTCACAGATAAAAATGCATTATAATAAATTATATACTCTGATTTATGCGTCTCTCTTAGCATTGTACCTTGCTACAGAATGAGTTGGTATTATCTAGCAAATAATAATATCCAGAACCAACTGCTTAATTTTTGTGCGATTAAATAAATGAAATGTTTGCCAGATGCTTTTACACATCTGAATGGTAAAGAAAGAGACACAGAATGCATGTATTGGAGATCACACACCCCCACGCTTCCCCCCTATCATCATCCGTACCCTCCATTTACTTACTATGTCGTGATCCTACAACTCCAGACGCTGACACCTGGGCTGCTAGGGACTCCCGCCTCTGACAGATGCACAAACTTCTCAGATAAACTTGCAAAGACTTCCTTGAGGAACTTGAGACACGTCCCGCCTCTTAGATGGGGAGGGGGAGAGGGCTGAACTGCCTTAAGAAACCAAATTCTGAGTAACCTGCGGTCCTTGACATGCATGCATTAGTACCTGGGTTGTGCGTGAGTAGGCAAGGATGACCAGGTGCCCTGTTGTCAGACGATGCACACCCTGCGTTTGGTTTTAAGTAACTTAGAGACACAAGACAAAAAGTTCTACCTTTTCAATCTTTGACAAGACTGAAAGGAAAAAAAAAGAAAAAAGATTGCACGTGACTTCAGGTGAAAATGAAATAATACAAGACATTTTTCCCATTGCCAGGTGGTCTCCATTTTCCAGTGGGAAGCCTGCGGATTGTCCTAGTCATAGAACGTGATAGTAATGTGTATCTTTACGCTGACAGTGTCCACAAATTCCCAGGCCAGTCTGTATCTCCGACCCGCAAACATCTGTCAGTGGGTGACAATCTCCCACTCCACTTTAACACATTTATAACAGGAACCCTGATTAACAAGGGTCTTTCGCCACGGTAACAGGGAGACACTGTAACCCACTGAAAGATGCCTGGTAGACCATTGACAGGCTGGTGGGCACGGTGATGCTCTAAGTGTAGAGTTAGAAGCTATTTTTACACTGATATGGTTGTGTCAATCTTTACATTTTTATTCAAATATTAAAGAGACAGAATTTAAAACAAACTTATAATGTGTTTTAAAAGATTTTCCTGACTATGGGGATACCAGTTGCAGTAGATAGAGAACGTGGTTTTTGGCAGCAGTTATATTTTTCCTTATTATAGTGCCATTCCCCACCATTAATGACAACTTCTGGATAGCTGACGTTTTACAGAATGGGAATAATGATTTTCAAATGTAATTTCAGCTTCAAAAAACATGGCTGCTTCCAGAACTGCATCAGGGGACATTGCAATTTGTCTGTGCCACACACAGGATGTTTAGCCCCTTGTACCACAAAGTGTTGTTATATAAAGAAATTAGGTGTTATATTTGAGAGCTATACTATCGTTCATTATTTGAACAGCACAATCAATATATAGATGAAATAGTTTGCCAAATGGATCGAAAAAGGTTCGTAAAGAGCAGCACTATATCCCAGATATACAGGGTTAATAAAGAGCTATATCCCAGATATACAGGGTTAGTAAATAGCTGTATCCCAGATATACAGGGTTAGTAAATAGCTGTATCCCAGATATACAGGGTTAGTAAAGAGCTGTATCCCAGATATACAGGGTTAATAAAGAGCTATATCCCAGATATACAGGGTTAGTAAATAGCTGTATCCCAGATATACAGGGTTAGTAAATAGCTGTATCCCAGATATACAGGGTTAGTAAAGAGCTATATCCCAGATATACAGGGTTAATAAAGAGCTATATCCCAGATATACAGGGTTAATAAAGAGCTGTATCCCAGATATACAGGGTTAGTAAAGAGCTATATCCCAGATATACAGATGGTTAGTAAAGAGCCACATCCCAGATATACAGGGTTAATAAAGAGCTGTATCCCAGATATACATGGTTAATAAAGAGCTATATCCCAGATATACAGGGTTAGTAAGGCGCTGTATCCCAGATATACAGGGAGTGCAGAATTATTAGGCAAATGAGTATTTTGACCACATCATCCTCTTTATGCATGTTGTCTTACTCCAAGCTGTATAGGCTCGAAAGCCTACTACCAATTAAGCATATTAGGTGATGTGCATCTCTGTAATGAGAAGGGGTGTGGCCTAATGATATCAACACCCTATATCAGGTGTGCATAATTATTAGGCAACTTCCTTTCCTTTGGCAAAATGGGTCAAAAGAAGGACTTGACAGGCTCAGAAAAGTCAAAAATAGTGAGATATCTTGCAGAGGGATGCAGTACTCTTAAAATTGCAAAGCTTCTGAAGCGTGATCATCGAACAATCAAGCGTTTCATTCAAATAGTCAACAGGGTCGCAAGAAGCGTGTGGAAAAACCAAGGCGCAAAATAACTGCCCATGAACTGAGAAAAGTCAAGCGTGCAGCTGCCACGATGCCACTTGCCACCAGTTTGGCCATATTTCAGAGCTGCAACATCACTGAGTGCCCAAAAGCACAAGGTGTGCAATACTCAGAGACATGGCAAAGGTAAGAAAGGCTGAAAGACGACCACCACTGAACAAGACACACAAGCTGAAACGCCAAGACTGGGCCAAGAAATATCTCAAGACTGATTTTTCTAAGGTTTTATGGACTGATGAAATGAGAGTGAGTCTTGATGGGCCAGATGGATGGGCCCGTGGCTGGATTGGTAAAGGGCAGAGAGCTCCAGTCCGACTCAGACGCCAGCAAGGTGGAGGTGGAGTACCGGTTTGGGCTGGTATCATCAAAGATGAGCTTGTGGGGCCTTTTCGGGTTGAGGATGGAGTCAAGCTCAACTCCCAGTCCTACTGCCAGTTCCTGGAAGACACCTTCTTCAAGCAGTGGTACAGGAAGAAGTCTGTATCCTTCAAGAAAAACATGATTTTCATGCAGGACAATGCTCCATCACACGCGTCCAAGTACTCCACAGCGGGGCTGGCAAGAAAGGGTATAAAATAAGAAAATCTAATGACATGGCCTCCTTGTTCACCTGATCTGAACCCCATTGAGAACCTGTGGTCCATCATCAAATGTGAGATTTACAAGGAGGGAAAACAGTACACCTCTCTGAACAGTGTCTGGGAGGTTGTGGTTGCTGCTGCACGCAATGTTGATGGTGAACAGATCAAAACACTGACAGAATCCATGGATGGCAGGCTTTTTGAGTGTCCTTGCAAAGAAAGGTGGCTATATTGGTCACTGATTTGTTTTTGTTTTGTTTTTGAATGTCAGAAATGTATATTTGTGAATGTTGAGATGTTATATTGGTTTCACTGGTAATAATAAATAATTGAAATGGGTATATATTTGTTTTTTGTTAAGTTGCCTAATAATTATGCACAGTAATAGTCACCTGCACACAGAGATATCCCCTAACATAGCTAAAACTAAAAACAAACTAAAAACTACTTCCAAAAATATTCAGCTTTGATATTAATGAGTTTTTTGGGTTCATTGAGAACATGGTTGCTGTTCAATAATAAAATTAATCCTCAAAAATACAACTTGCCTAATAATTCTGCACTTCCTGTACAGGGGTTAATAAAGAGCTATATCCCAGATATACAGGGTTAGTAAATAGCTGTATCCCAGATATACAGGGTTAGTACAGAGCTATATCCCGATATACAGGGTAAGTAAATAGCTGTATCCCAGATATACAGGGTTAGTAAATAGCTATATCCCAGATATACAGGGTTAGTAAATAGCCGTATCCCAGATATACAGGGTTAGTAAAGAGCCATATCCCAGATATACAGGGTTAGTAAATAGCTATATCCCAGATATACAGGGTTAGTAAATAGCTATATCCCAGATATACAGGGTTAGTAAAGAGCTATATCCCAGATATACAGGGTTAGTAAATAGCTATATCCCAGATATACAGGGTTAGTAATAGCTGTATCCCAGATATACAGGGTTAGTAAATAGCTGTATCCCAGATATACAGGGTTAGTAAATAGCTGTATCCCAGATATACAGGGTTAGTAAAGAGCCATATCCCAGATATACAGGGTTAGTAGAGCTATATATCAGATATACAGGGTTAGTAAAGAGCTATATCCCAGATATACAGGGTTAGTAAAGAGCTATATCCCAGATATACAGATGGTTAGTAAAGAGCCACATCCCAGATATACAGGGTTAATAAAGAGCTCTATCCCAGATATACAGGGTTAGTAAGGAGCTATATCCCAGATATACAGGGTTAGTAAAGAGCTGTATCCCAGATATACAGGGTTAGTAAAGAGCTATATCCCAGATATACAGGGTTAGTAAAGAGCTATATCCCAGATATACAGATGGTTAGTAAAGAGCCACATCCCAGATATACAGGGTTAATAAAGAGCTCTATCCCAGATATACAGGGTTAGTAAGGAGCTATATCCCAGATATACAGGGTTAATAAAGAGCTATATCCCAGATATACAGGGTTAATAAAGAGCTATATCCCAGATATACAGGGTTAGTAAAGAGCTGTATCCCAGATATACAGGGTTAGTAAAGAGCTGTATCCCAGATATACAGGGTTAGTAAGGAGCTATATCCCAGATATAACGGGTTAGTAAGGAGCTATATCCCAGATATACAGGGTTAGTAAAGAGCTGTATCCCAGATATACAGGGTTAGTAAAGAGCAGTATCCCAGATATACAGGGTTAGTAAAGAGCTATATCCCAGATATACAGGGTTAGTAAAGAGCTGTATCCCAGATATACAGGGTTAGTAAAGAGCTGTATCCCAGACATACAGGTTAGTAAAGAGCTGTATCCCAGATACAGTTGCGGGTTAGTAAAGAGCCATATCCCAGATATACAGGGTTAGTAAATAGCTATATCCCAGATATACAGGGTTAGTGAATAGCTGTATCCCATATATACAGGGTTAGTGAATAGCTATATCCCAGATATACAGGGTTAGTAAATAGCTGTATCCCATATATACAGGGTTAGTGAATAGCTGTATCCCATATATACAGGGTTAGTGAATAGCTATATCCCAGATATACAGGGTTAGTAAATAGCTGTATCCCATATATACAGGGTTAGTGAATAGCTGTATCCCAGATATACAGGGTTAGTAAAGAGCTATATCCCAGGTATACAGGGTTAGTAAATAGCTGTATCCCAGATATACAGGGTTAGTAAATAGCTGTATCCCAGATATACAGGGTTAGTAAATAGCTGTCTCCCAGATATACAGGGTTAGTAAAGAGCTGTATCCCAGATATACAGGGATAGTAAATAGCTATATCCCAGATATACAGGGTTAGTAAAGAGCTATATCCCAGATATACAGGGTTAGTAAATAGCTGTATCCCAGATATACAGGGTTAGTAAAGAGCTATATCCCAGATATGTATCAGTAAACAAGAGAGTGCAAAATAAATGGTTCAAAATAAAAAATATATAAAGAAAAAGCAGCTATACACATAAGAAACTTCCTTTAAATGTTCACATAAAACAATGCTAATCAAAGTGTCAGCGCTCAAGTGAATAAACCCTTTATTACACAATCCAGGTAATCCACATATAAACTATGAAGTAGAAAAGCAGCATATGCACCTTAAAAATTTCGTAAAAATAAATGACTTAAATAGAATTAGCAGCATATATGACACAGCATGTCCTACTCCAATATATAAATCATATGGTATAATGTCCATCATGTAGGGGGGTAATATTACCACAAAAGTTGGATCCACACTCCTTGAATGCAGTGTTCGCAAAACTATCCACAGTACCTTAAAAAGGATACAAGGAGATCCACATAGTGTAACACTGTATTTATTGTAGCAAATAAAAAAAAACTCTCCCCCAAAGTGAACCATTACATTTAAATTGTTTGGTACTTGTTTCCAAAAAACCACAAAGTAAGCGTTGGTGTACAGTAGTTTGTAAGACTTTAACGTCCAGCCTCCTGTCATACAGGTTCTGACTGGATATTCAAGCCGGGGAACGATGATTTGATCGTGGAAGGACGCCGGAGCTGGAAACCGCTACTCTCCTGCCAAGCTCAAGAATTATAATGCCGCTCGCACTTCAACATGTTTCAAGATATCTTTTTCAAGATAGTGCGACGGACACCCAGAGCGCGCTTATATGCGCTCATGTTTATCAGTCTTTACAGTGCCGGTTTGCCTAAACAGTCCAACATTATCTTTCCATGAAAGGAACTCCTCTTTTCATTAAATATTCAAGAGGAGCTATACATCACATAATTAAAAACAACTGATAAACAATACACAGCGTAATCATCAATACAATCATAATGCGTTTTTAATGTATCTGGGTTTTTTTTAATTACGGGGTATACAGGGTTAGTAAAGAGCTATATCCCAGATACATCTTTAGAGAAAGAAAAATAAACAAAATAAAACTAAACTGTAGCTTTTAGATAGGAGAAAATTAATTCACGTTCACGAAGGACTCTAAAACAGACAAACAAAATAAAAAGCAAATACTACTCAAAATCTTGGGACTTTGTGTTCTTAAAGCTTTGACTATTCACCCCAAGATTCTAAGATTGGATGAAACCCTTATGACTTTGAATCTTAAGCCAAGATTTCCGAAATTTGTGTTCACTGACTACTTGCGGGTGGTGGGAATTTTTATAGAGTGTTCTAAGTAGCTTAGAGTCACTCCTCTTCCAGAATACGCAAGAGGTCAGCATTCAAAAGACATTACTATACCTCGATTTAAAAATAAAATATTGTAAAATGGGTTACAGAAGTGCAACTAAACCATAACACACTGCTGTAAAGGATGATGGGAGCCAAAATCAGCAATGGAACTTACTGGTGTTAATCAGTTCCATTGCAAACAGGACAGTTTTTTGGATGGGAGGTAGAAAGGGGTACAGCTGCTAACTATGGTTTGAACATTAAGGTGATGAGATATAAATGGATTGATTGCTTTGAAATGGCAGCATTCAAAACGCTATGTGCTGCTTTTGGACACAGATTGCGCTTTTTAAATGTCAAATGTTAAAAGGCGCGTGTGTGAAGCCAACATCCAATAATATATACACATATCACTAAACAAATGTTTATGGGGATAAGGACACATTCCTGCTTTGTACATTTGAAGGATTTGACATTTTTTATATTTTTTTGTTCTTAATAAAACCCGTTTCAGAATTCCAGTGGGAAGATAAATCTGAATCATAATAACCTATGTCAAGAATTCAATTTATGATACAAAAATGACCCCAAAAGACTGATATAACCACAAACTGAAAGCGGAGTTTAACTTGCAGAATCCTTTAACTCGAAATACAATTATTAGAATATTCCAGGCTTGTTGCTAATATGTAGCCCAATGGAATGCAGTTTAACCAGTCCTTAACTATTTGCTTCAAATGTTTCCAAGAAATTGCTAAATCTATTTTCTCTGCATTAAATGTATCAGTAAGGAAACCATACTTCTATTTTATCTGGTTATATAACTGCACCAAAATCTAAAACAGCTGTGTCGCGTTAAACGGAATCTCAGGTTAGTGGGTCAGTCATTTACAGATCAAACCTACGTTATTACATGTAAAAAGACCTGGACAGACAGTAAAAGGTATGAGGCAGAATTAGTACAATGGGAAATTGACATCCATAGTTAGAACTGCCAGGTCCAGCACAGTTTCCCAGGACACATAATGTTTTTACATTGAAGGGAAGAGCATGAAAAGTGCTACCCTGCAGTATGAATGCTAGGTAAGCAGGTCTTTGATTAAGAGGCTTGTTTTCTGCAAAGTATGAATTCTAGAGGGTGCAGGACTCTTTCCACGTACCTTTCTCTGAGCTGCATTGGGAAGTCTGTGATTGGACAGCCACAGAAAGTCTGGTCGGGTTTAGAAGGGGAGGGCTTACAAAGGCTGCAAACAAGAGATCTGTAGCTTTTGCAAGCTGTTTTTAGATACACCTCCAATGGAAAAAAATGCATGTGTTTTATCATTGGGGTATAGCTCTAAACATTGTTTGTTTTGTTTTTTCATTTGGCTAGTAAATAGTGATGTCCCGAACGGTTCGCCGAACAGTTCGCGAACGGTTCGCCACGGACTCATCATTGAGTAAACTTTGACCCTGTACCTCACAGTCAGCAGAGACATTCCAGCCAATCAGCAGCAGACCCTCCCTCCCAGACCCTTCCACCTCCTGGACAGCATCCATTGTGAAGCTGCATTCTTAGTGAGCTGTCCAGGAGGTGGGAGGGTCTGGGAGGGAGGGTCTGCTGCTGATTAGCTGGAATGTGTCTACTGACTGTGAGGTACAGGGTCAAAGTTTACTCAATGATGAGTCCGCGGTGAACCGTTCGTGGCGAACCGTTCGCGAACCGTTTGGCGAACCATTTGGGACATCACTACTAGTAAAGTGACACTTTAAAAACTGCTTAGACTCCGTCTAAGGACGTTAGCAAATAGCAGCGTCACAAGTATTTTATCTCTTGGAATTCAAGTGAAGGAAAACAAAGAACAAGCTTTCTAAACCTAAAAGACTAAACATGAAACATGGGCAGACAATAAGGACATAACCAAAACGTGTGGGGGTTGGTTTAGGAGTTATTTTTTTGAAAACTATGGTGGATAAAAGGCCAGCCTTTAGACCTAATGCTGTCCGGGACAGGAAAACTATAACAAGAAACATTACTTTATACGAGTATAAACTGGTGGAGACAATCTGATTAGTCTCACGGCCCATGGCTTGTGCGCAAGGTCCCTTTAAAATCCCTCTGTCATCAAATGTGTACTTTGCACAATCATGTGGCACTAAAAAAAAGTTAATATATTGTTGTGGCGAAACCGACCTCACCACTGGCAATTGGAGAAGACTGATTGCCAGCCTCCTGCCCTGTGACTATGGCCCCATGTTGAAATGCTGGATTTTCCCCTGCAAAGACCCGAAAACTGGGTCATTTGGTACTTTCCCTATGTAAGCAGTGTTACCCCAGACAGCTATGCCATGGAGCCCATTCGTATAACGAAAGACTAGGTGAAAGACTTTGGCTCCATGGCAATTGATTTGTATGTATGTGATCTGAGCGCCATTCAGTAATAATTTGCGCTCAGATCTAAGCTATCCGGGGATATGTTGCATGTCTGTATTTTATGTAATAAATGTAACCTTGTGTATTTTATTGTATTTTACTGTCTTGTACTGCCATGTGGTTAATGGAGTTTTGCCTCTGTCCTTGGAGATAATTGGATTACTTCCCAATTATCTCCAGGATAGAAGACTCTGTGGATCTGGTTTTGGGCAGAAAAACCATGCTTCATTTGGTCAAATAGGACTTTCCCTTAACTTTTTAACCCCTGAACCGATTGCCCTGATTTTTGAATATGTGTATATTTCAAGCATGCGGATTCTGAATATGTAATTTTTATGAAGATTGGACGTATATTTTTAAAGTTATAGCACCTGTATAAAAACTGTATTTTTCCTGCTTGTGATAATTATGTTAACCCATTGTGTACCATAATTATATCACAGGCAGAGGGGAGGATTTTGTGTATAATTGCTGGGAGTGTTTTCTGTAATGTACGTGTGTTATTGGTTGTTCTCTAAAACCCTGTTGGCAGTACTAAGTTTGTGGATTGGGAATAAAAGAGGCTGTATGTGCCAGTACAGTCAGTTCTGCTTGACCTCAAAACGAAGTGTCGTCTCGTTATTGGGGGAATTGGATTGTATGCTGATTGCCAGGAGTGTAAGCTGATTGTATGCTATTCCTGTTCAGCTGCTTACATCATTCAGATGCTTGAGAGCATTCGTATGCTTCTCTTGTTCGGTGGTTGTGGTGTCTGCTGCAGTGCTTGGAGTCCTCAGGAAGTGCTAGGAGCATCTTTCAACGGAGGTACCCAGTCCGGGTGCCAGGTGATCCGTTACAATTGTATTGATATTTTTAAATCTACGGTGCATTATTTTTTTATTGAATACATCTCTGCACTGAGGAATTCTGGGAATGAATTGGTTCTCGTGTGGAAATCATTGCCTTTATGGTTGGGATATTATTTTGTGTTGATTTATATAAAGAAAACCCTGGTAACAGAACTGCCGGAGATGTCATATATAGCAGAGATTTGGAAACTGCAGTGTAAGTGTAAGCAGAATCTGTTCTCAGTTCATTAAAGATGTACTTTCAGAGTTTGTCTTTTTATTCCTGATCTAGTTCTCTAGCAGGGACTACTTTTACTTATGTATTTTTCGTAAGCTTGACCTTCTTTGACACATGCTCCATTTCCTGTGTCCGACACAGTTCTCCCACAATATTCACTTTGCTCCATGTTCTTACGTTGCTTCCTTTCGCCAATTCTGAACGTCCTGCCATTTAGACTAGGGCGCCGCCAAAGTGACAGAATTTTGTCCGAAGAGAATGTCAGCAGTTTGTCCATTTGTATTCGAACTAAATTTGGGCATTATTTTCAGTTTGTAATTTCATTAAGAAATCATTAAGATTGTGCCATGGTTGCATCTTGCAGCTGTTTAGAAGATAGCCTCCTAAATCCCACAAGTATTAGGGAGCTATTTACTAGAAAGCTGATAGACCAACTTTACTAATACGAAGTAAAAAATACTTAGTAAACATTCTTCCTCATACCCCTACTATGCCGTGAGGACGGGCATGTAAAAAAAGTCCCCCTGCCCCAATTACAATACAGGGTGACCAGACACACACATGCCTGGCACAGATCCCACATTACAATATTTAACAGGGGAGGACATAGCGTTCTCCTCCAGCCCCATAAGTGGGGGCTACAAAACTAAACAGTGTACCTAGTGTCCCAGCCCCCACCCATTAGCGGTGGGTGCCTTAAATTAGTATGGGACTACCCCCATTACTATTGTCCCCCCACAGCTCCCACCCATTAGCAGGTGGACAGTAAATGAAATAAAGAAGCAAGGCTTCCTAGGACTAATTATTAAGCCCTCTCCCTTCTATCCATGAGAAACAATGGCATCGTTATAGGTATTGCGCGTACAGTTCCAGACAAAGTATATCACTGTCTACAGAATACAAAAAACTCTGATTGTACATGTAGACAAGGGCAGCCAGTACAGAAAATCTCCAAAAAATCCAAGTGCAGTAGACCTACTGACAGTATTTACTAAAAAGGTATTAAATCCATGGAGCCCGTCTAGAGGTTTGAGAAAGGAGATGTGGATCAGTAGCTGTAGTAAGTAGTGCAGATAGGAATCATAACCAGGTCTTCTAAACCAACAGGTTTTCTACATGACAATCGCCAAAAAGCACCCCCTCACATTAAAACAAACTTTTCTAGTTTTTTCATAGGTCCCAGGTGGACGACACTAGGTGAACGAATAATTTCTTTAGATAATTTTATAAAAATACCTTAGAATCTCATCATGGGTCAGTTCCTCCGTCCTCTGTTCTCCAGTGATTAAGGACAATTCATCTTTCAGTGCTTGGATTTCTTTCTTAAGACGTACGATCATCTAAGAATAAACACAGAAACGGGAGCGTAGTGGATACTTGTGATTAAAAAACGGAAACATCACTGACTAGTGATATCGCGAACATAAAATTTTCGGTTCGCGAACGGCGAACGTGAACTTCCGCAAATGTTCGCGAACCGGGCGAACCCGCCGAACCGCCATAGACTTCAATAGGCAGGCGAATTTTAAAACCCACAGGGACTCTTTCTGGCCACAATAGTGGTTGAAGGGGGGGGGGAGGAGACCTACTCTCCTCCCCCCTCCCCGGCCCCCACCCCTGGGCGGCGGGTGGGGACCATAATGATAATGAGGGGGGGGACCTACTGTCCTCCCCCCGGGCCCCCACCCCTGGGCGGCGGGTGGGGGCCATAAAGATAATGAGGGGGGGGACCTACTGTCCTCCCCCTCTCCGGCCCCCACCCCTGTGCGGCGGGTGGGCGCCCTAAAAATACTGTCCCCCTGGCCCTCACCCCTGAGCGGTGGGTGGGGGCCTTAAAAATAACAATAAGGGGGGGACCTACTGTCCCCCCCATCCCCCACCCCTGAGCGGTGGGTGGGGGCCCTAAAAATAACAATAAGGGGGGGACCTACTGTCCCCCCTGGCCCCCACCCCTGAGCGGTGGGTGGGGGCCCTAATAACAATAAGGGGAGGACCTATTGTCCCCCCCCGGCCCCCACCCCTGAGTGGTGGGTGCGGGCCCTAAAATTAACAATAAGGGGGGGACCTATTGTCCCCCCCCGGCCCCCACCCCTGAGCGGTGGGTGGGGGCCCTAAAAATAACAATAAGGGGGGGACCTATTGTCCCCCCGGCCCCCACCCCTGAGCGGTGGGTGGGGGCCCTAAATACAAAGGGGGGGGACCCTAGTCACCCCTCCCCCCCAAAAAAAAATGATCTCCCTACCTACCCCCCTCACCCTAAAAATAATGAGGATAAAAATAACTCACCATTTGATGTTTTCTTTCTTCTACAATCTTCTTTTTTCAGCCCCAAAAAAGGCCAAATAAAAAGCCATAAGAACCGACGCAATTAAAAAAAAAAACTAAAAAAAAAACGAGCGCACAAAAAAATAATTCATCTTCACCCATGGAGGGCTCTGCGCAGACTGAGCTCTGCAGGGCGGGGGAAGGCTTATAAAGCCTTGCCACGCCCTGCAATTAGGCTAAGAACACTCTGATTGGCTGGTTTAAGCCAATCAGAGTGCTCTTTGTCATTTTACACAGCGTGGGAAAATGCAAAAGAACTTTCCCACGCTGTGTAAAATGACACAGAGCACTGTGATTGGATGGATTTCAAGCCATCCAATCACAGTGCTCTGTGTAATTTTACACAGCGTGGGAAAGTTCTTTTGAATGGATTTCAAGCCATCCAATCACAGTGCTCTGTGTTATTTTACCACAGCGTGGGAAAGTTCTTTTGAATTTTCCCACGCTATGTTCGCCATCTGTTTTCACAGTTTTGTAGATAAATCCTAAAAAGTACAAAGCACAGACTATATGGTGCAGTATCCTTTATTCCCAAAGATAAAAAGCATACTGAAATGCAATGTCCCCAACATAGTGTACTCACATACAACTGAGGGGTCTAGTGATTCATGGTTTTCTTTTCTTGACATTGTTTATTATTTGTATAAATAAGTTCTGGAATCATATTTTAATAAGGCTCCAGCAAGCAGCTATTTTAACTAATTACTGATGTACACTGCAGAAAGTGGGGATGTCTCTATATGGAATCATCCTTTAGCAATTATTTACAGCTCCCTGAGAAAGTGAGAACTAACTCATGAAATGCGTCGGACGGACAGTGAATGATCGCATATTTACACTTTAATGACTCTGGTGAGGTTCCATACCAGACTCCCATACGGTGGGGAGCACAGCCGAGGAGACTACTGGATTTTACCTCCAGCATTCAGAAGGAGCACCTCTCCTCAGTTGTATGTGAGTACACAACATTTGGGGGATTGGATTTTTGCATGATTTTTAGGTTTTTTTATCTTTGGGAATAAAGGATACTGCGAAATTTAGTCTGTGCTTTGTGCTTTTTAGGGTATATCTACTAAACTGTTTTTAACACAATGTAGATGTTGAATTGCAGTCTGTAAAGTGACGTTTTAGAGCACACTTACCAGCTGAGGATCGATCTCTTCATTCAGCGTGGCTTCGTTCTTTATTAAAGCAACTCTTTGAGCAAATCGGCACGTGGAAATAGACTCCTAGAGAGACAAATCGTTACCATTTATATGAAAATCATGATGAAGTTCTTTATTGTCACCTGATTCAAAGGAGTAATATGCAATATTTTATGTGTTTCTGATTGCTGGAAACAGCGAATTAAATCGTGATCTGTCACTACCAGCAACTCACAAATAAAAATACCAAATGGCCTACCACACTGCTTCCATTACCGTTAGAGGATCTGTAAACAGTGGCGTCACAAGGAGGGTGTGGGGTGTGCGGACCACGGTGTGCAGCACGAAGGGGGGGCGGGGGGAGGGTGACACCCAGGACCGGCGCATCCTATAGGCGACTTAGGGGCGCCAGATTTGAGTTACCTGGTAGGATGGAAACGCACATCGCTCCCTCCTGCCAATCACTCATTGTAACGTGGCCAAGCAGCAGACTACAGTACAGGAGCATCTGTTTCCTGTACCCGGCCGGACTGACATGAAGTGCTCACTGAGAGAGCACTTCCTGTCAGTCTGGCTGGGTACAGGAAACAGAAGCTCCTGTACCACGGTTCGCCGCCCATGCCGCACTACAAAGATAAGTAGGAGCCACAAGAAGGAGGGAAGAGGAGGACCACCAAGAAGGGGGGGGAGAGTGAGGACCACTAAAGAGGGGGTAGGGGGAAGTGGAGAGGTAGTACAACTAAGAGGGAGAGGGAGGTAGGACCACTGAGAGGGGCGGGGAAGGAGGAGAGAGAGAACCACTAAGGATTTGGGGCAGAGACAGGACCACTAATATGGGGGGGGTTGGGGAGAAACACTAAGGTGGGAAAGAGGAAGGACCACTAAGGGACAGTGAGGGGAGAGGAACACGAAGCTTATCACATGCAATCTTCCCATAAACGCTACATTCAAGGCAGCCTAATAACACAAATATGGTGGAATTTTTCACATACATCAATGTTCCTCTTGTCCAGCGATAGAGTTGCGATCATGGTTGTCATGCAGTTTCCCCCGAGGCTGTCTCTGAGCACCGAGGTCATCATGGAGTTTCTATATGGTATATGAGATCGGTTCTTTTCAGCCAATGCAATTATCACCTGCAACAATAAGAGAATTGGTCAGAGAATGTCATAACAGGGACATATTGAAACTCATTTGCAGTAATTTAGCAGTAATTGTGCTAAATAAAATACACAGGTTTACATTTCTTGTATTCCTTCCTTTCCTGATATAATTATATCAGAGCACTCTGATTAGTAGTTTTTTTCTAGGGAAATGATCACCAGTATAAACGATAAGTTTTAAATCTGTATAGTCGGACTGACAACTATCTTAGGTTGACGCCTGGATATGTACATCTGCTCATGCGTTTTTGTAGTTTTAGTCCAGTTTGAGTTAAGGAACAAATTGTTCAAATGTTGTCAGCATTATTTTACCAGACATGAAGCTTCAATGTCTGAAGCCTTTCCTACACACTAAAGTATAAGAACTGATATATTAGATGAGTTTCCTTTGCAAAAAAAAAAACATCAGTACCAAAGATATGTGAATTTTGCCTGAAATGATGATTAATTTCCAAAATATCAGTCTAGGTGTGTTGTCCTCTGTATTCTGAAATATTTTCCATCAAATACTTCATACTTAAGATCCTACACTTGTTTGTATCTCACTATGTTTAAACAACTCGTTTCCCTTTAAACGTTCATAGAATAGAGACGAAGCCCAAAGCTGTTGTAATACTGGCGCATGAATTACACATTTAGATTTCTGTTACACTACAAGTACAACCAGATCTGGAATTGTTTATTCCCCCAAGGGGGTTTTCCTTGAAATAGGGCACTTATATCCAATGTGTTTACCTTGTAATGTCTCTAAATGATGAAGTTAAATTTTCTCCCTAGTTGGAAGCTGCTTAACATTTTAACGTTTTATGTAAAGGATTATAAAACACAAGTACCCGCTGTGCTTGACACAGTAGCTAAGCACATTCAGAAGAAAGAATAGAGAGCCTGACAGCCAGAGGACTCTCACTGAATAATTTGAAAAACACAATTTAATCCACAATCTGGAACCTCCAGATTGGTCTGCGTCATGTCCAAGGCTGAGTCTATCTCTACCAGCCTTCTTTCCCTGCTACCTCGTAAGGCCGTTATTTTAAAACAATTAGTGGATTTACATGGAAGTTTCAAATAACTGCAAATAGTCACATTAATAAAAATAGAGGAAAGAGAGTATGAAAAGGCTACGGACAAACAACAGAGTAGCTTTGTCTTTTCAATAATTATCCATATTCAGTTACGGCAAGAAGACAGTGCAGCTAAATAAGAAATATTTACATGTTGTATTAAAAAGATTCAGAGGATTTGATGGTTCTACCTATTACTGGCCATTAGAGATGTCGCGAACCGTCCGCGAACATCTCGCGAACGGTTCGCCACGAGCTGTTCGCGGCGAACTCCGGTCAGCTGACACGTCCCGGCCAATCTCCAGCAGACCCTCCCTCCCAGACCTTCCTACTTACTGGACAACATGGATGCTGTCCAGGAAGTAGGAGGGCCTGGGAGGGAGGGTCTGCTGGAGATTGGCCGGGACATGTCAGCTGACCGGAGTTCGCCGCGAACAGCTCGTGGCGAACCGCGGCGAACCGTTCGCGAGATGTTCGCGGACGGTTCGCGACATCTCTACTGGCCATGACACGTATTAATAAACATAGCATTGGAAATAGCATCTGCTGTCAATGTTAAACGTAACATTGTAAGAATGCAATATAGAGATTTATAATATAGGCATGTAACAAAGAATGTAAATATAACTCATTGGGGGATATTTATCAAAATGTTCTGAAAAATTATAGTTACATTTCATCATTATTTTTTATTGTATTAAATAAAGTGTTCTTAGTCTAACAAATTAACATTTTCGTCATTGTAATTTCCACCCTGTTTTCTAATTCATTTCGGAAGACCGCCATGTTCATAGTTATTGAAAAAAAGAGAAGAGAAAAATGGTAGAAAGATTGCATTGCAAAACAAATGTCACCATTCAAAATTGATGGTAGGGGAAGCAAAAGGAGCAACAGACAAAAAAACAAAACTGAAAGACTTAAAGTTATCAAATACTTTAGAAGTAAAAGTGTTGATACAGTCTAAATTGTTCAGTTAATGGTCAGTAACGGCTAATATGTTCAGCCCTATGTTTCTCATGAGGGCTCAAAGCAGCACGTTAAACCTGAGTCAATTTAAAAGTACATTTATCAAAAGGAGCCTAATAATGTAAAGCAGGAGACAGGATGGTCCTTACCTGCTCAAGATAATGTAGTGATAAATTAATGTATTTAGCTTCCGTTAGCAGTTTGCCACCAACTCCACTTTTTGCGACACGTTCGGATCCAGCCAGGTCCACCAGGTGCAGTTTAGATCGTCGGATAGTGTCTGACCCAGGTTCTTTGCTAGATATGTGAATGGTGAAGATGCAGTGGGACCGAGTGGAAGCTTGATTCATTGGTGTCTAAAAAGGCAAAAATAACACATAGTGTTTACAATGGCCAGAAAGCTTCTGTACCTTAGATATACGAGAGGGGAGGGGTCACTATGATAATGTTCTGGATCTTTCTCCATAATTGCTTTCAATACTAAGAAATCTTTAAACTGTTTCATAGGAACGCTAGACCAGGAATCTCAGCGCCCCCACTCCCTACATAGATGCAGACACCGTTCAATCACCACGAGCTGGCATGCTACTTTTGTGTACGGTGACTACAACTTACCTGCTTGGAAACATTCAAGTATCCAGTGTAGAAAACAATACAGAAAGCTCTACACATCAGATTAATTCAAGCGAACAAACGACCCCAGCCAGCCACTAAATAGCTAAGCATAAATATGGCTTTAGAAACTTTTGCTGCTGGGAAACATTTCCCAGGAATCACCATTATGCATAAAAATAACAAATCAGAATGTAGGATGTCTGATAGTGAGTGGTGATGGTCATGGATATTGCGAAGGAGGGTTAATTAGACGTTTGAACCCTAGGACCTCCCATTACATAGCTACATAGTAATCTAGAATGAAGACAATTCATCAAGTTCAAACTCAAAGCCCTTTCTTTTATGCTTTTGATCCAAAAGAAGGCAAAAAAAACCAAACTTCATAATGGCAATCAGATTTCTCCTTGGATCAACAAACTGTTTAAATACATATTAATAATATAATTGAATATTCCCCTAATGCAAAAAAAAAAAAGAAACCTCTAAGAATCACTAGCCAGCTGCCTAGGGTACACCGGCCCAGGGGGTACAATCCTTGGGTGACCAGCAGGAGGGAATCACATAGCATTGCACTCCCCTCCTGCCGGTCACTGCATGTAGGGTAGCCAAAAGAATCGCATTATAGGATTCTTTATCCTCTACCTGGAAGTGCTCACTGTTTCCTATCAGACTGTGTAGAGGAAACAAAAGATCATTGTAGCAGACCACGGATAATCCGACTGATTACCTCTGCTAATTTATCTTCTCAGTCAGACTAGAACCATTAAACAAGCAGACATCCATTCCGCCAGTAAACAGACGAAATATAGTTCTGGGAGTCAACTAATTTTTTTCACACAAAGCTTTTATGCACAGACCCCTACATGGGGTATCCCACACAACAATAAAGGGTTTCTGTGACGGAACGCTGGCACTCCGACTGAGTACCTCCGCCAATCGATGCACCTAGTGCTCGCTGAGGACTTCAAGCACTCCAACCGACACTATCAGCACTGCAGACCCCACTTCCAGCGATGCAACTGCGCCGGGGTCTCTGCTGTCTCCACCCACCCTGGACCCAAGGCCAGGATCCAGCTTCCAGTGGGTGAACCTCTCTTTCCCCAGAGAGCAGGAACAGGAACAAGCTCTTAGCAGAACTTAGTGATCATACCCTGGGGAGTAAAGTGATTATAGCAATCCCAGAGTGTATTTCTCCAATCCCCCAAACATGAGCCAAGGCTTAATGCTGGAACAAGACTGATTTACTGGCACACAGAACTCACAATTTATGCAACACAAAACTCCTCCTCTGGGCCAGGCTAGATAATTGAGTTTCTACAATACACAAAGCTCAATTATCTGCTGGCCAGAAATAATACAGTTTTTACAGCCTTCATAACTTCTAAAATATACATCACATGGACCCCAAAACATGCAATAACCCCATAAAAAGTATATCCTTGGAACCGAGGGATCTGGGTGAACCACATATCCAAAATTCACCCAGATCTGTTCAATACTTTGGAAAATACAGTTTAATGCAGATTCTGCAGAACATATACAGGCTAAATGAAAAACAATCACTGTATAATGTGTCCCCTGCTGTATAGTCCAAAACCACTGCACGATGTCTCTGTGCACCAAATACTGACGAGATGGCACCGTGTTGAAAAGTCCACACAGTGTCTGTGAGTTAAAATGGCCGCCATCCAATGTTCTCACCATGTGCTTCTGATACAGGAAATGGTGGCCACCCAGTAACTCCACAGTATGTCCCCAGATGGTTCTTAAAGGGCCAGCAGCAGCACAACACAAATCCATTATGCCCAAATCATGTCTTTAAAGGGCAATATATCCCAGAGGCCATAGTCACAGGGCAAGAGGCGGGCAAGCAGTCCTCTCCAGGCACAAGTGGCGAAGGGCACTTCGTCACAGTTTCCCTTCCCAGGGTCTTCTGTGCCTGAGAGATAATTGTGTGAGAAAAAAACTATAATTCAATTATCTCTCAGGTACAAAAAATCTATACAAAATATCCAGTACCCCAAAAGTACCCCATCATAACTAGGAACCGGACAAAAGCCCTGGTCTGAGTGTATAACCTGTCCAAAGATCTCTCAGATCGGTTAGGTGAAATTGGATCGCTACCGGGGGTAAAGTTTTGACTGGCTGGACACATGAGGATAGCCCAAAACAGTTCCAGGAAAATGGGTGTCCCGGCCGGTCTCTGTTCGGGGGTTCCTGTGCGAAAATCATGAAATGGTTCCCTTGCAGTTTCGCACTTAAGGTGGGAACATTTTAATGGGGTACCAGGGTGGTCCTCGTTCGGGAATTGAATGTAGAGTGTCCGTATACTATAGATCCTGAACGGAAAAAGATAAAACATCCAAATCTGGTGGTAGGTTCCGCCATAATCATCTACCGCAGTCCTGCAGCCACACTACATGGAGGCAAACAGGTGGTGGTAAGAAACCCCAAAGGGACGGAGAAAGAGAAACACACACAGAAGGTCTGGAGTAGACAAAGAGACACACGGGGGGGAGGGGAGGATAAAGAGACACACAGAGGGTCTGTGGGAACAATGAGATACACAAAGGGGCTGGGGAAAGGGACAATGACACACACAGAGGATCTAGAGAAGGGGACAGTGACACACAGAGTGGACCTAGGGAAGGGAACAGTGGCAAACACAGAGGGGATGAGAACTGGGGTAGAGAACAGTGACACACATAGAGGATCTAGGGAAGGGGACAGGGAAACATACAGGGGACAGGGAGGGGACAGTGACACACACAAAACGCTGGGGTAGGGGACAGTGACACACACAGAGGGGCTGAGGAAGGAGACAGTGACACACACAAAGGCTAGGGAAGGGGACAGTGACACACATAGAGGGACTAGAGAAGGGGAAAAAGAGACATAGACAGGGGCTGGGATGTAGAGATACACAGAGTGGTGTTGGAAGGGAAAAGAAGACTCATAAAGTTGGCAATTTTTGTTTTAGGGGTGCAAGTAGCTAATCTTGCCACAAAATAGTCTAGTACCAGTCCTGCCTGAAAGGTCCTATGCTGACAGTATAGACTGGAAGTGCTGTATCCTTTCATAGCTTGACATGTGAAATTCTTATTGGGCAACCACATGGGAATGACATCATTAACCAAGAATATTTGATCAAGATTTGTGTGGTAAGTGGATTTTGGCATAACTTACATTTTTAAAAATATATTTGTTTAGGGAATAATAGGTCTTGTATTTCTTACAAAAATAAACTTCTATGCAGATTTGTCATGCTTTTGTTTTTAGGATAACATTCTTTACTAAAAAAGCTGCTCAGTTTTAATTTATTTTTTTAATGCAGGGGCATTCGGAAAACACTGGCTTTTGGCCCTGTCATCACTAAAAATGATAATTGGCTTAGATAGACACATAACTTCAGGGCCAGATTAAGAGCCCAGTGGGCCTGGTGCTGACAATTATGACGGGCCTAATTACAGAATCTTATCGACTGATAACACTAAAACACTCCCAAGCGTCATGTATCTGATGGAGATGGTGCTGGACGGAAAGAAATAAGCAGCTATAAGAAAACACATACCCTAGGCTAATCTCTCTCTAATTTATGTTTTCATTGTTCAAATAAATCCATAACCCCTAACAGCAGTGTCCAGTCAAGCAGGAAGTCAATGGGCACGATAAAAGGGTGTGCCACTGACACAAATCACTTAACCTGCCAAAAGGGACAAACATGCCCAAGAGTTGGAAGGCCAGCCTGGCATGAATGCATGTCAGGCTGCCTGCCAATCATGCAGCTGGCCAACTAAGGGCATACTATGCAGACAGCACCCTGAGCTTGGCATAGATGCATCTAATGATGCGCTCGCTCAACGCTTTATAAAGGACTGTCCCCTAGCATTCGCTGATCCACTTGTCTCCTTACCTTCTTACTAGCAGGCAGATGCTCCTGGTATATAGTCTGGGACAGAGAAAAGCTGTATGTAGTGAGTGTAGAAGAAAGGGAACATGCCACAGTGTTAGAGAGACCAAAGTCAGCATTACCTAAACTATATTCATTGTCAGCCAGTCCACACAAGTGTTGTTCCCATCCCTCTTAATTTCTATACTTAAGCAAGAGTATGTGAAAAGTAGTTAGGGTTGCCACCTTTGTTGGAAAAACATACCGGCCTTACTAATTTGCATAAATAATTAGGTATGGGTGACATCACATGATGTAAATCACAAGGAGTGACATAAGAGAAAATGCTGTAAAATCTCCAAAAAACTACTTGGTTTGATTCTGCTGTACGGGATTGCTCCCAGTGTCCCAGAGGGCACCCCATGTTTCCCAGTGCCCTCATGACTCAGTGTCCCCATGTGTCGATTACCCCAGGTCTCAGTGATCCATGTCTCCTTGTGTCCCCCAATATTCCGATGTGTCTATGTCCCCATGTTTTCCAGGGTTCCCATGTCACTAGGAACACGGGGAGACCTGGGGACACTGGGAGACTAGGGGACACTGGCTGGGACACATGGGGATACTGGGAAAATAGGGGACACTTGAAGACATGGGGACACAAACACTAGGGACACTGACTGGGGGACATGGGGACACTGAGACACCAGGGACACAGACACTAGGGACACTGGCTGGGGGACATGGGGACACTGAGACACTAGGGACACAGACACTAGGGACACTGGCTGGGAGACATGGGGACATTGAGACACTTGGGGGCACTGGGAGACATAGTGGCACTATGAG